TCTACCGCAGTATCGTCAAAGATTGTTACCGAACATGCTCAAAAAAAAGCTCACACACAAAACAACTACATGGCTAACGACTCAATGGACAACGCCACGAATACCTCAATAATTTCAAAGACGCACTTGAATTTAAGTTAAAAATTTTTTCATAATTCAAGAAAAAAAAAGAAATAAATCTTGAAAAGCTCGTTTGAACTTGACAAATGTCTCAAGGCAAATGTTCTCACGTAGCATTTTGAAAAAAAAGGTCCAGGTCTACCTCAAATGAGTTCTAATCGAGCTTTATAAAGGAACTCTGGAAATAAAATTTTTATATCCACGGGCAAAGTCGGAATGGTGGATAATGGCCGCAAAAAGGGAGAGGCTCGAAAAAAGCCGCAGAAAGGCAGCGAAAAGGCAGCAAAGAGAGTCTCTTTATCGAGCCTTTCTAGGATTTTAAAGGCTCGAGCAATGGTGGAGAAAGGGAGAGGCAGCAAAAAAGTTGCATAAGGGCTGAGAAAAATGAAGCAAAAAGGCAGCAAAAGGAGAGCCTTCATCACCCTAAAAGGAACATTTCTATGGTCCTTTATGGACCCTCGGAGGGTCCTTCCGACTTTGTCTATGTCGATACTATTTTATGCAGGTGAGGTGGAAAGAATAAAATAAACAATCGTTCCATTAATAAAATTGAACGCAAGATATACAAGCCAGTGGGAGCTGCCAAAAATACGAGCTGAATAGATTCTTGTCTAAATCTACTCATTAGGATGGACTCATTCCCGTTAATGCTTATTCTACTGAGTGTTTCTCTTGTGTTTATTCTATCTAATTATCTTTATACCGTATGCTGTGAACTTTTATAATAGAATTATTGGATCAAGAAGATTCACGCGAAAGCTCACTACTCAAAAAATCCAAAGGGTCTTTTCTGATAATTATCTTCTTCCAGGTCTTCGTTGAACTCGCTAGTGAGTTTCTTTGGCATTTATTCATTAAATCATTTATTTACAGGCTAAATCAAAAATTCTTTCTGCTAGTTCTTATAAACTTTTCCATTCAAAATGAGAAGTTGAAAAATCACCTTTTTCACCATGTTCATTTTGATCTTGTATAAAACTGTAGTCCTGCAGTTATTGTCCACAAATGGAAAATTAAAAACAACCATGAATCAATGTTTTTCGGGTGTCGCCTAAAAAACGAATTCGAAGATAATTATATTTGCTCAATAAGGTTCATACAAAAAATTTCAACCTTTAAAATACCAAAACAGAGTTCAAAAACCGAAAAAAAGCGCTAACGTCTGCTTTCCCTAGTATCCTTCTCCAGTTCACCGTAACCCGTTATCAGTTTTATTTTTTCGTCGCCAAAAAGCGTTTTACGACCTTTTGGCAACATTTTATCAGCGAATTTTAGGCCGACTTCAGGTTTTGGTTTTAATCAAAGTCTATCAAAACTCCATTTTTCGAACGAGGAATGAGTACGGATAGATCAATTATGCTATCAAATACTCGTTTTTGTTTTATTTTCCGTAATAGATCAATTATCATATAATAATAGAAAGAGAAATAGAAGCAAATGTCGATAAATCAAGTCCAAATATTTGTATCCATTTTTTGAGTCCAGGTATTGAGTCTCAAGTCAAAAGTTGCCACCTCAATGCTATCAAAATACTCATTTTTGTTTAATTTTCCGTCCAAAAACTATTTTCTGATCTCTGGTGGTAAAATGCCGTTATGCAATTTAAAAATCGAAAAGCTTTTGAGAAAAACTCTAGTAGCCACTTAAAAATTTCTTAATGGCTCCTTAGAGCGGTCCATGTAGACTAATAGTACCATGTAGGTTTTTGAAGAGGCCACTAGCTTCTACTCACATAAGTGGCAACTAATCCGACTTCTGTACACGTCAAAACTCCAAAATCGGCCAGTAAGTCTAATAATTGAGCCGCTTCGATTTAAGCCCTTTTTTGCGACCAAATTACTTAAAATTGTGAAGAAGATTTTTAAAAGTGGAAACTTGGGGAAAATTGCCGAAAAAAAAAATTTCTTTTTGAAAAAAGGTTAAAGTTTTCCACAGATTCGAAAAAGCTTGAAAAAAGTTTTTTCTTTCTCAATGATAGTTCAAAAAACGTACTTTTTCGAATTTTCTAGGATTATCGAAAAAATCTTACTGACTATGCCTAGGGAAGAGACTTCTTGAAGATCAAAGATTCTATATGAATCTACTTATCGGTAAGGCCCTGCAAAATTTGAAGGCAAACAATTGAGAATCATGATGAAATAGGCCCTTCGCACCTACAATACAAATACTAATCGACCATATGATGTTTGGAGCCGAGCCTTTTCTACGAAAACCTTTTTCCCCCCAAACAGATTTTATCAGTTAGGCCGCTCAGGTGATAAGCCTAACTGCCACCTCGATTGACGCGCCTAGGAAATTCTTTTTCCCCTTTTTTTCCAAGATAACACTTGAGAGGATTAAAACTCCACATTCATGGATGATTCGAAGTTCAAAAAAGGAAAAAAAAAGGCATAACCGCGCCGAGTTGAGCCCTTCAAGAAGCCATTTTAGGGTCTTCTTGACAAACATAAAAATTCGTAAGGAAAATGGGATAAAGTGTTTTATTGCAAGGTTTTTTTTTGGTTGAGTCTTCTTGAGAAAAATAATTGGTTTTAAAAAATGTATGAAATTTCTTTCAATTGAGCTAACATTAGAGATCAAAAAAGAACATAAAAATCGTGGAGCTCGCAAATTAAAAATAAACTCATGGCTTTTGGCTGAAAGGATGAAGTTTGATGAAGGTTATTAAGAGAGCTAGTTTAATTCTATTCAAAAAGGTTTAGTAATCCTTTGCAAGGTTATCAAGTCAGTTTTCAAAAGAAGGGTAAAAATGAGTCAAAATGGAGGAGATCAAAGAGGTCAAAAAAGGAAAGGTAAGTTCAATCTGTTGATCTCCTAATTTTTGCAGTTTCCTACATTTTTTTCAACTTTTTACTACGTATTTTTTTCTTTTTTTAAATATTTTTTTATCATTATTTTGATCAGTTTTTCATCCTTTTTCGATCATCTTTTTTTCAAAAAAATGCTCGCCGCTCTGGTTTAACCAAGTTTTCCCAGCTGTTTTATCTTATTTCAAAAAAAGTATTATTTCTTCAATTTTTTTAAGATCGTTAAAATTGTGGTAGTTCAACTCCTTTAAACTATTCATTTTTTTCAATTTTTCGATTTAACATTTTCCAATTTTTCTATTTAACATTTTCCTTATAAACTAACTGCTACTATTCAAACAGATTTCTAAAAAAATGAGGGTTTCTAAACAATTAATGGATCTAAATACTTTAAAATGTCAAAAAAAAACCGTCCTATCGGTATTTAAAAAAATGCTTGCTGAATTGGATTACGAGGAGCCTAAATTCAAGCTTCAAATAAAACGGTTTCAAGGCTTAATAAGTTCAAAAATATAAGAGCTTTTTCTATGCTCTCACTAAGGTTTTCGAACAGACTAGCCTTCAATCAAAGCCCTTTTCAAGTCCCCCGACCACGCCTCTTTATGCAGGACCTCTTCATTCCTGTAAACAACTCTTGGCCCGATAAAAGTTCTTTCAATTTTCTCTGTCTATTGAACTTCATCTACTTACGACTTTTTGATATTCACAAACAATACCCAAATTTTAGAGGTTGCTAAAGGAAACTTTAAACAACCTAATTTGTCAATATGTCAATGCAAAAGTAGCTATCAACGTCTGAAAAACTTAACTAGAATATGTTTCTTTCCCGAAAAACTAAACCTTGCCAGCTTCTTGTATGAAGATAAATGAAAAATTGTATTTTGAAAAAGTTTGCCGCTTTATTTTGAACGTTAACGGGTGGAAAACCTTTTAATAAATTTTCCCAGCAAACTACTGGGAAAAACTCGAGTGGACCTTTAGGAATTTCCTCAAGGACTACTTGGAGAGGGCACCAAAATGGCCACTGAACAACCTCTATAAAAGCCACTATTTCGCGTCTTAGTGGCCGCTACCATATTTTTGGATTCTAGTAGTACTCTTTAGATCCTAATGACTAGATTTTAAACACACGTGGCCACTAACTCGAGTACTATAGTAGCCACTAAAACTTAAATACCCAACGTGGCCACTGAAAAATGTTTCCAGTGAAGAACCAAATTTTGGGGGTCTCGTAGCACTATTTAGACTACTAAAGAAGTAATTGAGTATTAGAAACTTAAGTGGCCACTAACTAGTCTACTATAGTAGCCACTGAAACGTGAAAACCCTAAAGTGGTCACTAAAAATTTTTCCAGTAAAGTATCAAATCAAAGGTGGGGCGCCACATAAAAAGATCGCTAACTTGAAAAGTTCATTTTCTTGAGTTGTAACCGTGGAAATTCCCGTCCAAGTTGGAAAAAACGACAGGAAACACCATCCTTTCAAAATTAAAATGAGTATTTTTTTTTTGGAAAAAATAAATTGAGGCGGCTTAAGGAAATAAAAATATTGCAACCCGAGGTTCTGTACCTGTAGGCGTGGTCGAATATGAACTATATCACCTTTGAGCTCTTGAGCAAACATTTTTGATTGAGAATCATGATGAAATGTACGTCATAGGCCCACCTTTCGCAGGCCCTATAAAAACTGGTAAAAGGCGGCCACTTGGCATTGTCTGAAGGCGGGCCTTTTTTCAACTACGATAATTTTGTTCCCCTCTCAAAAACTGTTTTATCAGTCGACTGACACATTAGGCCGCCTCGTTCGTGTGATAAGCTTGGTTTTAATAGCGCCTGGAGTTTCTTTTTTTCCGAGAAACTCTAGTTTTCATTCAGAATGGGGTAGTTTTTGAATTTTTTGAGTTATTCTATATTTACAGTTTTCAACTTGGAAATCAAACACACATCTCAAATAACTCGACTCTCCTTTTTTATATATTTTTTTTCTTAGATTCGGTATTTTTCCAGGTTATGTCCCTTGTATTTGCTCAATCATATGTACCTAAAATCATTTTTCAGCGTTTATCAATACAGAATGGATCTAACAACTCTCAAATGGATCCTGATCACCGTGATGGTTGTAATCAGTCTCATTTTCGGCTTTTTGCCAATTAAAGTATTTTTTTCCTAATTTTTCTTATGAAAAACATTTTTTTTAGGTTATACATTTGCTAAACTCTAACTCACGACTCCATCGAAGATCTTCGCTGATCATCTCGCTTCTTTCGTGCTTTGCCGGCGGTGTTTTTCTGTCGGTTTGCTTCCTCGACATGCTTCCCGATGCGCTGTGAGTCACTAATTGTTTCGTGAAGTATGTTTAACATAAATAACGATGAAAAATACGTAAGCGATGAAAAATCTAAGTCTAAAATTATTACACCACGAAATTGTAAACATCACGACAACATTTCATGATCTTTTTTTAACAAACATATCATAATCAAAAGCTAAGATGACGTGAAACATTGTACAAAAAAACGATAAATAGTAAAAAAATTAAATAGAATGCTGTGTTGAAATTAATTTCCGCGAAATGCAAAATTATCTCTGACTCTTTAAAAACTCAGTTGTCTTTTTCTTTCTTGGACGGCTATTTCGAGTTTCGTGGAATCATTTTGAAACGGCAGAAATGAAAGCAATAAACGAGGAAATTTGAAAAAAAAAAAACCAAAAGCGTCAAAAATTTATCCATAGCGCTAATTTGCCGTGATTTTTCTTCTCGCGAATTATTTTACGAGAGTTTTGGTTTTCTTTTATTTTGGAACTTTTTCCCTTTTGTTAAAGTTTTTTGTTTAGTTCCGAGTATGCCGTCAGATGTGAATTGAAAAAACTCAAGGCGAGTGCACTTAAATTCAAAGTTCAGCTTTATTATTTATATGATGTTTAGGTCGCAATTTTCATAATGAGTTCAAAATTTTCAAAAAAATATATATTTCATATAATTCTTACGTTGCTCCTGTATATTGGACTCGAAATAAAAAAAAATACGTTTAGAGAAGCCTGGGAAAGCGTCAAAGACCTCACAGGCTACAATAGTGACTACCCCTTCGTACAGTTGATGTGCCTTGGCGGCTTCTTCTTCGTCTACATTTTTGAAGAACTCTCCGCTCTTTGCTTTGATGATCATCATCACGATCATGGGTAGCGCTTATTTTGAGAGAACATTCATTAAAATAAAAAATTTCAGTCTTAAACCGGAGAAGGCTGAAGAGGTGCGGGAAACTCGCTCGAGGTTCGCGACAGTTGGAACAATTTTCAACCCCAACGACACGATTCTTCAACAGCGAAGGGTTTCGGAAGAGGTTTGTTGATCGTGAAAAATACATTCAGTAATTTTTTTTCAGTCGGTGGAATACCACGGAGAAGGTCGTTTGATCAATTCGGTCGTTTTTGTGGGCGCCTTCTTGCTCCATGTCACCTTGGAATGCTTCGCTTTTGGAGTACAGGTTTGTAAACTTCATTTTTATACTCTTTTCAATAAACTTCGTTCAAAGATTATCAAAAATCACAAAAGGAGCTATTCAGGAAGACACAGTTTCGGTGACGGCTTTGTTTTTCGGCATCATCATTCACAAGGCGATTGTCATGTTCTCGATTGGTATGAAATTGACCAGGTGGGCTATTTCATTCAATAATGGTTCTTAACTTTTTCTATGGATTTTTCAAGTTTTCTGTATGATTATCCCTCTTTCAAAGACCCACAAAGTAAATTACAGAAACCATCCAAATCGTTGGTATATCGTCGTTATCTTGATAGTTGTCATCGCCGCGTTCAATTTGATGGGCGGAGCCGCGGGTATCTTGGTTGAGGTAATTTTTATCGTTTTATTAATTTCTCAAGGAATGAAAAAAATTTCAGAACTCGAGTTTGAGCGAGAAATCCAAGGACATTTCGACGGCCGTTCTTATGAGCTTGTCTTTGGGCACTTTCATTTACATCACCTTCTTTGAAGTTGGTTTTAAATGGCATTTTCATGACAATCTCTTTGGGAAAAAAAAGAAGAGCTCCTAGTTCAATCAAATCAATCAAATCATTTATTTTGTTGTTTTAGTCTGATGTAATCGACTAGGCGGTGAACAAGAACTTTGAAAGCTTTAAAGAACAACCGCCTTTGGCGAGCTAGAAGTCCAAACGTGTAGTCGAAAGAGTTGAAAGCATGGTCTTACGGTCCTTCGCCTCGTCCTTCTGCGCGTAGTCCATCCAGTTGCGCCTTGACGAGCTCAGAATGTAGCAGATCTTGTGCTGGAGCCCGGAGACCGTGCTCTAGGTGGAAGCCTCAGAATGAGAGCGACCACTTCGAGTGAAGATTTTACACGGAATGAAGATTTTACACGGATTTTACACGGAAGTTATTTTTTTTTTCCAGATGCTCGCACCGGAACGCCAAAATCATCATTCGAACATTGCTCAATGGTGTGCTGCCTTCCTCGGATTCACTATCATTGCCATAATTATGATCTGGAGTAATTAATGTTTTTTCTTTAGCTCTATTGGAGAAGCTTTAAATTGCGTTATATTGCATTGTTATTACGGGCCGCCTTTGTGAAATTTATTTCATGTTTTTTTCCAAACACTTATTTATTTTCGTTGAATAAAATTCATACAATCTTTTTATCGTTTCATATCACGTTTAATCAAATACAAAATAAAGGCAGATTTTTTCTTTCCTGAAACTTTGCCAGAAAATTCCCTAACGTACCAGAAGAAGATCTTGAAAGTCTCAATGTGAACAACCCTTTTGAAAAAGAGCCCCCCAAATCATTAAAATCCGGTTTAATAGGCTATTTCAAGCCTTAGTTTCTCCAAAAGTTCTCTTTATCATGAAATCTCCGTCTTATGTTACCCTGACACCCATCATTTTGCTAAAATTTGAATTTTTTTTTCACTCACTTCCTTGTTGAATTAAAGTTGCTAGGTCTTTGAAATGAAATGAAATCATGTTGCTAGAGGAAAAAAAAACTCTCATAGAAATGGAAATATTTGCATATTGTATAGTTTCAACTATGTTTCTCTGGTATCAACTCGGAAAAGGCAGGGAAAAGAGAAGGGAAGGTCGTTGACCGGTTGTCCGCAGTTTCATTGTAAACTTACCCACATTCCACTTGCTATCATTTCAGATTTCCGACTAAAACTGTTAATTTTTGTTCAGATGAGAAAAAAAGTCAATTTATCCGTTCTTTTCTTCCTTTTTCTGAGCACAAAAGCGCAGGAAGTGGCTCCGGCGCGATTTCAGGTAGTCTAGGTGCTAAAAATAGAGAAAAAAAACAGTTTTTTTTTGCAGATTCTCAACCCAAAATGGGAAGAAATGGAGTCGCTCTTCGTCTTGGCCATCTGGGTACTTTTGACCGGGCTCGTCAAAGTCTGTGAGTTCATTTCCCTTACTTTTCAAAAAAATAGTGAACATATTTTTTAGTTTTAACCAAAATCAAACCTGTTGTGAAAATTGTACCTGATTCCGCGATGCAAATCATCCTGGGGATAGGACTCGCGGGTCTTTTTGCCATTCTTGGACTTGATCGGCGATTCTACGTTTTTGACTCATATACATTCTTTGCCTTTCTGCTTCCGCCTATCATTTTTGACGCTGGTGAGCAGTTTGGGCATTTTCATTTATGTGCTCCAAGGACAAAACCTTTTTTCAGGATACTTTATGCCGAACCGAGCCTTCTTCGAAAACTTTGACTCAATCATGTCGTTCGCAGTTGTGGGAACCGTTTTCAATACGTTTGCTATCGGTTATATATTATTTTGAGATCAGAAAATAAATTAATAATTTCTTCCAGGAGGCTCGTTGGCTCTTCTCAACCACTTTGATTGGTTCTCTGTCAAATCTTCCACTTCGGAAATATTTCTTTTCGCTTCCCTTATCTCTGCAGTCGATCCGGTTGGTTAAAGATGAGCTCTCAAAACTAACCTTTGTCCTTTTTGGGTGGCGGTAATCGCGGTTTTCGAAGAACTTAACGTCAACAAGATGCTTTTTGTGACCGTTTTCGGCGAGGCTCTGTTTAACGACGCAATTTCAGTGGTATTTTTTCTCCTCTTTTATTCAGTCTGCTCTTATTTTCAGGTGCTCTACGGGATTTTCAAGAGCTTCACTGTCGCTTCAGATTCTTTGGAAGCTGGCCAACTCTTCCTGGGTTTCATCGCCTTTTTTGTCGTCGCTTTCGGCGGCGTAGTCGTTGGAATCACTTCCGCTGCGCTTTCCGCCTTGGCTACTAAGTTAAAAAGATTTCAAGGAGGTTTCTTAAAAACTCAAACTTCCAGAATAACCGGAGAAACTCCCATAATCGCCCCGCTTTTGGCCCTGGTTGTGCCCTACATCGGTTACATTCTCTCAGAAGTTATTTCCTTCTCTTCGATCATTGCGTTAGTATTTTTTTCGAAGTTCAAAGTTGAAATAATATTTTACAGGGCCGCCGTTTGCGGAATGGCGATGAAGCAGTACGTCAAGAGCAACATGGATCAACCTGGCGTTGAAACGGTCCGTTGCACTACGAGAATCCTTGCAATTTCTTCAGAAACTGCGACTTTTTTGTCAGTTTCTTCTCGAAAGTTGCCAAATTAAACGCTTTTCAAGGCTTCTGGGTCTTGCGACAATCTCCGTCGATCACCATTGGGATACGGTTTTTGTGTGCTCAACCGTGTTATTCTGCTTGGTGTATAGAGTTGTAGGTGAGTTTTAAATTTTTTTTTTAGTTCGAAAAAATTTTAAAAAGGCTCAGAACAGTTCAGGCTAGTAGAGCTTTTGAGTTTTCCAGAAAGTCTCAAAAATAAAATAGGAAAGGAAACATAAATTTTTACAGCTATTCTTGTTCTCAGTCTTCTGCTGAAGATTACTCGAGGCAACCAAATTTCCTTGGTAGGGTAAGAAACCCCTCGGTGTTTGAAACGAAGTTCTCAGGTAAATCGTATGATAATCTGCTACGGAGGTCTTCGTGGTCCCATTGCCTTCGGATTAGTTGTTTCCATGCCAGCTTTCATCGTTGGGAAAAGCATGTTCACAACGGCCGTCCTTGCTGTCATCTTCTTCTCGGTTATCTTACAGGTATTCACGATTTCCTAATTAGAGAACATCGAAATAAAAATTGGGAAGGGATGAGTGAGAGCAAGTCGTCAAAAAGGCTCTTTAACTAAAGTTATTCTAAATATCGATTGCTCTAGGCTGTCAATGCTTTCTAAGGGAACCCAGCAAAAGTCGTTTTGTGGTCGGGCGCACGGAAAAAGTGGAGCCATTGGACGAGCCATTCTAATTACGGTCATAGTGTTTTGAATGGTGTTCTCGAGAAGTAAGGCTATGGATTTATTTGAAAATTTTCTTAAATTGTTTCTCATTTTAAAATTCACCAAGATTAATGACGTCACAAATGACATTTTCAACGTTTTTTAAACGATGATTTTTTTAAAAGGTTTCTCAACCTTCCTATTTTTGATATGTTTTTTTTTTAACTTTTCCGCAAAGAACCGCAAAAAAAATATTTATAAGCGTTCTCGTTACCAGCTTGCTCTAATGTCTTTAGTCTAAAATGACGTCATAAAATAACAATGACGCCATTTTTCAGGGTACAACCATCCGCCCATTACTTTCTTGGCTCAAGGTCGAGCGCGACGAAGTGAGCACTGAAACTGTCACTTCGGTAATGCAATCTGAAGTAATAAATACTTTGATAATCAGTAGTTTATTCTTTATTCAGAGTTTGGATTATGCTATTTCGGGAATCGAATCAATAGCTGGTACACGAACACACCAACGGATTAATCAATTGTATTTATTGAAAGAAATAAGTTGGGAAATGGAAAATCTCATTGAGGTTTGAGCGCGTCAATTCAAAGTTTCTGCGGCCGGTCTTGACAAGAAACACAAGAAAATTGGATCACGAGGAGGAAAAAATAGCGAGAACTGTGAGGAAAGTCGTCCTTCAGGAAGCTATCAATGAAGAGAGGTTTAGAAACTTCCATCAAGATATTCCGAAAAAAAAAGAATCATTTAGCTCCAATCAATGGGAAATGCGAGAGATGAAGGACTCGGAGAGCAAAATAAAAAGTCTTGAGAAGGTTCTTCAAAACTGATTCAAAATTTTCAAAAGTTTTCAGCTTCTCGGACCTGAAAACGTTCAACTTCTACACAACGTCCTGCACTCGATGTCAAAGGTTGAAAACGTTTTGATTTTTTTTTTCCGATTCTGGAACTTTTCAGGCCCCTCCCACTAGCTAATCTCTTTCTCATAACAAAGTCTCCGTGTAATTTGCTTCGCCAAAGAAGATTTGTTACACGGATTCTTCCACTTGAAGAAAGCACCGAAGGACCTTTCCAACAAGTTTTCAAATTGCTCTGGATGTCACTATTTTTTATGAGTTCATTTGAGGTAGATATAAAGGTTTTGGTGAACTATGAAAGTCCTGATTAAAAACGCAATGAAAACTTCGCAAAAATGATGCGAAATTGTATTCGATTTGCCCCGACTTGAAACGAGTTTGTAACCTGTACGTCAAGGCGTGCATAACTGCGCGCCCGACTCAAAATGACTTGCGCGCCCTATCAACCGGTAAGGTTTAAGGATACGCCTTCAACTTTAGAGCTACCAAATGGTTTCAAGTCGTGGTTGTTTAAATATTAAAAAAATTTTTTTGAAAAAGATTTTTTTGACTTATGTGCAGACTAAGCTCAAAACTGTAGACTTTGATGCAGAGGGATTACAGTTCAAGATTTCGGGTGAACTCTAGCTCTAGATCCTGAGCTTTTTTTCTCCTCGTAGGATTTGGTCCACATATCGCTGAGCTCGTGCATCCGCGAGCCCATCGTATCTCGAGCCTCGGTCAAGTCGCGTATGACTCTTTTCCTCTGCCTTTTTATATGCCAGGAGGCGAGCAGGATAAATGCTGGCGTTAATGCTGCCGCGAATGGGAAGGTCTGAAATCGATGTTTTTCCTAAGTATTGAATTAATGATTGAACTCACATAAAGAATGAGAAAAATGTAGTTGTAAGCCATAGCCGATATCTGATTACGATAAATTCTTGCGAGAAGTCCGCCAAGAGTGTTAATACAGTAAGCGACGAACAAAACAATCGATATCCAACACACGAATTGGCTTGTAAGTAACGCTTCTCGTTGCCGATAACGGATGGTTATATCGTATCTTATTCTGAAATATGATCTTTCTTTAAAAATTTTTTTAAAGACAATGGTGTCCAAGAAGGTTATGGCGAAGAGAAGGAATCAACGCGCAATGGCTTCAATTAAGGGTTTCAGCTTGAAGCGCAACGCGTTGAACCGTTCTCCATGCGACCAGCAAATTTTTAGAGCTTCAAAACCTTCTCTCCAACTGCATATTCATGACAATGACAGAAATATTGATCAGAATACAAAGTATTATCGCCATGGTACAGTAGGCGAGAATCTTATGCAGAGGTTCTTTCATATAGAGTGGATTGTAGAAACAATTCGGAACTGTTTCAGGGGCTGCGTTCTCGTCAAATAAGGTAATCGGAATCGAAATGCTGATGACAACCTGAATTCTAAAAATATTTTTAAAAAACCAATATGAAAAACCGTGAGAAGGGTGAGAATGAAACATGGGACGACAATGTGTGTTTCAAAGAATTTTGGCGCTAGAAGAGATATGACTCTAAAAACTCAGACAATGTTTTTCAATAGGCAGTTTTACCTGTCAATGCTTAGAGCTATTTGAACGGCCAACATTGCACAACAAGAGAAAGTCAGAATGAACGTTGTACCGAAGCATTCTTCAGTAGTGTAGAGAATGTCACAGGGACTGTTGCTGGTTCGAAATGTTCGAAACATTGTAGTTATCTGAAAGTTTTAACTTTTCATTTTATTTTTTAAATGAACCCTCACATGGATGAAAAAATTGAGCCCTGAGTTGAGGTCGGCAATGATAACCGCCAAAATCAACAGGAATTGAGTCGTAGTTTGGAGGTTTGGCCTTTTTCGGAGAACATAAACGGCGGCGAAAGATAGAAAAAAGGTGCAAATCGTCAGGCATTGATGAAAAACAGCGTTTACAAAAGTTATAGTTGAATTTTTGAACTCCATTTGCTCTGGCGTAGCGCAGCTTTTGGCCGATGACGGCATTTGAAAGCTGAAAATTGGCTGAGTGTTTTTTAAAGAAAAGGATATTCCTGAGGTAAAAATTTGTCACAAATGATTTGTGCTCTGAAAATCAACATTCTTAGCACTTTTGCAACTATTTCCGGCTCAGTGGCAGTTGGAAAATTATAATGGGATTAATGTTTTAAATTTGGAATAAAAAAGAAGAGACACGCTCCTCAAAGTCAAAAAATGAAATAGAAAGCATGTTGACAAAGAAAAGACAAAGTTGTTCAACCAAATCCAAATTTTGGAGAGCCAACTAAAACTAGATAAACACGAAAAAGAGGCAATTAGGCTGATGACTAATCACTGACAATTTTAAGAACTGACTTTGCATCTCATAAGAAATATTTTAATTAGGAATTTTATTTTGAGAATCGAGTACTTCTGCTCTATTTTGCAGAAACGTAGTCATGTGAAGCTAATTTTTTTCATCCCAATGAACCTAAGTCTGCTATTAAAGAGGAAACAACTTTTTTTTTGAGCTCATTATGGTGGATTCATAAGAAACGGTATTCTGAAGGATTTCCAATCGAAGTTCTTTCAAAGGAGATAACCGAGTGGCCAGAAATAGAAAGTCTCAAAATTGTTTTTACAGATAAGACAAAAGAATCAGAAAATGCATATTTTAAAACTTAGTATATTCTTTAGTGATTTTTCAAGAAGAAAAAACAGAAAAAACAGAAACTTCAATGAAAATCCAAACTCGAGACTGGAAGCTTTAACTTGGAGGCCACACCTTCAACTTCTTGAAACTGTGGATTTCTTAAAAACTTCTTTTTCTGCAAAATATTTTTGAAACAACAAAAATATGAAAGTTTTTGGTGCGTCAGCTTGTTTACAAAAAAATACTCGTTAGTTAATTAAAAAAACCAGGTAACTATGGTATAAACATTCGCTAGTCAAGGGAGTAGGGCATGAAAAAAGGAAATAGACGCTCCGCTTTTTTTTAAATAACCGTCAATCTTCACGTCTATTATTAAGTAGAGAGTTTTCATTATCAAGACAGGTGAAAAAAACTATTCATTGAAAAAATGGCCCATATGACCAACGACAAAAGTTTATATTTTGTTCCTCATTTTTTGAGTTGTAGCAGGTCCATTCCAAATGACGCTAAGCTGAGTCATTCGACCGCCGAGGGTTTCACGAATTTCGATCAGTCCTTTGATATTAGATTTACGTTGTTTTTTCAAATAAATAGTCGCCAAAATAATTAGAGAAGGCGTGGAGAGGGCGGCGTAGGGGAACGTCTGGAAAATAAATGAATTAGGATTATTTCGGGTTAGATTACATAAATGACGATAAATATTTTGATAGAGAGCTGCAATCCGAGTTGTTCTCGGTTTGAACGGACAAATATCCCGCCAAAAGTATAGACTCCAAATGATACAACTAAAGCGGTAACAATCATCCCAACGACTTTTGATGTGACTAGAGCTTCCCGCTTTCGATACCGAATTTTGATGTCGTAGCGGATTCTGAAACGTTTTCACTCACTTTTACTCCGCTTGAGGGGAAATTCTCACTTGTTTTCCTGGTTTTGATCGTAGAAAACCGCAAAAATATTAATCATGAGACAAATTAAAATGGCGATGGTGTTTCCTAGCATGACAACGTTCAGATTGTTGAACATGTAAACTGGTGGGTTATAACAGTTCATGAGAGTTTCGCTTGGAGCATTCGTATTGAAAAGAGCGCTCGGTACAGAAAAACTGTACATTAACTGAAAAAATTGTATTTTATAAATCCAGTAGAGCGAAAACTACCGTAGTCACTGTTAATAACATCGAAAATGGGATTAGCATCTTTTCAAAACGGACAGGAAGAAGTATTGAAGCTATCCTGAAAATAAAAGAAGTTTCGTAAGGAGGGGTCATTGATTTATGAACCTATCCATACTCAAAGCGATTTGTGTTGCGATCATTCCTGTACTCCCCATCAACAACAGGAAGGTCTGTGGGGTGCATTCCTCCGAAGTGAAGGTTATCTTGCATGGATTTTGTGAGTTGAAAAACAACCGATACATGATATGAAGCTGCAAATGAAGCGCTTATTGCACAACTCAAAAGTTCTTACCACGATGATCAAGACGCTGATTTGATGCAAGGCGGCAAAGAAGATCCCATCAAAAAGCAATATTTTTGTAGATCTTTGAAAAGTCGACTTGCGAAACAAACAGTTTATTGCAACCGGTGTTAGGATCAGCGTGACAGAGGCCAGAACCAAATCCATCCAAATTTTGAAATTGTAAATAAAAGAATCTTTTATGGCTAGCATTTCGGGAGCGATGCACTTCGGAGTAGACATCTAACTTAATGACGGAAGATACTTCCATCTAGACTTTGAATCATTTAGTTGATTGTCAATTAGTTTTACGTGGGTGTACCCTGGAGTTACTCACAATAAAATAGTCAGTTTTTTAGAACGTATGCGTCAGCTTTTGGTTCTTTTTGAATCCACAATTTTATATGATTGACGTATGAAGACTATGTTGAACTTCAACAAGAGGGAGGCATTTCACTGTGCTCTTTTATTTCTCATTCTTTCCTCTTTTTTTTATTCTAGCAATTATTTTGACAGTCAAGTGAACATTAAAACGGAGAAAAGCTTTATCGAGCGTAAACTTTTGGCATTGTCATGTTCCATGAGTTTTTCAGGACGGCGATCCGATTGTTAATGGTTTCGCGGGTCTCCGTAAGCTCTTTGATGTTCTTTCTTCGTTGACGCTTCAGGTAAATTGACGCCAAAATTATTAGGGCAGGCGTGGATAGAGCCGCGTAAGGATAGGTCTGAAGTTCAAAATGTTCGAAAAATTTCAAAAAAGAAAGAAAGTAAAAAAGAAGACGCGTGAGTAAAATTCATTGTTAAGACCAATCGATTGACAAACTGTATGATTGGCGGTTAAAGCCTGAAAATTAGGAAACGCAGTTTTAAAACTCACATAAACGAACAAAAAGATGCGTGAGTAAACCAGGGGACTGAACTTTTCCTTATTCGACCGAAGGACCAATCCGCCGACGGCATAACCCCCGAAAGCAATTAACAAGGCGATTGCAATACTACAAACGACTTTCGACGTCACCAACGCTTCGCGCTTCTGATAGCGAATCTTTATGTCGTAGCGTGTTCTGCAAATCACCACGACTTTGCTTTGGTCAAAATAAAATTACTTTTTCTCTTGGTATCGGTTGATGCAAATCACAGTGATATTGATGACAAGGCAAATAACGCATGCCAGAGCATTACTCATCATGATTTGGTTATAAGGTGTAAACATGTATTGTGGCGGGTTGAAGCAAGTGGAAATCGTTTCGAGGGGAGCTGTCCGGTCAAACAAGAAGCTTGGAAGCAAGATACTGTACGAAACCTGAGTAAAGTAAGCCTTTTTTGATGGAAAATTCAGAACTCCTACAGTCATGAATAGTAGTACAACAGAAATTGGAACTAGAGCGCCTGCATGACGCGCTGGAAGCAGAACAGACGCTATCCTGGAATATATTAAGAAAATTTTTGATTTGAGTCATAGGATTACATGTCGATGCTCATGGCCGTTTGGGTGCCGATCATCCCGGTGCTAGCCATAATTAGAGAAAAGCATAAAGTGATACATTCCTCCGAAGTGAACATTATTTCGCAAGGGCTATCTTTGAACAACAGGCTCCGCTGGACAGAATAACCCTAGAAAAACGTATATTGTCTTTACGACTTTGAACGCCTTGGTATTTCAGATGAAGGCTCAAAGGAGTTTTTTTCGCTTGTGAGTCAACCTCTACGGTTTCAAAGCGTTTTCAAGCATATCGCTGTACCTGAATGAAGGTGACAATAACTTCATGAAAGCTGGCGTAGCAAATGGAGGCAAGAAGTAAAATCTTCGTAGAACTTGGGAAGGTGGATTTGTGGATCAAATAATAGACTGCAACCGGCGCCAATAATAGCGTTGCCAAGCCCATTGCTTGATCCAGGCGAGCTTTGAAGAAAAATATGAACGAACTTTTCATTTGGAGCGTTTCCGCCGAAGCACACAACTTGCCGCTAAGCGTAGGCATCGCTGAAACTGAGTCAAATGAAGAGAAGATAATCTCAAATCAGGTTGCATCCTCATTAGTCATGTTGACAAGAAGAGCTCAAAGTCCGAGTCACTTGATGATTTCTAATTAGTTCAGGAGCTTAGCAGCGCTAATTGGCATCAGAAACCATTCAGTAAGTTTCTTATTTTGATACTTATTTAATTATCTAAAGGTTCTTCTTGAACCAAGACCTTCAAGTAAGGATGGAGACTAATATGAACATGCATAGATTTAGAAGAAGGCGAATAAATTTCTATAATTTTAGTTTTGAACGACGTTCCAAACGCATTGAAATCTTGTGAATTTAATATGAGTTGAAAATTTTCTTGGTAGGTTTTTTTTCCAGTTCTTTCCATTTTCATATTACTACGAAAAAAAAGCAAAACCTGTGAAAAAAAAGAAAAAGCTTTACTATATTAAGCAAGTATGGTACAGCCATAGAGAATAAAGTTTCTCAGATCGATCCAAAAAAAAATATATATACATAAACTAAAAAAGAAAAGTACAAAATCCTCAAAGCATCCGAAAAAGCATCAGCACATTCTTTTCAAGACTTGGATGACAAGGTCTTCTTCAGCTTTAAGAATCGATCTCGGGATCATCGGGACGGTTTTCGATCGGAAACTTCCCAGCAGCTTCTCGCAATGTTCCTTTTCATTCGAAATGTCATCCATCTAAAAAGCAAGTTCTTAAAAAAAAACTATTTTCTTAAGAGTTACCGTTTTCAGTAGGTCATAGATGATTTCGTCGCAAACCTCACTGTCGTGGTTATATTTTGGATGCTTTCCGACAAAGTTTCTAATCCACTTAGCCAGAGTTGGAATCTCCCCAGACGCTCTTTTCTGAAAAAAGTTTCATTCCAAGTTTTTGGGTATTCATCCGACCGAAATGAAATTCAAATACTGTGTTATTGTACAACGTGTGTCCACATCGACTTCAGCATCGTCCAAGTATTGAAAAATCAGGTTTATCAAGCCAGGAAATTCATTTTCTTTTCCTGGAAAGCAGTGATTATTCAAAGGTCATGAAGAAGAAGAATTTAAGAATCTTGTAATTGAATAAGATTCTAAATTTTTACCATTTACTATTTCCGTCACAGTCATTTCTGCAACGCCCGAACTTGGTGATCCACATTCGGCCGTTTCGTCTAAACTGTCCGGTGCTGAGCTGCACGTCGCCAGGTCTTTCCTGGAAAGCTAATTTTGGAAAAAAATGCTCTCGAAACAAAACGAACCTGAAAAAGAATTTCTGTGACAATACTGCATCCCTCTTCTGTGCGCGTTTCATATTTTCACTCACCATGGATATAGGTAATAGGTAGGTTAACCGAAAAGAGATTATTACTCTAAAAATGGAAAAATCAACTAAAGAGTTGTTGGAAGTATACCTGGTGAGAAGGACGACGAAACAGCAGTAGGCGGCGTTTTCGAAATCGGTCAGTTGAATCTGAACTTGAAGTATAATTCACAGATGATTTCAATTTTCTATTTCAATCAACGAAAGTTTTAGGCATGCGAAGTTTTGGGAAGGTTTTTGGTGTTATTAACAGACTCGAAGACGTCAACGCAGGAAATAGAAATACGAAATGATTGAAAAAATTTTCTCCAACCTCAGTAGGTCTGAACTCCACGCGCCATCCAATCTCCGAGACGTCTGGTGGCGGCGGTTTGAACCTCATGTTCATCCAAGTTGATGATTGGATCGTCTCGAAGTGCTCACTGTCTTTCTCGTCGTCCTGCTCAAGTCGCTCGCGGAATACCTTGAGAAATTTTGATTCATCGAATAGCCATTCTGGAAAGTTTTTACCTGATGAGGATCCCGAATGAACATGTGAGCGACATGTTTCGCCAGAGCCTCGTCAATGTCCCCGTCGATGAGTTGCTGATAAATTTCTTCATCGTAATTCAAAGGGATGTCGTTATAAGCCGTTGAGCAGGGGTAGATGTAACAATTTGTGCTGTCGTACCTCTGTAAAAAAAGTTTCTGAAGAAAAAAATCGAAAAATTATTTGGAAAGCACAAAATTCTCAACAGCCTACACTTTTCTCGATGATCCATTTGGAGTTTTTCAGTGGCTCCAGCCCCAGTTCTTCGAGCGTTCGGTCGTCAACACTCTGAAAATGTATGGATCGAGAGTTTTTCTATGACTATATTTACCTCACTGATAACACCCCAACGAGAATCGACATCAGCTAGTTTTGACCTGAAAATCGGAGTAGCAGCAGATAAAGCCAGAAGAATCGGTGTGAATGGAGTTAGTTGATCATAAAGCCAACGGGCTTCGTTCACGTTCACTGCTTGAAAAGTAATCTAGAAACAGTTGGTGAGAAACTTGACATTTTAACTTTTTAAAAAATCGTAGAATTTTTGCTGATTCCGAAAAGACCTGATATTTCAGTCATTATTAAACTTTGGACACGTAATAACCGTGTTTTCAAAAGTTTATCATTCAGACCAATTTTGACGTCTAATGAAGTTTGTTTAGATTTTGAATTTCGAGTCGACAAGTTCGATCCACGATCCAACCAAGAAATGATGCAAGTGGGAAACCACGATTTACCTGTCTCACAGACAAGGACAGCTATGTCACTAGAACCAGTTCACTGATTATCAATATCAGAATAGCTAAGTTACTTAGGCGCCGTCGACGCTCAAACGGTACAAATGCAAGAATCTAGATTATATAAAGGTCTCAAAATCATTAAATCTTCTAATTTCAAGTTCAGAATCTTGAATTACGTGGGATGGTCCGAAGCTCATCAATAGAGCGGTTTAATTTGAATATAATAATGACCTGAAGACAACAGCAACTGGTTCCGAAACCCATATGATCAAGGAAGATATGGTCTTGTTTAGCGTCCTTGTAATCTTCCGGTCTTTCAGAATGCATCGATAAATCTTCCTGAACCCACACACCAGTTTCTATTTCAAATTAAATTCTTTTTACTCACAATATATGGGCTCGGTGTATTGATATCTTTGAATATTGGCACATTGATCGTAATTTTCCGCCCACGCCGACCTTCGATGTTTCGAACAAAGTTATTATACCTTCAAAAAGGCAATTTTTATCTACTTGGGTAAAAAATACCTCGGGTGGCCATTGAAAACGGCTAGTTCAGGCCAAAATAGACTATTTCCAATGGAACCAGTACATTTTGAGGCAGGAATGGAAGATGGGTGGGTAAAATCGTGAACGCCGAGGGAAGGAAAGGAAATTGACATTATTGATTCGTCCTAAAATGGAAGTGATTAGTCAAATAAAATTTTTGGGAAAAACCTCTTTTAGTAAACGTTGAACTGCCTTCCGACGTTCTCTCATGTTGGCCTCGACAACGTTGAAGCACGCAAGAAGACCTAAAACCACGTTTTGTCTTTATGGAATTTTTAAAAAAAAAATTTCCAAAAGAGTTAGGAGTTAAAACCTCCGTAAGGTTGTCCAGGTGTCCCTTCAATCATGAAAGCACCGAATTCAGGCCTCCAGAGACTCCCATTCGAGGCGCCAACCATGGCATTCACCTCTTCTGCAGCTAGTAGTCTAGTCAGAACTTCTTCTGCTCGGCATGAAACTCGGACCTAAACTTCAAAACTGCTTCCGTTTCGAACAGTCCTACATAGCTCGATGAAATATCAATCAATGAAAATTATGGCAAAAAAAGAACATAAGACTTTCGAAAAAGCCAAAAATTTTTAGAAATTCATCTCTTTGAGAAATTTGAGACGCTCATTTTGTTACTCCAATAGGATAATCTTCACCTTTTTATTTTCGTGATCAAACTTGACAATAGTGTACTCAATTTCATCGCCCCACTTCAGGCAATCTCCTTGACGAGACTTCAGTTTATGATATAAATTGATAAACTGAGAAATTCCATGCTTCTGAAAAAATATCGTAGGTAACTTCTTCTTGAGAAATGTTCAAACTTTGATATAATCAATGTATGGGACCATTTCGTCCCAGCTCAAAGGACTTCCATTGGTTAGAAGGCCCATCTGGAATTGAGTAGGTGGGATAAGCTCGAAAACATTTATTACAAAAAATAACAGAGAAAAATAGGGATTTGATGTAGGAATGGAGAGAAACGAAGCTTCCTTTTTATCTCAAAAGAAGGATTACAAACAGGACAAGGAAGTTGGGAAACTGAAAGTCTGCTTTTCGTCAATGTGAAGCAACAGACCAGTGATCAGATGAAAATATAAATAAAAATTTTGCCTAGATTTTTCGCGACAACGAGTGTACACAGGGGTGGTCCAATAACACGGCTGTTTGGCCGATCATTGAATCTTGTGGGACTTTTTTCTTTCTGATAACGTCATCGATTCATTCCAAAGAACGCTTTGCAATAATGTTCCTGATCTTTTGAACCATGAAGTTAATCTTAGCCAAATATATTTATTACTTCAAAATCAAATCAGCTTAATAAATCACTGTTTATTCCATAAATCTCGAAGTCCTTGAACATGCTCGTCCTGCGTTATTCGGATCTCGGTAATATTTTTGATAGCTATCCTTCGCGTTTTTCCAACGTATGAAGTGAAAAGGATGATGAAAAGAGGTAGGCACATCACTGTGTATGGAACCGTCTGGAAAATGATGAACTTGATTTGAAATAAGATTTATGAATCGACTGACATAGATCCAAGTGACGATGTTGGTATAAAGGGTGTTTGGAAGATCCTGACGGTACTGCCTCAGTACCAACATGGAGGTTGAGTTGCCCATCATCAGAAAGAACTGGACAAGCGATATTATGCACACGGCCTGGGCTGTTAACATCGTTTCACGGTTCTCATAACGCAGCTTCACGTCGAATCGAGTTCTGAAACCAGAAGAAATCAAAAATTTTACCGAATTGTTTGATGACTGTTTTCTCAAATCAAATCTACATTTCTACAAACCTCTTCTCCATCTTCTTATTGACCATAATTAGGACGGCTGTGAGGATGATATTTGAGAAAATAAGCCCAATGTAGCCAATCAGAAGTTTGTTGATCCTTTCACTTATTGAGGCCGGTGAAAAAAGGCAAGTCAATTGACGATCCTCAGTTGGTGAAACATTGTATATGGCTTTTGGCAAGGCAGCCGTGCAAATTAACTGAAATCAATTGGTATATTCAAATGAACAGAAATAAGGAAAATTGGGGGCTTTTACAAAATTATCTCTTAGTCTCACCACGATAGCTCCCAAGACGAAACCAGTTGTCGATTTGAGTTTTGAATGGGTCGATGGCATGACTGTCGATACCAAACTGAAATCAAATCAGATAATCATGAAGGAGCTCATTTCATTTTGCTTAACGGTTTCACTGAGTTTACGAAATTCCCCCTACTGTGAACTATTAGAAAAAAAATTACCGGTCTAAGCTCAAAGCCATCTGTATTCCTATAACTCCAGCGTAAGCAAACATCAGAGTTTGATTCACAGGAAAGCATTCCGACTGTTTGAACAGAATCTGACACGGAGAATCGCTATAAGCGTAGCTTCGAACCAACGCCGAGATCTGCAACTTTCACTGTTTTACTTCTTTCTATTTTTGCAACACGGGCGTTTTAAAGTTCCCACACTGCCAATTTCACCGAAAAGGCTCATATCTTACCTAGTTATTAGATAGCTCGCTGGAGTTTATATTGACAAGAAAAAGATCAGATGTCCTCAAACCTTCCTTTCCACGTGACCGATCCCAGAGAAAACAATATTTTTTCTTTTCAAACTTTTCAGAAAAAAACAGGAAAAGATAATAATCTTGTTCAAATATTGTTATATTTTTGCTAGACAACGTAGTTGTTGAAGTAAAAATATTTATTATATCCTAATACGTAGAAACGATCACATAGCTTATAGCTGTTTGCCCTTATGGTCTGAACTTTAAATTCGGCGTATACGTGATCTATCAGATCGCGTGAGCCGATCTCACGAGCTTTGCGTAGTGAGACTCATTCCCAGCTGTTCAAAAGCTCTTCGTTCCTTACGCGTACTCTTTACCAGATATACTTAATGAACTAGTCGGGTTCCCGTCACCTTGGTAAACCATTGCGGTTTGCCTGTCTAGCGCAAAGGAGATGTTTTCAAACTTTTCTCAGTTATGAGAATTTATGAAAGTGCGCCTGCCCACTTTTTCTCTCGTGGTGTGACCGGTACTGTATCCCTTTTCCTTGAACCTTGAGCCTTTGTTCCTGGCGTTCAAACTCTTGGAACCCATTTCGAACGATTTCAATGGCAATTTAATGCCTGCTCCAAGCCGATGTATGGCTGAGGATCGCTCGAGCTGACCCATGTATCCTTTTTTAAAACCCCCTCATTTCTATCTTGACGCTTTTTTTTTATTTCTGAACGTCCATGAGAAAAAGGTCTGGAAAAATAATGTCATTTCATTCGCATTTCATGATCCAGATTTATTTGGAACATAGCGACGTCAGCTTTTTTCTATCATGAAAAAAGACTGGTGGGAAAATACAAGGTAGGAACATAAATCTAGAAGGAGAAACCGTGGGAAGATAGATATTTATGGTTTTATTCCTTGTCTGAGATTTTTAAGTATTTTATGCCCAGCCAGAAAGTAGTTTTCAGTCGAGTGCAACCGTCCCGCATAGTCTTTTAAAAATACCTAGAGCAGATTGGTGCTGGTGAAAATTCCTTATGAAACAGAATAAACTCTGAAACGAATAGGAAAACGGAACTAATGTAATATTTTTCCGGCCGAAAAACCCCCGCAGAACTTACGAACATTTTAATGTGCTCATGTAAGCTTTTTTTTGAAAAAGCCTCACCTCAATGTACCCGAAGACGCACTCGTGGAAATTGCAGTAAAAAAGGCTGATAAATAGCAGAACTCGGGTCGAGGCCGGGAAGATTGACCGGTAAACCAGTACTCTGACGGCAAATATAGAGAGAATGAAAGTGGCGATAGCGATCAAAGAATGGAAATAGACGTAGGCCCGGAACTGCCAAGACGTCTGTCGCTCCATTTGTTGGTCGGTCGCGCAGAATTCCGTCGATACTGTTGGCTCTATCATTTCTCGAGACCTCCTGTAAATCAGTCAGAAACCCTAATCAGAATGAGACATTGCGGTGAGGCACAATGAGATACAACTTTTCAAGCTGGAGCGGAAACATTTTATTCTAGAATAAAATAATCTGATTGATGTTGGTGCAACCCTGGGATATTAGAAGCATTCATCGGATTGAAACGAGGCTTTTGCAAGAAACAAATCGAAAAATGCAGAGTGAAAAGGATTAGATGTAGCTCTCGACAAAAGTATCAAAGAATAAGAGCAGATAAGTCGAAATCAAAATCTCGGCCAATTTTCGTTGTTTACTCTTTACCGGATGAAAAAACCACGTTTCAATTTTTTTTTATTAGGTTCCCTATATAATTTCGGTACAGAATCAAAATATCTTCTCACGCAAAGGCAAAAATTGTAGGGTGTACTACATTATTGGCCCAATTTTCTGTGTCTACTAGAAAATCCTGGGAAACAGATATTATCCACGCAAAAATGGGTGGATTCTTAGTTCGCTTCGAAACATTGAAGGTTCAGAAGAACAGATGATCTTGTTAGACGGACTTTGTCAGCAGGGATTTGAGATATTCATTGGGAATGAGCTTTTTTTGAACAATGAGCCGCAGTAAAAAACATCACTTATTCAAATCGGAATAATATGTGCGAGTGTTTAGAGAAAAACACAACGAACATCTGGCAAACACAAACGATGAGTGTCATCGAAAAAAAAAGCTTGATATTGCAAAATGAAAAAGGGCCCTATAGTCTGTGTTCCACGACTTGAAATTTCACCGAACGACATTCCGCTGTTCCGCTGCGTGCGTTCGCGAAGCGTCTTTCGAATCTAGGTCACGCTTTCAATTGGTTTTTATTGTTGTGGGAGCACATCAAAGTGAAGTAAGAAAAAAAAAATCAAAAGCACGACCAAGGTTCGCAAAGGCGCGCAGCGGCACAGCGAAATGTCGTTTGGTGAAATTCCAAGTCGCGGTACACAGGCTATACTAAAAGTTTGCAACTTCCAAGCTACAAAACGAATATTCCTACACGAAATATAGTAAAAGTTTTTCTCATGATTCGTTATCTTAATATTTCAGCGTGGGAGCACTTTTTCCAACGAGTAACATTTTATAATGATCAAGAACGAGGGAAATTGAGTCACTATTTCACGAAGAATTCAATTTTACCTCGGCCTTTTTCAAAGAAAAGACATGTGGAAGAATGGGTCACATTGCGAAGAATAAATTCAGTTAAATTTGGGCCAGCTCACTTGGCAATCTTATTTTCGCTGCCCTTTTTTTCTGGACTACAAAAAACACCAGGAAGAGGAAGCAATGCAGAAATTAATTCTGAAACCGGCGGTTTCAAGGATTTACCAAGGAATCTCAACGATCAAACTAAAAGGAGAAATCTCTTAAATTGTGAGAGGATGGCCAAGTTTTAATTGAAACTTCCTTCTCTCGAGTCTTTGCAAATAAAGTCTAGTCGGCCTAAAATATGAGCCTCAACCACATAAATATTTTTTTTCGGGTCGGTTTAGAAAAAGTGGGTTCGTCAGGGGAGGTTTTTATCCTTTCAGGAAATTCTCAACAACTTTTGACAATTTTGATGAGAATACTCACTTTGCCGACATTAATAGTGAAATTGCAGCCGAAAAACTATTTTCAGTCAGAGTCCTTGATAATGAACTTGAAAATGGTGTTTTTGGAGAAAAGGACATGTTTTTAATTATCTAGCTCTCCTAATTCTAATATATGCAAAAAGAAAGAAGGGCAGAAAAGTTTTCCGCAGGGGAACTTGAAACCCTAGAAGGTCATGTTAGTGAAACACAAGCTTTTTGTAATCTGAGTTTTACTTTTCATCGCCAAAAGGGTTTCAAATGCTCTCAAAATTTAAGAGAATGATTATTTTTCAAGTTTTGATGTACCCTAGGGCAAGGTTGAAAAGAAAAAGACAGACTTTGAGTATTTTCTGGTTTGGCGAAAATTTACTACAGTTCCGTTTTCACAGAAATCAGGCTCTTGAGGCCTTTCACAACAGCCAAGATATCATAAAAAGCTTCAGAAAAGGCTCCGGAAGCCTTCCAGACAAAAAAAGCAAAATAGAAGAGCTCGTCGGGTTCACAAGCTCTGGGAAAGCTCCGCCCCCTCCGAGAAAAGAATATAGCCATACTCCTTGCTCGTTTCACAAACGAACCGAGGTGGTCTTTTGATTTTTATCGTGAACAACACTAATCAAAAATATATTTTAAGAAAGATCAAGGAGAAGATTTCTTGAATACATGTAGTACATCAATTTTTGTCAAAGCCAAAATGATAAAAATAACTTTCCAGATTAAATTTCAAAAAAAAGTTTGCTTTTTTTCCGGAATAACCTGGGCATGAAATATCCATGAAATCTTGCCTTTTTTGGACGGCTAGACACTATTTCCAAAGAGCAATGAGGAAGTTTCAATTAACGTTCAGCTGACCATTCCACAAACAAAAAAGGTCTCATTTTGGGTTGATCGTTCAGGTTTTTGGCTTGAGATTCCGAGAATTCAATGAGAACTTTTGAATTTTAAAATATTGAAAAGTTTTATCGAGAGCTCGCCCAGCTATGAGTGTGAATCATTCATTATTATTATTAACATTAATGAAATTAAGGTCTGACTAAAGCGGAAGTTCTTCTTTTTAATTAAAATTTCAGCCATACTCCCACAAACCTTTACCTTTATTTCGGCTCAATGAGCTTCTGAGCCATCCGAACGCCCACTCATTATCAGAATGAAAAACAACGAGTTGACTAGAGTTTGAAATATTTACGAATAAATGTTTGGTTTGAAGGCATTGCAGACACTGATACTTTCATCAATATACACAAAGGATGTTTATACAAATGTATTCCTAAATGAAGGTTATTCAAATAAATAGAAACCTCTCTCGGTGCATTTCCTTTAATGTGATTAGTGAAACCACTATAGTCTACTGACTTGGATCCCCAGCCAAATGGCTAGTTTTAATCTTGCAGATTGAACTTCAATAAATCAGATAAAGAGAAATAGCAAAACACCTGAGTTGAGTGCAACCGACTGAACCTGGTTTTCGCGTGGGCTTACCTATAAATCAGAACTTTGAACAAATATTTAGGCTAGGTTCTCTGAAATTCTAGTATGAATCTCAGGAAGTTTAGTTTTAAATTTTTAGAAGGTACAATTGGCTGTTTTTCTCTGCGCCCTCCTCGTCTCTCGGCAACGCTCTCATGTTGACTTGCTATTTTCATGTTTCTCTGACCTCGCCGGTGAAAGAACAGAAAGACGAAGGCACTCGAAAACTGTCGATTCCCGGCGAACGGACTATTTTCAAAGACGTTTTTAGATCTAAGTTCTTCCACAACGAGAAAGCTATTTTGCGAGAAAAGGAGGAGCTTTAATCATAATTTTCATGAGAGGAACAGGTGAAAATGTTACTTTCGATTCTCAAACAACTCGTTTCGCATTGTCTATGCTTTCCCTGAGAGAATTCCGATATTCGGAAAACAACGGCGAATTTATAGCGGCCCTTCTTATTTGGGCGATTGTCATCACATCGCCCCTAATATTGTTATATGTCATCTACGCATATCTGATGCTGAAGTTTCGAGCCGAAATCGCGACTTTTGTGAGTTCTTCGCAAAGAAAAATGATCGCAGACTGCAGAAACACCAACAGATCCTCTGGAACCAATTCTTCATGGTCTCTATCATCTTCTTTTTCGAGCTATTCCCATTTTTCATGGGCTTCTTCTACTTGGCTTCGTTCTTGTATTCATCCGCACATTTTTCGATTTAAGAAAAAAAAGTTTCAGAAATTTCATCATCGTAATAAGTGTCCTCGGGGCTATCAACGTCCCATTCTTCTTCTATGCGTCTACAATGTTTTGTCTTTTCGATATGATTCTGGCTATACAGAGGCTTGTAATGATTTTCGGAGATCCAAAGCATTTTTTCCTCGTCACTGGGTTGGGTTATTGAAAAAACTTTTGCTAGTAAATCATAATTTCAGAACGTACTTGAAGTATTATGTTTCTGTCGTTTGGCTGACTCTTCCTCTGTTTTACGTATTCAAACTTGGTTAGTTTTCTAGCGAACTATTTTCTGAAGCATTATTTCAAAAAGTTTTGCTTTTTTTTTGATTCATTCGCGACTCTTCAAAAATTGAAAATTTCCTTCTTTATGTTAAGGATTTTTTTTCAGGAATTTGCCCCGATTATTTCTGCGATCTCACATTTTCTTGTGGTGGAAATCGGAGGGCCTACCTTTTCTACCACGTAGGTCTTTGTGCTGAATCGTTCTTCTCAGGGATTACAGATTTACGAAGTCAGTCTCTATGTGATAACTTTATTCACACTTATTTCTTATATCACCATTTATCGGCACATTTCAAGTTTGACTCAAATGTCGTCAGAGAAGAGGAAATTCGAAAAGTTCATTCTCCTCCAGGCCATGCCGATGACTATAATCAGGACGGTTCGAACTGATCACGTTTCAATAAATTTGAAGATTGCCTTAAAGATCAGGGAAATCGCCATCCTTGTGATCGCCATTGGCCGAGTCTTGAAAATGGAAATGTTCTGCCTCCCTATCGCCGGAGAACAGTACAGAGTCTTGTGCTACGCTTATTACTTACACATTCCCACATTGGCTTTTGTTGTACCTCTGTCGTTCATTCTCAATAGAAACAATTATTCGCGCGTCATCAGGATGATAAAAAATCAAATTTGATTGATTGCAAACTACTAAGTTTTTTCTTTCATATGCAACAGGCGGTTAGCGTGTTCCAAATCCAATTTTTTATTCAGCTTTTGCTGCCATGATCGTGAAAGTTTTTTTGGATTCACTAGGACTTCACATGTTTTTCTCGGTAAGACTTTCTGAGGCTCAAAGCGCAAGTCATTTTGGGTCTGGCGCACCGACTATTTCTACTCTACTGCAACAGACTTGAAAACGAAAAAAAAACCCGCACAGAAAAAAACGTTCATTGAGCTCTTTGCTAATTATTGAGGGAGAACTCATATTTAACAAACAAAAATGAGATAAAATAAACATTGAGGACATGATGAAGTGAATGATTACCTTTTTCTTGTGAATCTTAGTGAAGAGGTACCATCCAATATTCGTGGCCGTCATTTATGAATTAAAAAAACTTCATAAAAAAATTTCATCTTTCACCTTTGCTTTGCTTTTTTCACTTTTTTACCTGCACTCGGCACCGAACACACCCAGAAAAAAAGTGCATTATTTTTTTGAGCGGACGAAAATCGATCATTTCAAAAATTTATCACTTTTTTGTCAAATCAATTCTTTCATGTAAATGTAGGCGTCCTGAGGACCATCGTTCAAAAAATAGTAACTGCAAATTATTATATTAACAACCTAAAAGTGGTAAAGTTTACTTCTTGATCCTCGCATATCTTGTCATCCCGCACTTGGCATAAAACGCTATAGCTTTTTCGTTACTGACGTCGACGTGTAGGTAAATCTAAAAATGCCCTTTGAAAGTGCATGATCAGAGTCGATGGAGTGGAAATCTAATGATGTGAACACGGTGTTCCGCGCAATGAAAAAAAATGCGAAATTTTGGGTCCCAGCGGCATATTATCCGTGGCGCATTATTGCGCCCTTCTCATGGTTTCTGATGCAAAAATTGAATTTCTTCACTTTTTTCCTTGGTTTTTTACTTTTTTCTATTTCTTGCATTTATATGATTCGCCTCTCTATGGGTACATCTTGTGGAGCTTTAAATTGCGCACTTTTCTAAACCGGTTTAAGATCTTTGACTTTTTTCTCAAAAGAGTTGAAGATTTTTCTAAAAGTCCTAATTTTTCAAAATTTTGAAATCTGTTTCGCGACATGAAAAGAGTCACTCTATTTCGGAAACTATAGTTTTAATTTAATCATTTAATAATGAAAATTTATTATCTATTTCCTTTGACGTAGTTTGAAACCGGTTTCGTGTAAATTAGAGCCAAATTGAATTTGCTGATACAGTTCAATGATTTTGATATATGCATCATCTAAATTATATATTTTTTCTAGTTTTTTGATGGTTTTTCGTATTTAAACAAAAATTTCGCCATACGAGGTTTTTTTTCTGCAATTTCTGCTTTCTATCCATTATTTGTTTTTCTGAAGCTAGGTTTTCGAGGTATATAAAATGTTTTTTTTTCATTTGCTCCTCGAATTTTCCTCATTTCAATATTTTTCGTATTTACAAATGCTTATTCAATGGGAGCTGATTCATTTTCATAATATTTTTTGTTTTTATTTTGTAATCAGTAATTTAGAGTTTTCCCCTTTCGAAATCGTTCCTAAATGTTTTTTTAACGTAAGTGAATGTTTTTTTCACATCATATTCTTCAAAATGACAAATTTCGAACATTTCAGGAGCTATTATCCTGAAATCGCAAATTCTAAGAACTCAGGCACTGGTGCGCGCACGCGCGGGGGTACTGATTCTTTTTTTCGCCTTTTTTTCACTGAAATACGGTTTTGAAATAGATTTTTTTATATTTTTTTGTGATACTACCTTGTGTCCCTGCTCACGTTTTTAAAGTTGTTCCGAGCCCTTTCGAACAAATTTATGAAAAAAAGAATTGCCAAGTGAAACTTTGATATTTAAAAATTTTTTTGGGCAATCTAATTGTTATAAACTGGTGCAGAGCAATTTTAAGAGATGAACAGACTTGAAAAAAATATTAAATTTATAACTTTTCAATTAGTTAAAAAGCTAAAAAACAAAAGAGACACCCCGCGCGTGCGCGCAGCAGGCGGCGCGCATGCGCACTTTTGGCAACAAACACGCGCCGTCAGTGCCTGAGAATGAAAAAAAACTTTTTGAGTATGCGATAGTGCGTCTCGGTGTGCTTACACCCTAAGCATCATAATTTACGAAAAGTCTTGACCTTGCGTAATGAAAAAACATCGTGTGAAGAGAATCAAGGCGTTCTGCGTAGTGGAAGAAATTGTAAAAATTTTTAAAATGCGGAGCGGCTTCGAAACGTTGCTCCACCTAGATTTACGGTAGACAGCTTGCGCGCGAACATTTGAATTTCTTGTTGCTCAAGTGCTTCAGGTGGTTTTTCATGTTTATTTCAGTTGTATCTTTGTCTGTTTTGTTCTGATTTACGGTAATTATTTTTTATTGCGACAGCAAAGTGCGAAGAGACTTTTTTTTTTCAATTTTCAATATTAACTGCTGGGTTTTGACAGAATTTCCCCTTCAAAGCAAAAAAAAAGCCTTTCAGCAACATTTTCAGTGTCAAATTAAATTTTTAATTCGAATCAATCAATCTCTTCATTTTCGCAACATCAGAATGGTATGGCGTCATCAAAAGAACGCCGTGGAATGGGCAGAATGAAAACTTTGAAAACACAATCTCCTACATTTCATTTACGATTACACCTTATTTGGCCAGTAACCGAACAAGAACTCACGTTTTTTGTCAAAAACTCATACTATTAATCATACCACCCGTATATTGGATATTTTTTCAAAAGTTATGCGCGAGAGGCTACTGTTCGGTTACGGTATTTGAAAGTGTCGCAAAGCAGTGCATGTAACCAAAGTATCGCAATCTACGCGAATCTTGTTTTTACGGTTCAGAGTTTTGAATCTCATGTTTTCCATTATTTGTTTCAACGTGTTTTTTTTTCGTTCGATGTATAATATGTTTCAAAGTGTTCATCGCGATGTTTTTTTGCCTATAACTTTTTCCCTAGTCCTTGTTTTTTTCCCAACCGATTTTTTTAATATAATTTCTTCAAAAATTTTATAATTGAATTTTTTCTACCGAATGTTTATGATAATGAGAAACTTCAATCCTTTGCTGAGATTTAAAAAAAAAATTGACACAACATTTTTAGGATGAAAGCTTTACGAAAATACCGATTTTTTTTTTTGAGAATAAACGGAAAATTTTTTATTTACACTCTGATAAACTTTAATTACAAAGGCATCACCATTTTTGCGTAAGGTTTCATTTGAACGCATGCCTCCTGCACCAACAACGTTCCGTAGCCGCGGCGCTGTCGGCTCGGCCTCACCATCAACGTGCTGACATAAGCGGCCTGTAGGAAAAACTTTTCCATGAATTGCGATATTCAAACTTTTCCATAAGACTGCACGAGAGTCCTCTCCTTTTTTGACATATTTTGGATTCCGTAGAGCTCGACTATATCTCTAACCAGTACGATTGAGCCGAGCAGCCGGTTCGAAGAAGTTTTGAACAAAGCTGAATCTTTGAAAAAAGAATACTCCCAAATATAACGACGAACCGAATCCGCAGTACAGAGACTTTGTTGGGTCGCACGCAGTAGCCCAATAATCATCGCCGTACAGAATAGGTAAAGCTCTGCTGTTCAACCTCAACTTTTCTGTTCAAACCTCACATTTTCGTGTATGCCGCCATTCCCTATTATCTTTTTCTCACTTCTTGAGGGATTTAATGTCGACATCGTGTAGTGGCCGTACGATTTCGAGCGAGAATCGCAAAGTTGGTGTCACCAAACGTTGAGACCCTTTTTCCACTTCTCCAGTCATTTTTTTTTACGACTTCCGGGGAGCGGTTTAGCAGGGCGGGCAAGTCCTACCTTCTAGCAAGTTTCTAGTTGTATGAAATGATTTTTTTCTCCCTCTTTTTTATCGCTATTTTATTTCTTCTTTTTTTTTGATGGCCAGATCTTTTACACCGCGAAAGAAAAACTGTGAGGTATATGCGCCCCACTGCCAATCTCGGGTCTCTCTTTCTCTCTGCACTTTTTTCTTGCTTTTAAAGTCCATCTCTTTCCTTTCAGATCCATTTGTTTCGTATTTGTAACCACAATGTGACCGCTGTTGTTTTTTCTGGATATTGATTTTTTTTTATTACGTTTCTCGTTTTAGTATGATCCACCGGAGTGAAGCGAGCAAGGCGAAAGATCGCAAAAGAGCCGCAGCACGTTGGTTTTATCGATAAAAATAGTTTTAAACTATTTTTCAGTTGGTCCAAACACAGCAAGCAAGAGGTTTTGCGATTTTGAGGAAAAGGTGGGAGACGCCTCTGGGCATTGATTTGAAATCACTTTCAGGTCAAAAAAAGAGGCACACCTTTTACTGACGGACTTTTCCAAAAAACGACGGTCGAAAAGGCGTTCGCATCAGCTTCGCCGCCCGTCGACCCTTGTACTTGGTTAGTCTCGGAAATTCAGCTCAATTACACGATTTTTTTCAGTCCTATATGCATGAGAACGTACAGCGAGCCGTACATGACGTACTGTGGTCACACTTTTTGCTACGAATGCATCCAATCTGCTTTGGAACTGAAAAAAGAGTGTCCTACTTGTGGCGCTGCCGTTTCGAATCATCGGGCCAATGAAGTGCGGATTTTCACTCATTAAAAGAGAGAGAGACAAAATTTTAAACGATCTGAAAGATTCGCGAAGAAGTTTTTCCTTTTCCAGCATCTATCAATGAGTGCGAAGTTCATTTTTAAAAGCTTTGAAAGTTTTGAAAAATGGTAGATTAGAAAAAGAATCCAGAAAAGGGTGCCGGAAAGCCGATATATAGATGTATATTTTTTTAAAGGAGCGAAGAAAAAGTTCATCGGAATTGAGAGGTTAACAGAATATTCCTTGATTTTTCAGCCTTTTCCTGGAAAGCTTATTCTATTTATCCAGGTTATATTCTCTACACAATAATGCTTGAAAAACCTTTTCTTCTCAAATTTGATCTTTTCAGAGCGGCGTACCTGGCTTGATACCTAATTTCGCCATGACCAAAGTCGCCGAACACGTCGTCACGAGTACTAGAGTTCTCAATAGCATTAAATTTAAAATGGTGTCTCGGAATCACTTCGGTGATGTCATAAAACTTGCTTATTAAGAGAATCAATCCGGAGAAGAAGGAAGACTTCGTCAAGCTGTTACTCCACACTGATTTGTCCGAAGAGACGACGGCTGAACTACTGACGGCCTTGAAACAAAAGCACGAATACTCGCAGGATCTGCAACGCAGAATCATGACAAAAGTCATGGGTTAGGGATTTATATTTAAAAAAAACTAGTGTAACTGGTACTTGGAGGGCTTTTCAAATAGTGCGGCAAAGCTAAAAAAACTCCAAAAAGGTTTTCTTTTGGGAAATCTCTTGAATAGTGTTTTCCGATCAAAAAAATCTGAATTCTAAATTCAGAAAAAGAATGTATTATGTCATTTTTTTCTTTGAGGATTTTGCATTCTTACCTTTTCAAATTAGTTTTTTTATTTTAAGTCAAAAAGCATTATGATATTCATTCTCGCCGTTTCAATTTCATTTTTAGAACTGTTAAGGAAAAAAATCCTGTCGAGAACCAAATAACAGTTGAAAAAGTTTATTAAATCTCTGGCTTTAAAACCCAAAGTTTTTTTTTGATAAAAATTTAGTCACTTTTCTCTGTTAGCTTCCGTTCATTCAAAAGAAGAAAAGCTTTTTTTAAATCAAATTTTATGAGATACGCTTTCAATTTTATCTTAGAATACCTCTTTTCTTTTCAAAACTTGATAATTAACAGGTAAATTCATATCGGACCTCTCCATGTACAAGCAGAACATAAAATCGTTCACTGATATGTGCATCGACTACTTGCGCAAAGATGCTGAGCTGTTGAACCAAAACGTGCCTGTGAGTGATCGCTTGAGGGAGGTGGATGAGAAAGAATGTCAGGGACAACGCATACCGCCGGGAAACGCGCTGGAACCGTCGATAGTTCCGAATCCAGAAGAGGTGGACGACGTTCACGCCTTCCGAGGACCTCACCATGGAATGTCGACCTCCTCGACTCTCGAATTACTTGCAGGCGGTCTGGTTGAGAGCCTTGTCACCGCCGAGGACGAGTCTCCCATGATGGTTCATTTTGAACTCGTTTGAATAAGAAATGAAAAAACTAAATCATATGAAATATGATTGTCGTATTTTGTCTGTTTTTCTTATTTTACTTTTGATGCCCTTAGTCTAATATAATTTTTTTTAACAGTACAGAACTTAATTGGTTCAGGAGGAAGGCTTGACTCTCAAAAAAATTTAAAAAAAAACAGGTATAAAAGTTTGTTTCAAGCCCAGAGAGGGGGTGTTGACAATCGTAATTTTTATTTTCGGAAGGTAGTAACGACTTCAATTCATGAAAACTCGGATGGAGGGGTTGGCAGCCTTTAATAATGGTCTTCCCATTTATGAACTCGATTTCAGAATGCCATATTATTTCTTTCCTCTGTTCTTGCAACATGTTTAGCCTGACTGAAAGCTGTAGATTTTTTTTACAAAAGCTCAGCGAAACTGATAAGACAAAAATTGCAGCTCGAGCGGAAATACGCCTTGAGAGCTGTACGAAACTTCGAAGGCTTGAAAACAGCTTATGAGAGTATTCGTATGAGAGGAAAATGGGCATACGGTCGGTTTTTCTCAATTTCAATAGTATTTTTTTTTTTTTTACAGACAATGACGCAGTTGCGCCCGCCAAGCTACCTTCTTTCGCAGACACTTTACCGAGAGGGCCGTCGCCGGAACGCACTTATAATCAAAACGAACGCTTCGACGCTTTCTCCAAAGTTTATTTTTGTCATCTTATCATGTTTTCTTATCTCGCGATTTACCCGTTTTTGTTTTATCTGAACGTTTTGAAGAATTGGCTCAATGGGAAAAGTTCCTTAAAACCATTCACGAATGCAGTTTATAACTTCGTTTTTAGAAAGTAGCAAGGTATTATGTCAATTAAAAAGTAGTAGCTCTGAAAAAAAAAAATTATTTTCCTTTTCTGGCCATACATTTTTCGACGCAAAATCCTGTAATCTTCGAGTTCAATCAATCAAATCAATTATTTTGTTGTTTTAGTCAGATATAATCGATTAGGCGGTGAACTAGAACTTTAAAAGCTATAACGAACAACTGCCTTTGGCGGGCTAGAAGTCCTAGCGTGTAGGCGAAAAAGTGGAAAGCATGGTTTTACGGTCCTTCGCCTCAAGCTTCTGCGCATAGTCCGTTCAGTTGCTCTTTGCCGAGCTCAGAATTAAGCGGCTGTTGTAGCTGGAGCCCGGAGACCGTGCTCTAAGTGAAAGCCTCGAAATGAGAGCGACCACATCGAGTGAAGATTTTACACGGAAGTTCATAAAAAAATAACTTTTCAGTTCTTCAATAACGTCATCAAGTATGGAGGGGCTCACAAAGTCGCCAAACTTCAATACGACGTCGAGCCCCACTATGGAATGTCCATCGTTTCCAGGTCTTGGAGCGAAATTCAAAGTTTTAATTTTATATTCTCCTTTTCAGTTTGGAGTTCAATTGCGATGGTGATCAATTTGTCGTGGCGGGTGTCACCAGAAAGATTAAGGTCAAAAAATGATTATTATTTCGTTTCGTAGCATTCCTAGTCTTCTTTCTGTTCCTTTCAAATCACCAATTTTTTTCAGGTTTTCGATTTCAATGCGGTTCTTTCGAATACCGACCGTTTACATCTACCGGTTAATCAGCTGGTCTGCTCAAGTAAAATTAGGTTTTATTTCTTGTTCAAGTTATTGTTTTCATTTTTTTTTTTGCAGTTCGGTTTGCTGGAATCCATATCATCGGAATATTCTTGCGTGTACGGATTATGAAGGAGTTGTCTCGTTGTGGGACATCCGCGGGGTAGGTTTTTGGAAAGAAAAATGCTGACTGTTCAAAAGAGATACTTGGAAAACGATGAAATTCTTAGAGGAACTATTAGCTATTGGCTTGAAAACACGACTTTTATCAAACAACTATGCCCGTTGACAAAATTTCCTTTAAGAGCTCTCCAAAAAGGAAGTTCCACGAGCACGGCAAACGGTGTTGGAGCGTCGCCTTCAACAATATGGATCCGAATGTACTGGCCAGTGGCAGCGATGACTCAAAGGTAGGTAGCCGCTTTGAAGGCCGAGGAGGCAGCGATGCGCCGTGGCCGAGTCGGTTGCGCGCTTGCCTCGCACCCACGAGGTCGCTGGTTCGACCCCGTGCCATGATGTCATTTCTTTACTTATAATCTGTCAATCCTCTGAGAGTTTCTGACGAGAGAATGGTAATCTGAGCACTTCTTTTGCTTTTGTTTTAAATGTTATACAGAAATTTTTAATACATTAGTTTCATTTTAATAATCAATGATGGTTTTAATTTTTCTAGAGATGCGAAAAAAACCATGGGAATGATTTTTTTAAAACATAATAGAGGTGATGTCGACTTAAAAATTAGAATGACTTGATTGGAGGTATTGGCGGCGTTTAAAAAAATAGTCTGCTCATGTACTAAGGAAATCCAGAGTGGTATAATGGTTAGGTAAAAAAACAGCCCCTATATGGGTCAAAAAAAGATCTTTATAGGGGTTAAATTTAGGTAGTCTCTTAGAGGTTTATGGCCCGACTTTTTAGCCTCTAAAGGTCAAGTGGTCTCTATAGGGGTATTTCAATTTTTTGTTCAGGTTTGCAAAGAAATAAATCTTGATAGTTTCATCCTATTTTTATGTTTTCCATAAAAATAGTCGAGCAGCATGTCCCGTATAGGGGGCACTAACTGAAACTCATCTACGGAACACTTTTGCAAGTTTTAAGGGCTTTAGAGGTTGATAAAGCGGTCCCTCCAAGGGTTTCCCCGAAGTTTTCCCTATAGGGCCACTTTGAAGTTTCTAAGTATGTATGCTACCTAGCCAGAAGTAGAGAAATCACTTCGCTCATGGCATTTTTTCAGGTGAAGATATGGTCGACAAACTGCGCGGACAGCGTGATAACGATCGACGGACGCGTCAACGTTTGCTGTGTGGCGTGGAGCCCCAGCAGCAGTTATGAACTTGTTTTCGGCTCGGCCGGTTCGTGATCTTCCGAGAAATTGAAATCGAAAATGATTATCATCAACTTTGAATAACAATGAAAAGTAACCAAACTTTTGAGGACAGTTTGAAATCGACTTTTTAAATACTGAGAAAACCACCTGAGACCAGTGCCACAAGCGCCCGAATTTGAAGGCGTGATGGGTAAGTTGGTAACAGATACGTGTTGCCAACTTAAAGCGTATAAAGGAACTTAAAACTTCATTTTTTTTTTCCAACTAAAATCATCGCAAAATGTCCAAAAAAAAACAGAAAAAGGTGCAGTTTCCCTCACGAGTTAATCGTAGGGTGCTACGACAAGAGCGAGTTTTCCATTTGCGAGGAGTACTGTATGCGGAAATCCGTATCGAGTGCATACATTTTGCGTGTTTACACTTTCGTTGCGTGACGTCACCGGGTCGGAAATCTTCGAGTTTTTTTTTCGAATATTTTTCAATTTTTTTCTTGATACTGTTTTTCATCGTGCAAATATCCTCGAGAAAAATGCAAATCTTGAAAAAAGCAAAAAAAAAAGTTGAAAAATGTCCGCAACGGGAAAACTTGCTCTTGTCGTAGCACCACCCGTAGACGCGGCTTAGGAAGGCCATGCCTTTTTGCGTCCCAAGCTAGCCGTGAATTGGTATATAAAATCTTCGTTTTTATACCTTGAGCAATTTAAAACGTATCCTAATGAAAAGCTGACTTTTGCGGAGGAAGTCGCTAAATTTGAAGTTCATAAAAATTATTTATGACATGCAATTCAGTGTGTTTAATCAATATGAAGGGTGAGAAAGTAAATATGAAGAGGACATTACTACGACAAGGTTTTCAGGATTTCTGAAATTTCTTAGAGGAGAAAGGGTTTAAAGATGAGAATATTTTATATCGCGCAGCCGTTTCGGGTCCCAAAAATGGACGGCTTAGAGGGTGACCCATCGTCAGCATTTTACCCTCTTTCTTTAAATCAAAAAGATATAAAAAGTTTTTAAGCTATTACACCTAGGCGCAGTTTTAAATTAATAAAGTTTGGAAAATTGAAAAGGAAAAAGAAAAAAACTGAGAAATGAAGGGGGAAGAAAAAGAAAAAGAAAAAGGGAGGGGAATGTAGTCATCCATATCCGATATCGATTGTAGGCGGCAGAGGTCAAAAGTTACGAAGAGGTAGATTAAACTTATGTTCTTGTGGAAGTCTATATTGAGAATATAAAGGTAAAATATAGGTTGAATTTTGGAATGTAGAGTGAAGAAGGGATATTTATAATGAAATGTGTATTTTTTGCAAAACTAAATCCGATTTTTCTTTGAATTTAGTCCTATTTAAAGTTTTTTTAATTCAGATCACGCCGTTCACCACTATGACATTCGGCAGCCTTCGAGGCCACTACAGAGACTCGTCGGCCACACGAAGGCCGTCTCCTACGTGCGCTATCTCAACGACCACGAGGTCGTGTCGGCCTCGACGGACAACACCTTGAGGCTGTGGGACCTGCCCGGACGCCAGTGTACCAAGATTATGCGTGGCCACACCAATGAGAAGAACTTTGTCGGCTTGTCTTCTTGTGGCGACCATATTGTCTGCGGTCCGTCACTTTTTTGGAGTGGAACACCAGAGTCGTCCTTAGGGTTCCATGAAGGTTCCCCTCTAAGGGACACTAAAGCTTACAAAAGTGTTATTTGATTCTTGTTCTGAACTCTATGAGAGGAAGCATTTCCATGCGAAGATTTCAATAACTTGGCTCTTTTTTTTTGAATATCAACAGAGGGTGAATTTTTCATGTTTGGCCAAAATCTGGACAAAAGTTAAAAGACCGTATAGGACCACCAATTTTACCGCTATAGGAGACACTTTTTAGGTCGTTTCCGTAAGTTGAGTTTCTAAATAAAATAATTGTTGTTCAGAGAAGGCACTAAAGTGTGAAATACGCCCCAAATTCCGGTTCATTCACTCGAAAAATATTAAAAGAAGGCCTTTCAACGATAAGTCAAACCGTATGAAAAAAATGTTCAGGAGTATTTTAAATTAGTCGTAAACTTTAATTAGTTTTTTTTTCTGTCGTGCTTGCTCTCAATCAATGCTACAGGAAGCGAAAACAACAAAGCCTACTTCTACTGCAAGGACTACTCGCGGCCGTTGTTCGTCTTCGACATGTACTTAGACTTTTCGGCGTCGCCGAAGGTCTTCGTCGATGACCCGGGCTACGATCTGTCCCCTTTTATCAATTCGAGCTTGATCACCGGCCCCCCGGATCGCAGCACGATTGTTCAGGTCTCTCAAAAGTCTCCTTCTTCTGATAACGTTTTCAGGAGCACGACTCCTTGGTCGACGAGATCGACACCACCGCCACGGAAATGCCGATGCAGCCGACGACTGCCGCCGAAGACCCACGCCTGCCGCGGCAGGTCGTCGTCATCGAATCTGACGGCGCAGCAGGAAGCGGCGCACGAGCCAACTCTGAGTCGCCAATTTATTCGGTCGACTCGACGGCCCCGCCAGCTGGCTCGTACGCAGCGAACGTGTCGACGACGTTGATGTCCCTTCTGCCACCGCCGCCGCAACCGCAGTCGTCGCGGTCGACGGCTTCTGGCAGCGGACGTGTCGTAACTATACCGCCAGAGAACAAGGGCTTCGTATCGAGCGTCTGCTGGCGCCCCGTGAGTAGTCAACCAACAAAGAAAGACGAAATCTCTTTTCTTGCTTTCGGAAAAACGTAAATAAAAAGGAGAAGATAAATAATATATCCTATTTACGGCCAACTTGGGACGCAAAAAGGCGTGGCCTGTCTGTGCTCTCCATGAACCAGGCACTGTCTATTTTCTTATCGTTTCAGAACCCTTTTTGGATGGCTCAAGTCAGCCGTGAATCAGCTATAAACATTAGACTTTTTTCCCCAACTTGAGAGGTTTACCGAGAAAATAATTGAATTCAGTGGTTCTTTGGCTAGTCAAAATGGCCACCCAAAAGACCAATTTAATTTCTTTCAAAGTTTCCACTTCAAAACTTTTTTTTTTAAGGTTTCTCATTAATTAATTTCTAAATGACTAGTTTATTCGAGTTTGAAATAAAATATTCAAAAAGTGAAATATATTTTACATCAATTTTAATATTAATTTTCAGAAAAGCAATACCATACTTGTTGCCAACAGCATCGGGAAAGTGTTGATCCTACGGGCTAATTAACTTACCTTCTTTTTTTCCCCCTATTGACCATAGTTTCTCCTCTGTGTAAAATTTTGCCGTACTTTGCACTTTCTTGCTTTTCCTTCCGTTAACGACGATTGTCTAATTTTTTTATTTTTGATGATACCTGTGACCTTTGATAATACCAGTTAAGATTTATTCAACTGACTTTGGTATTTTTTTTTAACTAAAAGATTTTTTTCTATAATTCTTGAAGATATTCTTTAGAGCGCCCTAGGCGTTTTTCCTGACAATTGTAATTTTTCGTTTGTCTTCTACCGCATTTTTTTCGAAAAATTCGCGCGGCCTTCTCCAAAATTATTTTTCACACAAATAGCAAAATCTACGGAAACGTAAACGTGTGAGCGTTCAAATTCTTCTATGATTGTTTGTAACATGTTAAAATATTGTAACCATGGCTTGTCAAATTTTAAAAAACTATTGCTTCTGAATGAAAAATTTTTTACTAACAAGAATTCAAAAAAAAAAAATTAAATTTGAAATGAAAAGAGAAAGGAGGGTCTAGTCGAATGAGAAAAATCACGGCGTCGCTCGAGGAAAGATTACTGAAACTAGCGTTTGTTGCTTGTTTGTTCAAACATGGCAATCTGCGGAGCTGTCAGTTCGCGAAGCGGAAAGCGCCCTAAATTGGTAATATTAGGAATTCAGCCTGAGTAAAATTGAAACGGCCATTCGAGTAGCACTTTGAGAAAAAAAAATGGCTGAGTTGAGATAAAATAGGTCTTTCTTTCCCACACCGCCATTATTTTTTAGCACCGCTAATCCTTCAATTGGCATGTTCAGCTCAGGCAAACTAACATGAGGAAATGAGGATCGACCCGAAGAGGACGTCGTGGCGAACGTTGCTGACGACGACCAGCCGTTCTGCTGAGTCGATGACGTCGTCATGGAAGTTGGCGTTCCGGTCGAATCGATAGTTACTTGTGCACGTTGACGAGTTCCGGCCACTGAAGACGAAGCAGATGACGTCAGCGAGGTGAGATAACGACGACGACGTTCGGCCGGCGAATCAGTTTCTACCGATCCGAGGCTGAAGATAGGGAGCTTGAGAGAGATATTTGCAACTGGTCAGTGAAAGCTTAGGTTCGAGATGCCTCTAGACTTTATAGACTAGAGGGCATGTTCGTTTATTGTAGTAAAAAAACTACTTTATCAAAATTATATTTGAAAAAGAAATAAGTCTTCAGCCACTCTCACCGGGTGACTGATTTAAAGTCTGGAACTTTAGGGCTACGGTAAAATTCCGAAAAGGCGCGAGTCGAATCCGAAAAGTTGTAGGTCGACTTTCCGGCCGGCTCCCGTCGCTCCGACGACGACTTCATTGCCTCTACAACAGTTCGCTCCTTCGCTGAATCCGAATAATCAACGATTTACGTTCAAGTTTGCGCCTTTCGGGGCTGCTGAGAGGCTTCGGCGACGGAGACGCCGGCGTCGTGCCGTTCGTATCCTCCGATAACAGCGATCTCTGTGACGTAACGGTAGGTGCCGATTGGAGCGAAGACGTCGTCGGGCTCAGCGTCAGCTCCGGAACTGGCGAAAGCAGTGGCTTCTCAGATTTTTTCTTGTTTCTGCAAAGAAAAAGGGTCGATTGACTCAATTCTTAAATTTAATATTTACTTGACATCAGGACGGACGTGCGAATCTTTTCGACTCTGAAACAAAAAAATTCATTGTTACGCCTAGTAAATCCTGAAATTTTTGAAGAAAAGCCCTTTTTCGCCCAAAGCCAAAAGCCCCAAGCCCCCAGTCCTTCTTGCACTTTTAGGAGAGAATAATACAACAACAAAAAATATTCTCTTCTTCAATTTATTATTATCTTTTTTCTACTTCCCGAGTGGTCGGTATTCATTTCCGCTCCCGCCTGATATGATCCAACGCCCGCCAGCCCTGGACAAGCTGGGGCACCGTACTGTTCCTACATGGAGAAGCAATGATCGTCGGAACGCTCAACTTCCTAACGTTACTATCCGAAAAAAGACAAGATGATCTACGATCCATTCTTTGTCAACGCGATCCCGCAAACCGACGATCAACTCTTCATTGATTCTACGATTCAGCAAAGAATCTTTTCTGAAGGCTGAACAAACTTGTAAAGTTGTAAGAAAATGATCAAAATGTCTAACCTCGTTCGAACCGTGCATCGGGGGAAGAATCGGCTTCGTATCTAAATATTAAAATTGGACCATCAGGCTAGGAAAAATATTCTTTACAGAGGGTGCAAAAAAAGGAAAAAAAATTGCCGAAGGAAAACCAGTTCAAAAAGCTGTTTGTTTTTCAAATGATGTGTACAACAGTCAAAAAATGTAAGGGTATGGAACAAAAAAAGTTGTGTGAAGTTTTTTTTCTTTCTTTTTGTCTATCAATTATTACAGTGTCATAGCAACATATCTGCTCCTTTTTGAGAGGAAAACAAAAGCGTAATTTTATTTTTAGACAAGATGAATTCTCAAATTCCCTAACTGTCTCACGGGAAGAAAAAGCTCTTTTTTCTTTGGCAGTTTTCTCTGCTAAATCGCTTCTTGCAGCAGCCAATCTAATCGGAAAAATATCGCGGACAAGAACCTTTTGCACGCTGCGTCGCCGCCGGCTTGTTGGTAGTTCTGATGGGCGAGAGAGAGCTGCTGCGCGTTTTACTGCGGTTGGTCGGACGACCAGTGTTCGTCGGACTGCTGGTTTTCTTCCCCGGCGTCGTTGCCGTCTTCATCATGGCCGTGGCCTTTTCGTGCGACTCGGCCGAGTTTTGAATCGAGCCATTCCGGGATCCGGGCTGTGACGACTGCTGGGCTTGCGGCGCTGCAGAAGTCGTCGCCTGAGCAGCCGTCAACTTTTGCTTATTCAGACTTTCGACGAGCTTCAGCCAAGTGTCATCCGGCTGAATGCGAAAAAAAAATAGTCAACTTTTTGCGATTTGAAAGGCGAGATGAGCTTCAAATTTCGAAAAAGAGCTATAATCGGATTGCAACTAGCAAACTAATTTTCAAAAAGAAATACAGCGCGTGAATGTGAGAGAAACAGAAATTGACGCAGTTTTTTGTGTTTCACGCTAATTTTAAGTGAATTATGTATCATAACTCAACTTCGGTAGGTGAAGAAAAATGAAAGTACTCAAAAAAAAAACAATGGATAGCAGAATTCGCTTCAGAAAAGTATTTGATGATTTCTCGCAAAAATTAAGAGTAACTATCAATTTCAGAATTAAAAAAACGAAAAAAAAAGCGCAAAGAAGTTTTTTCAGTTGTAAAATTATCTTTTTTTTACCGGCAAATGAACAGTCGCGCCAGGCGTCGGCGGGTCATCCAAAAGCGACGAAGAACTTTTTTTTGCGCCTTTCTTGGCCAAAGAATCGCTCATAATCGGTGAAAAGTTTCGGCCTTTGGCCACTAAAACTTTCATTATTTAAAAGTTCAATTGGAAATAATTCAATACATTTGATAGGGTCACGACTGCCAGCAGTACTTGCAGCGTAGGGAGTCTCATCGAAATCAGTAGCCTGGAAATTTGGACTCAAATACTTTTCTTTGGGTTAGAAAATTACAGAAGCGTGGACTTTTACAGGAACGATGGGCGGAAGAGCTCTGAAAAATCGTTATTTTTCCGAGAAATCTTTTTATTTTCTACTCACCCAAGGTTCATATTATCCATCTTTGCTGCTGTGACCTAGAAGCAAAATAGATCAGCTTATTTCAAGATAAATTTGATGGTAGACCTGAGGAGGGACTGGATTGACTGGCGCGTCGGTTCTGATGGGCCGGTTTTGTTGGGCTGAAAGAAAAGTTATTGACTTTGAGAGGAAAAAAATCCAGGAAATACCTTGAATTTTACTTTTTTGCGCGAGGAACTTTAGCCGGATCTCGAGCTCACGTTTGAGCTTCTCCTCGTCGGCGAATTTGGTCTTCAGCTCAGCTCCTCTTTTTCTCATGCGTCGCTTATAAACCTGTAGAACTTTTTCATCATTTCAGCAATTAAAGGGGTGAGAAAGAATAACTTATCATTTATGCAAAATCACTTGAAAGAAAAAACTGAAAAATGCGTATTTTGAAAAAGAAAATTATTCCCACAGTTCTCCACAGTTTTTTCTTTCTTAATCAGCTTTTCTCATTGTTTGAATGCGTTTTTTATCCCTTACCCATTGCACGAGAGCGGTCACAAACAGGCAAAGTACGCAAAACGTGACGCCGACGATGAACAGCACCACCAGCATCCATACATAGTCTTGAGTTCCGATGCAGCATCCTGATTCGGGAAAAAGGACATTTACATGAGTAAAAATCTTGTGGACGTCTCGAATGAAAAGAAGCGAACTAGACATGTTCAAAAAAATCTTTTGAAAAGCGTTCATTCAGTTTAACATGTTCCTCTAAACTCCCCGAGAAATATCGGAAGTCAAGTAAAACACTGATAGCTCAGGACGTACCGTAACCAGCGAAGAACACACTTCCGACTGCAAATAAACATATTAAAATAAGATAATAAGTAAATAGACCTTCTTTATCATCCATAATTGGCGAGCGGACAAATGAGAAATAGTTAACTTTTTACGCAGACGTTTATTAAACGAACTCGCTTTTATCATTTACTCATAGCCAATAACAAAATTTACATAGACGTACGAGAAATAATAAAGTGATTGAAATAGTAAGGGCATATAAATTTGATGAAAAAGATGTACATTATAATTAATTCGATTCAAAGCAATATATAGACAATTATTATACAAAAAATGGATGAATTATCTGACACAATGTACAAAGGTCTCAAGCATTGAGCGCGCACACGCCACGCCAGTTCAGACCTGCAGGGAGCCGTCCGGTTTGCCCTGCACCGTCTCCGCTGGTCATACACGGCTTTTTTCGATATCAATAGATGAAAAATTACTGAAAATACGATTTTTTGCTTACCAAAGACGGATTTCTTAAATTATGCCATTTTGACGGGTTTTTTTTTCTTTTTGACTTCGAAGCAGCCCCCCTGAGTGAACCTGACGCGCATAGTTGAAAAAGAGTGAAAAATAAACCAGTGAAATTTTTTTTTTGAAAAATGGCCCTTTTGTTAATGTGAATGTGTCGCGTTTTGGGGTCGCCGCGGCTCTTCAGCAGCTCTAACTGGAAGGAAATCAAAATGTACAATTATTCTCGAAAGCGCAAAAAAAAAAAGTAAATATAAATCAGAAGATAAAATAACCGAGCGCTCATGGAAACCCTTCAAAGCCATCCATGTGAACAGACGCTGTGTGGCAAGTCATGCTACTGAATCTGAAATCTCCAGAAATCTTCTCAGAAAGATAATCGAAAGTAGTTTCGGGCTTCAAATAGACGTACAAGAAACCGCCGCCTCCAGCTCCAGCCATCCAGGCCGTTTCAATCGTTCCCGAGCTAAAGACAGCAGTTTATGAACACTGAATTTTTCTGTCTCTTCTCACTTTTTTAACATCTCAATGAGTTGCCCAACGGCCGTCGGTTCGCATCCGGGAGTCAAAACTTTTTTTGCCGCGTAATATTCATCGACCAGTTTCACAGGTAGTGAACCTGAGTTTTAAAATGTGGAACTCAATACAGTACCGGGAACCTTTGTCAATCTCGACCTCGAATTCTTTGACTCCTTCTTGCAAATTTTCCAAAACTTTGTGTACCGTCGGATCTCCTTCATAGTAGTTCCGCACGAACTCCTGAAAATGTTTATTTCAAAAAAAAAAATCAAGCTTTTTTGTCCTTTTTAAATAAGTTGCATTGAAGCGCTCTACCTGCAGCAGGTTCTTGGCGAGGCGAGTTTTTCCTGTATAGATGAGCACGAGCCTTTTCCCCAGCTCTTCTAGGAACTCCTCTTCAACCTCGATATTCCCGACGTCGACGTGTTTATCGTTTGTCGAGTAGTAGCCAACTTTTATTCCCGGAAAAACGCCGCCGATCTGATCTTGCCAGCCGCCGCCAGTCGTCAAAAGCTGCTCGACGGCAAGGACCTGAAAGAAGACAAAGAATAACAAAGAAATTGAGAAAAAAGCTACAAAACTTATGGATTAAAACTTCTTCCGCCACATTGACTCCAGCCAAACATCCTAATGCCTTGATTATGGCCGCAGCCAAAATCGAAGAAGTTCCCAGGCCTGGAATTACAAATATGAAGTTTGAAACAAATTGTTCACTACCTGATCCGTGTGGTAATGTTGAATGCGTAGAAACGAAAACTCCAGCCGAGTGGAAAACTTCCTTGAAACGATCGATTATTGGCTCTTCTCGGCTTCTGTAGATTCCCATCGCTACCAGGCACGCACAAACCAATGAACCTGTATGATAAAAAAAATCTATCTTAATTTTCATCCTTTTTTGAGCATGATAAAAATTTCACAATCCCTAAAGTCTCCAGAAAAGCTTCACTTGCCTTTTAAATTTGGTTTATCGTGAGCCTCATGAATTGCTTCGAAATCTTCAAATTTAACTTTTCTTCCTTCGCATTCCACAACTAAACCGGACACTTCCTCGCAAACTTTCGCTTCACAACAGAGTGGAAGCTGAAAAAATGATATCAAATCAGGACCGCAAAAAATGAATTGACTTCGCCATCCACTTTTATCGCCATGTTAACAACTGCCGAATTCTTTAGGCGGAACGTTATCGGCGGGGTATCCAGCCATCCACCGTACAGATCAACCTGTGGAACAATTTTTTTTAGAAAAATGAATTTTTTCAAACTAACTCTTCCGGGTGCTTTCACTTTCACTGCCTTCGGCCGTTCAGGTAGCGCCGGTCCAAGGAATTTGAACTTTTCGCAAATACTGAAAACATGGCGAGAAGTGAAAACTTGAGCTGCTGCTTCGAGGTGACGAGCTAAAAATATTCAACTAAATATGCTAACTTACAAAGTAGCGGAAATTGTTCAAAATGGGAAAAAATTTTTTTTTTGAAATTCTTTTTACACTAGTGTTTCAGACCTACGGGGACCAGTCCGGTTTGCACTGCGCCGTCTCCGCTGGCCATACCAGATCATTTTTCGACCACATTTTCTATTTAAAAAAAGTTAACACGGTTGCTTTCGACATTAATAGATGAAAAGTTACAGGAAATACGATTTTTTTTGGTGCTTACTTATTTACCTATGATAAAAATTCTGTTCATTATTTTATTTTATTTTTTTCTGTAAAGTTCTCGATTTTTCTTTTCTTTTAAAGCTTTCAGAACTTTTCGAAACTCTGAGATACGAATGAAATTGTGGAAAAAAAAAATCATTTTCTTACCTGCGCGAATTATTTTCGAAGGTTCGTCCATCCAATCACTGCGAATTTCTTTGTAGATTTCTTCTAAAGCATTTTCCTCGTGACCTGGTACCTTAAAAAAACGAATGAGAAGATACAATTGAAATATAAATATGATGTAGGGGTTTCGATTTTTTTTTAAACCTTCAAGCCACGCATCAATGCGACAAAACGAGGATTACTTGCAGGTCCAGAGCGGAGCCCGCCACGATTTCTGGCCCAAACTGCGAGGCCGTAGGCCTGGGCATGCAGGATTTTCGACGGGTCCTTTCCGTCGCGAACCAACGACTCAGCGTCTGAAAATTGCGGTTAAATTGCATCCTCCGTTCCAACCAACATTCTTCAAGCTGTAGCCCCTTGGCGTGCTCTGAAATGTTAGAATTTTTCAACAAAAGTTTTTTTTTACGTACCTCCTGCAAGTACGTACTGCAAAGCTATCAACGCGTTCATTAGTTTTCTAACGCTGAAATCGCTCTCAAGATTGCTGGCATCACACAACTTCGCGGTGAGAGTTCGTTCCAATAAAAATCTGGAAAATTTGAGATGAAATCTTCAGAAAAAGACTCACAATGAAGTACAAGGTAGGCAGACTCCAATATTGCCGAAATCGGGTCCCAAAACGCGATAATCTTTAACTGGAAGGTTTTCTGAAAAAAAGGGTGCAAAACCAGATTGTAACGAATTCCTACCGATAAAAGTATCGTTTTTCCAGAACCTATCATAAATCTGACTCCGAGCAAGTTCGAGTAGTTCTTCGTGTTCCGTTTCGATTTTGGCTCCCCCGACTCGAGATTTAACAAACTCTTCCTTCTGCGTGCAGGTGGCCATCAGAAAAATCGAAAAAAAGCGACAACTGAATTTGAAAAAAATAATTTGAAAAAAATTTCTATTATATATTTTTGTTTGAAATGTTCAGATGAAGCCATTTCGTTTCAAACTCGGTTTCGAAATTTTCAAGTTGTCCAGCTTCTATGAAGAAATTCAAACTATCAACTTGAAAAAAACGCTGATCACAAAGAAAACCAAAATTTTTTTAGAAGCGATTTTCTACTGAACGCCTTTTTTCGTGTGTCTAGATTAACCAGTTATCAGAACCTTCAGTCCAATAGCGCCGCTGTCGATTCCATAATAAGTGGCGGAAGACATCGGAAACCCCGAATGAAGGGACAAAAAAGCACAGGCGATCGAAGGAGGTAAGTATAAAAAGGCGAGGGCGATCTGATGCTGCTCCCTTTTCGTCGCACGCTCCTCACAGCAGTACTCCAAAGATTTGAGTTTCTACAAGCTCTGGGAGTTTTTAACGAGTTGAAATTCTTTCTAGACCATTGTATCATCGGTGAGGTAAACGCCATGACATTCAGCTATAGCCGGACCGGCAATGAACGAGTAGGCGGTTATCGAAGTGTTTGAGGGCACTTTTGGCGCAATATCGCCCAAGTTCCACTTGTTCTCGGTTCCTGTATGATTCAGTGATGTTTTTTTCTCTCTCAGACGGCTTCACCTATGAGGAAAACGCCCACAGAAGTTTCCTGAGCGACGCGGCCTGCGTCGCGGATCGCGCTTACTAGAGGCGTGTCCGGAACGAAGCCGACGTCAGTTTCGATGGGCGGAGTCTCCTTCGTTTCTACCTCGAAAGCTTTGCCGTGCGATCTGAGCATATCTTTGGTACGAGGTCCCTGGAAAGATATTCGTTGAAATGCGATGAATGACGCCGACCACTAGAACAATGAGAATTTTCGAGTTGTTGATCACATCTTCACTTAGTACGGTGAAGCCTCGTTTTGCGCAAAGTCGCTCGGTCTGTGAAATGGATATTCAAAGCAAAAACGATTTTTCTTTAAGTCCGCACACACTGAAGACATACTTTAGAAAGAAGACATTTTGGTCATGAAACCAGTCAGAGCGGATTCTTTTTTATATCCTGACAACTTTTAAAAAAATACGGACCGTCAAAAGGAAAGCATTCAGCGCACTTCCAGCCGATCCGACGTCTTCACAAGCGTCATTCGCAACCACAATCTCATCGGCTTCGAAAAGTTTTTGCTTTTCGAGAAATTCTACTTCTAAAAGACTCCAATAAAACCATAAAAATCCAATCGCAACCTTTGAAAACCTCCTCGGCGTCGACATCGTGTTGCACGGCCACGGCCAACGCATCCCACTTCCGCATAATAACAAAAAAAAATTTGTTTCAAGAAGATTTTTTTTTGGTTGCAGGAATATTTCGGCATACATCCCATATAAGGACCAAAAAAAACTGTCACAAAAGTATGAAAATTTATCAATACATAGAAAAGCAAAGGCGAGAAGCTGAAAGAACCGTACAAATTAAAGAGACGTGAAAATTCGAAATGTCAAAAAATTACAAGTTAGGAAATGCTGCAAATAAATGAGTAAGTGAGATAATTAATATTTTCAAATAACAAAAGTAGCTGGCTTAATTCGAACAGCAAAAAGCATAAAGTATATTTTCGGGCGAGAATATCGAAATATTTGTAAATTTGAAGGAGTAGTGAATTTGCAAGAAAATAGATTTCAGAAGGCAGAGATTCTGATCATCGATCGGTTGGGGATCCGCTCGGCCTTCCTGATCTTGATGATGGTCCGCAGGCCGTCTGGATACGGAGCCACGAACCAGTCGCCGACGCGAGTCAGCAGCTCGCCGAGCAGCCAAACTCTGTTTCGAGAATCTGCCGCCACCTGTCGCAAATTGTCCAGCAGGTACGGCTCCGATACAGTTCCTGAACTCAATGTTTCCCTTGTTGCATAAAAATTGGCATTAAATTTTTTCCAAACCTTTCTCCGTGTCGATCCGCAACAGTTTGTCGCAAACTTGAAGGTAGACTTTGTCGCCCGGGCAGGCGAGCCCGATTTTTGCCAAACGACTCGTCTGAAGGAGCTGAACGAGACCTTGCGGCTGCACCGAGCATTCTTCCCATTCTAAAAAGAAACTTTAAATTTGAAACTACCAAAAATTCGGGCTGTGATTCACTCAAGTTGAGTTGACAATTTTTCCATTTTAAATTTTTATTTTCCTAGAACCTTTTTTCGCCTACATTTCGAAAAGCAGCTATCTTAAAAAAGTACATTTTTTTTCTTGTAAAATTGATAACGCAAGGTATAGTAAAAACAGAAAATTACTTGAAAAATATTTTTGGACTTTGTCATAGGATATTCTTGGAAACTCAACAAGGCAAAAAGGAAAAAACGAACCGCTTCTCGAAAAGTCATCCGTATTCTTCAAATTCAGCAACATGAGCCGACAATCTTTTCCTATGGCCCAAAGGAAATCTGCCTCTCCTATGGCAACGCATCGCATCGGATCCTCTGTCCTGATCTGAAGTCATCGTTCTTTGCGAATTCCAAGAGAAAGTACCTGAGACCAGGAAGTTCCTTGAGGGGATCGCCTGCAAACGCCGTTCCGCAGCAAAACATGGCCATCCCGCGTCAAAGCCACACGTAAACAAAATGCACGGTTTTTGATGTTTGGAATTAAATGCTGAGTGTTGAATAGACTCTTAAGAAAATCACGTTGATTCCCGCAGAGAATCAAATGAAAGAAATCAGAAAGAAACTATAAACAGTGGCAACTACAAAAAAAAAAAACCAAAACCGGCGATTGTAAAAAAAAGGGTTCTAAAAGGCTACAAAAAGGGTCTCAAACAGACCAAATAAAGGAGGGCCTGAATTTCTAATTTTGTTTATCTTTTTTTTTTCCTCCTTTTTTGCTCTTAAAAAAGTTCTTTACAAAAAAAGGTGCTAGTAAGTACGGCTTATTTTCCGAAGGTGAGAGAACAATAAAAATTGGCTTTTAGCCTTTTAAGACTTACTTTGAAAAAAATTAGAAAGAAAAACACTCAATATTTTCGAAATCCACCAAAAAAGTTTCTAATTGCCAATTACAGTTCGAGTTTTCAAAAATTAAATTTTAAAGACTCTTATTTACTATTCAAGGTGTGCGAAAGGTTAACTAGATTTTTTTACGAGCGAATTCGGTGAGGTTAAAAAAATAATTAAATTTCTAATACATTTCAAAAACAATTTTATTTCTATTTCAGAATGGAAAAAAACACATCTTTCCGCTACCTTGAAGTTGCCAGCCTTTCCAACTTGAACATCTCCAGTTGGCGGCGCGTCGACACGAACCCAGGGTCCGCGGCATTCGAATCTCGCGCGTCGGGTCCACTTTCTTCGCCTTACTTTTCCCTGAGAAAATTTATATTCTTTCATGAAGATTGAAGAAAATCCTACCTGATCGCTGTCAAAAAATAATGCGATATCGTTAGAATACAGCCAGCCTTCGTCCGCCGGATTCGCTTCAACTTCGCAGTTCCAGTGAGCATCAACCCAGCTCCAGTCACGAGATCGAAGGCTACAGTAAGAATGCGAAATTCGGAAATAAATGAGAAAACCATTATTCAAATTTAAGAGTTTAGAAAACGAAAAGCCACCGAAAAGTCTGTTTTTTTTTAGTTCCTGACAGATGTGTTACAGAAAATGCGCGACAAAAATTGTAGAGAAAAAAGGCCGGGCGGCTAGCTTGGGGCGCAAAAAGGCGTGGCCTGTCTGCGCTCTCCATCAGTCAGGCACTGCCTCTTTTACATCGTGTCAGAACCCTTTTTCCAATGCCTCAAGCCAGCCGTGGATCGTCTATATAGTTTTTTTTCACAGACCTCGAGTACAGTCGTGGAACAGGAAAGCCAGTTGTGGCATCCATCCAAGGGCCGATTCCTTTAGTTTTGCTTTGAAAAGTGACAAAGCCTCGAAAAAGTGCCCATTTTTGGTATTCGTATATCTGAAACGGACGATTATCGTAAGTCTCTTTTCTAACCTACCTCTAAAATAACTTCATCGACTATCTTTCCGCCAAAAGACTGACCATCTTCTTTGTCAAGGGGATCGAAATCGCTGGAAAGTGCGTAAACGGATCCTGTCTGAAATATTTTTTGGAGCGCTATTTCTTTCACCTGTTTTCATTGTGAAGACTTTATGCGATTTAACTAGTCGTTTTGATTTTGAATGCGCCAAAAGGTTGTGAACTATTCTATCTAATGAAGCTGTTGTCGTTTTACTGCCATCCGTACTTCTAACATTTTATTTATTTATCGCCTCGAAGCTCGCTAAGACTTCATATGATCAATTATTTCTACTATTATTATTTTAAACTATCCCCATCGTTTTTTTTTTCTTTTTTTTCGCCCCTTCAGTTATTTCCTTTCATAATTTTGAACCTCAATGATTTAATATAACTATTATCAATCATTCAATAAAGCCAACCTTACAAACGGCCCAAACACACCGCTGCGCGCCGACTTCAACTTTTTCAAAGTGGCCCTTCACAGTCAACCGTTTGGTCTTCTCAATGGGAACATGGTTCTGAAGAAAGTTTGTCCCTTTTAACTTCAGCTTCAGAACCTCAATTCCATCTTGAACCGACGTCAGTTCGGCCAGACAATGGTACTGAATGACGCCGTTGGCCGTCGTGCTCCAAAGACACTGGCCTTGACGATCCCTCAACGAGGAAGCCAGTTGAGCACGAATTATCTGAAGTTCTAAAGGATGATCGCCTTCCGGAAGAGAACTGACATCTTCGAGCGCCACATGACAATTGTCTCTCGTCGCTTCGTCGGCGAAAGCTAAGACAATGTCGGAATCGGCGTATGTCACCCGCCCCAACAATAACAAATATTTTAGTGGTAGAACTTGAAAAAGATGGAAGTGCGGATAAAATCTAAAAATGTATTGTTTCCTATTTAGAACTTCAATTCGGCCCCCTCTTCCAACTCACATCGGCATGAACGATCCGTGCAGTCAACTTTTCCTCAACGTTGATTTCTACGCTATCCTTCGTCACCACTACCGACGCGCTTCTAAACAGAATATCTATCGAAGTCGTCGAAGAGAAATCAACTTGAAGGCGTCGGTTGCCGTCCGGAGTTGGCATCTGAATCGTTTGACGTCGATTTCCTCGCTGTTGGTTTCGTCTTCGACGCCAACTTGGGCCTTGACGTCTTTCATGGCTCGCCAAGAACGTTCATTGGCCGTTTTGAGAAGATCAAGGATCTGGGAAAGCTGGTTCTTGGGAAGTTCAGGCTTTTTTTGAATCTTTGAATATTTTTTTATATTTGGAAAAAAACTTCATTTGTTGAGGAAAAACTATTTTCCAATTTTTCGTCAAAAATTCTCGGAAACTTTTTTCGGATTCATTCTTTTCATAGCTTTTCTTTTTTTTCTTAAAAGAATAATATCCAAATAAAGTTCTAAGCTCCTAATAAAGAAACCTGGATTCGCCACTCGGCTTTTTTGAACTCGATCATTTCTTTTTTCAGTTGTAGAGTTTGAGCATTGGTCCAATAATCAGGTACCGTTTGAAGTTTGCACGCCCCGGCGTAAACCTAAAAAAAAACAAGACTTATTTGGCATGATTTCTCAAAATAGGCTTCAACGAGTTGTCCATTATTTTCTCCTTCAGTTTTGGCGAACCAATCAAATGGGTAGTCCGTTGGGGCGGACAAGTTCTATGAACGAACCGACATCCACTTCTCATCACTTTGGTCGGTCCTCGCCACGAGTCGCTCAAATGACTTGCCCGAAGGTTCATTGTCACTGATTCCACTGCGAATCAGAATCTTCTCGTCTTCGTTAGAGACGCAAAGAAGCTGAAAACCGGCCGTTTTTTCTGCAGTTCTTTTTTCAGTCTATGAATTTCTATAAGACCTGATCGCTGGCCATCAAGGAAAGGCGGCAGACGCCGCGAGAAAGCTCCTGAAAGCTGTCGAGTCGGATTTTGCCGAGGTGCTGCTCCGTCTTCAGGTTGTTGGTCTCTAGCCGTGACATCCACACCTGGAGGACCGGAAAAGATACAGAAACGTGAGCCGTAGCCGAACCTTCCCGTCCGCCGTTACACACCACAGGGCGGAAGTTCCGATGGCGATGGACGTGACCGGCAAGTCTTTTGGCGTCGCCATCGGAAGCCATGTCAAGCCGGAGGGTAGGGCTGAATTCAACTTATATGAAATGAAACAGGGCTCTATTGAAAATTATGAACTTAGGTCTTAGGAGGTTTCGAAAATTGTAATTTTCCTTTTTATTTTTTTTTTTTTTCGATCGAAAACAACATTACAACATTGATTGAAAACAACATTACAGAGCTAAACACTCTTGATCCAACAAAAATATGAAAGCTACATAATCGACATTTAAAAAGAATAACTTCAAGGTTATTCCAATTTACTCAAGTGGGGGGGTTAACACGACTGCGAGTCCTCTTCCCTCCATCACCACAAGTTCCGACACATATGTTCCCAAATTCTCCCTACATCTATTTCGTGAAATTTAGTACTTGTGTGTGAGAAATAAAAAACATTTTGATTGATTAAAGTCGTCTCAAAGAATTTTTTCTAAACTTTGTGCCAGTGGATGAAGCTTCTCGCCATTTTTACATTTGAAAAAACCTTTTTGCAGGTTGAACCTACCAGGGTGTAGTTATTGTACATCTAAATATTTTGGACGTTTTTAGAGAACTTTGAATCCAATGTTGAATTTTCTCGTGTTGAGTTATACTCGAGAGAAGTCCTTATAAAATTAAAGGCCCTATCGAAGGACTTTTTTAGAAAGCTTGCATAAGTGGTCCATATAGTTATTTCATTTGGTGGCTCCTGATAAGGGTCTGAAATCCGTTCTTTTAAAGACCACATCTTCATCCTCTATGGGGACCACTCTTGAATTCCTTAGTATATGAGAATTTCCAATGTTCTTTTCAGAAACTCCTTAAAGGACTCCTTACATTTTGATATTCCGGTCCGGTAATACAGTTTACCGTCCCAGGACGTCGCAATCAACGTCGGGACGACCGGAGAACATGCTATCAAGGTGACGTCATCCACTTCGAAACCTCAGAAAATCCTCCTTTCTTTCAGGTTTATTCCACATTTTACCTTTGATCTGAATTTTGGGTAAAGCACACCAAATATCGCCTTCAGGTCGGCTAGCCTTCAAACCGGTTCTTCTGAAGAGTATTTCTAGTCAATTTTCTGTACTGATATTTCGAAAACCTATAAATGATCCCATCATCAGCCAAAGCGAAAAGGAGATTTTCTCCGCCAGGCAACCCACAAACGGAGAGTTCAACGAAAAGCCGCGAACTTGTTGGATCGCTCATCTCAAAACAAATTATAAGGATTTTTTTTTGGTCGAATAAAAAGGTTTGAAAAAAAAAAGTTTTTTGAAGATCTTTTTCCACCTCAACCCATTGATCAGTAAACGTGTAGCGCATGTGTCTCTTGAGGAGTTTGCGACGAACAAAATGACTCCGGCCGCAAGAATTGGCCCATTTCGGTCCGTCAAATCCAAAAGCGTACTCCCAGCCCTCAAATCTCACAGTCTTCGGTGTTTTTTTTTTCTGTTTCCTTATGTTTCAAAATATGTACAATAGCAGACTCACGGCTGGCTTGGGTCTTGAAAAAAAAAAAAGAAAAATTTTATTTCTGGTTGGTGCCACGCCTCCAAGCTAGCCGTAAACAGGCCTAGAGGAGGTCAGACAAATCTTCCTTCAGATCGGAGAGGTCAGTTTTCAGGAAACTGGTGAGCTTAAATGAGACCTCCTTATCAAATCTTCTAGAGTCGCGATGGACGGCCCACGGTTCCTCCCAACTCCAGCCGGGCGACACCTCGAAGTTGCTCGGATTGGTGGCCGTTTCGCCGGCCTCGTCGGAGAATCGGCCGCGGTCGGTGGGCAGCGGCCGCATCCAACGCAGAAGCGGATACCATCGCTGGTTCGCGAAGAGCTGCACCTTCTGGCGGATGGCGACGTGCGACGGCAGCACCAACACCAGCACCTTGCCGTGCTGGTCGATCGCGTAGGCGGCGCTTGAAGTCGCCACCAGAGTCCGTATCGAGCTGGAGGAGCACGGCAACGCTTGCCATTCCACTTCCGATGCGCATTCTGGAGCCGTCAAAAGTGATTGATAATCAATTGGAAGCTTATTTAAGCAGATTTCAATAGTATTATAGATGATTCACGGCTAGCTTGAGACGCAAAAAGGCGTGGCCTGTCTGCACTCTCCACCAACCAGGGCACTGTCTCGTCTCTTTTCGTGGCAGGACCCTTTTCTCGATGGCTCAAGCCAGCCGTGAATCAGCTATAACTTTTTCTTGAAAATTGACTGGCGAATTCGAAAGAACTTTAGCTGTTCTCAAAGGCTGCAGAGAAGTTCATTATGATGTAATTTTTTTTTGTTCATAACCGTTTTTGACCCTTTTTTCAACCACATCTTGACCCTTTAAATTCTGAAATTGCTTAAAATCGCGAGAGTTGATGAAGAGGGCAAAACGCAAATCTTTTGGCGGTTTTTTTTTGCGGTCTCTCTTCTTGAGAACGGGCGGTTTAACTCACTTGGTGACGGTTGATCTGGTAGATCATGGCGGCCATGCATGCTCTCTTTAATGAGAGCCTCATTTGATGAATTATTTCTGTTTCTATTAAATTTATTTTTCTTTTACATTCATCTCATTGGTTTTTTGACTTCCTTAAAAGCAATGAATTATGAGATAAAAACAAATGAGTCATAAAATGGGGATTTTATGGAAGGCGCATGGATAGTCGCCATGATCTACCTTTGCCGCGGAAATTAAACTGTCCGTTTGCTGTCCCAAGCCAGCCGTGAACGGGCTATATATCAAAGTTAGTTCTAATTTCGTTGCTGTCTTTTTTTTGAGGCGCAAATTAATTTATCATCCACGTTTAAGAATCTAAGAAAATCAATAAAACAATTTTTAGGTCACCTATAGTCTGTTCAGATTTTGAATGTCAAGCAGCTAACTCCACCCTCAAGGCTACAATATCTTTCGCGCCAATATTTTATCCACAGATGACGATGGCCCTTTAATAAAGCTGCATTTTTGACTTCTTTTTCTATCTTTTAGATCAAAAAAGATCAAAATTAGTCCCGCGCGATAAAACATCGACGCGAAAAGGTACCGTCTCAGTCGGGGCGGAGTTAGCTGGTTGACATTCAAAATCTGAACAGACTATAATAGTGCGAATTGGCTTAACTCAAAAAAACTTTATGAAAGTTTTCATACTCACAATTTTCCTGTTTATTGATTTCTAAAAAAAATCGAAAAAAAAATTAAAAATTACGAGAGATTTCAAAGAAAGTGGAACTAAGCAGCTTCAGGCGGATATTTTAACTCCAAGAAGCCTGAACCAAATTTGACAAGATAATAAAAGAACCAACTAGGATCTTCGATAGCTGGACATCGGTGGGGTACGCCGGCGGCCGACACCATCCAAATGTATCCTTCCATGGCGGCTCATTCGGTTTCAACTAATTGATTGAATCCAGAAAAACGTCACAATCAAGCACGAGGTAATGATTACAAGAGCATTTTTTTGTGAACAAAAAAACCAAGTTAACGAGTTTTTTTATTTCTTTTGCTTGCAAATATATTAACCTCGAAAATATTTAGAACAAAAATTCTGACGAGAAAAAAAAAATCGTCACACATATGCCGGACTATTTTAGCAAGTTTTTTCACAACCACTGACAATATGAATCTCTCTATACAATATAAGGTGGTTAGGGATCTAATAAAAATTTCTTCTTTGTCATGCAAGACAAAATGGCTTGGATGGGTGAGGAAAGATTTTACAATGAAGATTTGGATATAAATATATGTATGGAAAGCAAACAAAAAAATAAAGCGGAATGTCTCCTATCACACGATTCACAGAGCTAATTGCAAGAAAAAAAGATGAAAGAGAAAAAAATCAAAAAGAAGCTGCTATTGACAGAGAAGTGTCGAAAATGAACGATTCCAACGTCCTTTCTCGGCAGAAAGTGAATATTCGGCATCTCTTTACTTATTTGTTGCCCATGGCAGCCTTGTTCGTCTGGAAAACTTCATTAAGAAAACACAGAAAAATATTTTTTTTCCAAATACAAAAGCTACCAGTAAGAAAGTTTCCTAGTTATTCGAAAAAGATCTTTTCCTTTTTTAGATCCTAAATCAACGCAATTCTTGTATTCAAAAAATTTTAATGGCTTGTTCATTGGAGCACCAAAATTGCACGCCATTAAGATAAAGTTCACGTAATTTTTGATAGTCAATCAAACGAAAAAAAATGTAAAAATGCAACACAGCAAAAAGCTCCCATTGAACCACTAATAAAAAAAAATGAATGGAATTAATTTCTGAGAAGTTCCTATACGAAAAAAAAAACAAATTAGCAGAACATAGAGTATACGCTGATGCACAAGGCAGGTCAAAGGAATAAAAAGAAGATAAAATCTCACCTGCACAATACCGATGATCATTCCAAAAAGACCAATAGCCGAAGCGAAAATTTCAATAATCAAAATCTTCACGAACAACGCAGGATTCGCTGCATCAGCAATAGCTGCGCCGGAGCCAACAATACCTGAAAAAAAAAACATAATATGGATCAACGCCGAATTTAAAATTTGAGAACAACGTTTAAAAAGCTTTTGAGTTGTCCTGAACAAAAAAAAACCAAAAAGAAATAATAAAACTATAAGTTTATCATCCCAGGCAAGTGTTTTTTTTATTATGTAGATACCGATAGAACATCAATCAGACTGAGATCCAAAGAAAGAGAAAAAACCAACCGACGGCAAGGCCGCAAACTAAGTTGCTGAAGCCGACGGTAAGGCCACCACCGAAAATCATATAGCCTGAGGCCAGATTTCTCGCCAAAATAACCATGTCCGCAGGAGAATCGGTCAATTCTTCTCTGCGGAAGTCCTGAGAAATTTCATGTAATGGTTTTTTTTTTCAACAAAAATTTCGATTTTTACGGAGGAATTCAGAAGAAAAAACTTACGGCAAGCTTTCCGACGAAGACGAAAGCCATAATGATACCGAAAATAGCGACGGCTTCACAGAAAATGATGGAAACCAAGTTTTTGGTGCGAATTCGCGGTGCTTTCACACCACCACCGAGAATTGACGAACCAGTCGTGAAGATCCCCCTGCAAAAGCAAATTTTGAATAATTTAAAATGAAACTCACCAGCCAGCGCCAAGAACAGATAAAGAAAGCGAAAAGCCGATCCCCAAGCCAGCCCACATGTGAGGCGAGGTCGACGTCAGGAACCAGGCAATGTCGAACCGATGGCCCTGGCCAGTGAGCATGTAAAACAAGCCTTGAAAAGTATTCTCGAAATCAAGAAGTAAAGAACTATCTAACCAGTGCCGATGAGCACAAGCGTGCCGATCGTGATCAGTGCGCCAGTTGTTTTTAGGATCGCTCCGGCCGCCATTACCTGTAGTTAAAGTGTGGTTTAAAAAAAAAGTTCAACTATTTAAGAAAAGTAGACAGATTTCGTACAAAATAAAACGAAAATAAGATTTTTCACACTATCTTAGATGTCAGAAACGCATGAGCAATTTATGGAAAACTAATTATTAATGACCATAATTGATTTCAAAAAAAAAAATTACAAAAATATGAATAAGGAAGAAAAACAACAAATTGACAAAAACAATGCTGCGTTTCGCTAGTTTTTCGCTCAATTTGAGCGCCGAGAAGGCTCATAGAGCTTTACGAAGTATTTCAGTGTCTGATGCAACTTACCAACTCTTGAAAAAACGCATTACATAATTTTAAAAATTAAAAAAAAAGAAATTTACAACGCAAAAGATCAAATTCTGTTCTCGGTCGATCAGTGAGCTCGCAGAGTGTATCCGCACACTAGCGGATCATACACGCTCTGACGCACGACAAGGGACTTGGAAAATTGCCAACGGCTCTTTAAACTTTTTACGATTTCAAAATCATTTTTAGTTTTTGAATTCATTGTCATATTTACACGAATTTTTGAACAATTTGTCATTAAGCTCGTTTAAATCGTTTGATCGGGTTGTATTTAACTCAAAAAGGTTTATTGATTTCGTATTGTTACAGAAAAAGGATTATATTTCCATGAAAGTCACGTGGAGCCTACGTACTTTTGAATGAGAAGATTACTCGAAGAGGTAATTCAAAGTTTTATTAATCAGTTTAGTGAATATCATGTTTAGTCGTATGTTTTGGAGTGAATTGAATTCTAGGAAGAGCCGGAGTCTGAGTCTCTAATCGCTTCGAATTCACGACCCGCTCCCTCATCATTGAGCAATCGCCGCGGTTTCCAGGTCATTTTTTGACATGAAGACTCTTTATCGATCGCATCTACTTATTACTGAACTTTTAGGAAAACCCTGTCACCGTTTCGATAAATGTAAATAATTGGCGTGTTTTTTTTTTCAAGAAGTCGTTGTTTTTGTGGTTTTTAATTTTAATTGTGCAGTTTTAAAAAAAAGAATAATTTCCTATCAAGGATAGGAATGAGCTCATTGAAGAGCGCGATTCGCTGTTGTGTTGACCCATTCAATTGTAAACAAAGACCGTTGACGCACTTCCGCACGGTCTTCTTTTTCCATTCTTCTTTCTATAAAACCCTTTTTTTTCTGAGTCGCCTGATAGAGCTTTTAACATCAAGATTAAAATTCAAGGAATTATTAAGGTTGAAAGGTTTTCTAGCCTGTCGATCTTGTTTTTTTGCATGTGGTTTTTTTCGTTGTTTCTTTTTCTGTTTGCACCTATTTTTGTGAAAACATGTAGTTTAAAGTTGTTTTGAAGTTACAGAAAAGATTATAAATTTCAGATGGAGCGGCGGAACAGGGACTTGTCCCTAGACGAGGTTGAAATGGATAACAGTGCGCCCGCAATGGTCCATGTCGACACTTTAGGAGGTTTTTTATCTCTCATAATTTGTCCGCAAGCTCCAATTTCTCGAAAACTTGGCTTGAAAAATCAAGTTTTTAACATTTCACTTTTAACCTTTAGGAATTATCGAAAATTGTTTACAGGTGGCTACGCATCTTTCAATTCGAGCGGACACCAGGATGAAGAAGACGAATCGCCCAATGAACCGATTCCGCCTCTTTTCAGGTGTCTTGACCGTTCAATTTTCAAAGAAAAAGTTTGTTTTTCGAAAGAAACTCAATGAAATAAGTTTGCTTCGGAAGACGCAAAAAGTAGCCTGAAAAACGTAAAATTTCATGATTTCTGCCAAATCGTCCAGAAAGCTTTTACGAGCAAATGTTCCCCGTAGAACTGCCAGATCCTGTATAAAGGTTACTTTGCAGTAAATACGGCGATTTCCACACGATCGACTGGCAGAGAGACTTGGCCCGAGACCGGTTACGGCATAAATTGATTGTTGGAAAACAGTTAGTTTAAGAAAATGAAGTATTTATGCCAAAATGGTTTGTTTCCAGAGCCGAGTTCCCATTGGGAGCCATCCAGTCCGCTTGGGACGCGAGCGCTGGTTGGATTTGCGTCCTTTTGGTCGGGCTGGCGGCGGGCGCCACCGCCGGAATCATCGACATCAGTGCCCGGTGGATGAGCGATTTGAAAGTTTGAAGTTTTCTATTGTCGAGATCCAAATTTTTCAAAATGCCAAAAATTCTACGCGCGATGAAAACATGGTTTGAAAATTTAAAAAAAACTATTCTAAAAATGATATCGTTGTAGGACCCTAATCTTTTTGTGATGTCATTTTGTGTACCTCAAGTGTTCCTTGAATAGCGACAAAAACTCGAAAAAAAAGAAAAAAAAAACGAATATATTCGAAAAATCACGTAAATTATTTTTTTTTTTCGCAATAAGGCCGAACAGTTCTGACTTCACGTCCAAAAAAATAGAGCGTTTTGAAAAATCTTTACATTTTCATTTATCTATTTTTACACTTTTATTTGTTTTTTTGTGACACTTTTTCAGAAATTTATGTTGATAAATGTGAGGGAAATAGATAACTATTTAATAGAATGAATTCAAACTACTCAATTTTTTCAGAACGGTGTTTGTGCAGACCGATTCTGGCTTGATAGGGAACATTGTTGTTGGTCGGCAAACGACACTGTTTATAAAGTTTGTTTTATATCAAAAATGAAATAAAGTTCGCAAAATAATTAAGGACTATGATTGCAAAGCTTGGACGAAATGGCCGTGGATGTTCGATTTTTACAATCAGAGCAGTGCGATTTTCGGGATTTTGGACTTTTTGTTCTACGTTGGCTGGGCCGTGGCCATGTCGACGTTGGCTGTCTTGCTCGTCAAGGTAAGAGAAGATTTTTCAAAGGAAGAAAAAGTTTATTGAGTTTAATTCAAAGTTTGTGATTTTCAAAGTTTTTTTGAGTTCATATCAGTATGATTCCGATTTTTTTCATTCAATTCCAGCTATATACCTATTTTATTATTGACTTTTATCCGTGGAATCCGAAGAAAACTTTTCAATTTCTCAAAATTTCTCGAAAAATCTAAAATTCAAAATTCGTCAACATAAAAAAAAGTTATTTATTTATTTTTCCACTTGAAAAATGAGCCAAGTTTTCAGGTCTTTGCCCCATACGCATGTGGATCCGGAATCCCAGAGATCAAGTGCATTTTGTCGGGTTTCGTCATCCGTGGCTACCTCGGCAAGTGGACCTTCATCATCAAATCCGTCGGCTTGATCTTGTCATCGGCTTCCGGTTTGAAAAAACTCATCGACTTTATAATTTTTTCTCCTTTTTTAGGCCTCTCACTGGGTAAAGAAGGCCCGATGGTCCATCTGGCCTGTTGCATTGGGAACATTTTCTCGTATCTTTTCCCCAAGTATGGCATGAATGAGGCGAAAAAGCGGGAGATTTTGTCGGCCTCGGCTGCCGCGGGCGTCAGCGTTGCCTTTGGAGCGCCCATCGGTGGTGTTTTGTTCAGGTAGACTTTTTTCTTTTTCGCGTAATGTTTATTGGGAGCTATGAAAATGTTTCATTTGAAGACTTTTTATGAATTTTGTAACTCATTACTACTGACCCGAACTATTTTAAAGGTTAGATTTCTGTTTAACTTTTTTTCTTCTTCAGTTTTTGTTTCAGGAATGATTATAGGAAGATCTGAAGTGTTTTATTCGAAGAAATTTCATAAATTTCGAAATCTTGATAGAAAGTATCTTTGCAAAGCGGTTTTCAGTTTTATACAAAAAAGTGTGAGCGACTTTATAGCGGGATTGATAAATCGCATGCGTTATGAAAAAAAAAATATTATTAATGAAAGAAAAGACGTGATACTTTCAGTAAAAATAGACTTAGGAATGCGCGAATGGTCCCTATAACGCATCCATAAGGGCTATTGAAGGTTCCCCATCTAGACACCACTTCACCTCTCCCTGTATTGGCATCAATAGGGACATTCTAGTCGATTATTGTTATGAAAAGAAGCGTTTTCATGCCAAAAACTCAATATACTAGCGTTATTTGAAGGAAAAATATCAACAGAGAAGTAATTGATCCAGTTTTATTAAAGATCGGATGATCCTATAGGGACCAATTGAACTTTAGGGGCTTTTGTTTTACAGTTTATTTTCAAGAAAGTTTACAGTCTCGAAGAAGCGTCTTACTATTTTCCGCTGAAAACCATGTGGCGATCATTTTTCTGTGCCCTCATCGCCGGTATCATACTTCGGATCGTGAATCCCTTCGGCAGTGATCAGGTTAGAGGCTTTTCGAAAAATAAATATGCGGAAGAAGTTTAGACGTCGCTGTTCCACGTTGACTACATGATGAAGTGGACTTTCATCGAGTTAGTCCCGTTCGCGGGCCTTGGGCTTTTTGGCGGCATCCTCGGCAGCATGTTCATCTTCTCCAACATCAGGTATCTCATTTTTCCTTGAAGTAAGCTAGGACAAGACTGAGTTTTCTGAAGAGTACAGTGTTTGAAGGTTCAGAGGCGTGCACTTCCTGTGTTTGCACTTTGTTGCGTAAAAATGCTGTCTTTTAATAACCTATAATGGATGGCTGTTTGATAACCGTTCCCAGTGGTTTTTTGGGGTTTAGTTAATTCTGCGCGATTCATAGAACTTATGGCTTTTCAAAATATTCGTTATCCTTTTCACTTTGACGGTCAGTTCTAATCAGGGGAACTCAGTCTGAGTACATACTGAAGTGCAAACACGCACGCTTCAAAATGCGGACTACGACATACAGTACTCTTTAAAAAAAAATTTTTTTTCTACATTAAATATTCTCTCCTAAAGCACATTCCGCGCCAGCTCTTCACGATTTTTGCTTCTTTCTGAGCTACATAACCCTTCCTTTCCATGTGCGCGACCAATGTATGTTCTTGCTCCTTTAAGCTGGCGCGGAATGAGCTATAAAAAAGATGATTTGGTAACTTCTGAAGTCTGCAGATGGTCTCGGTTCCGAAAGAATTCCAAGCTCCTGGGTGGTAATCCAATCTACGAAGTGGTCATTGTGACGTTGATTACGGCGAGCATTTCTTATTTCAATCCCTACTTGAGGAAAAGCGCTTCTAGCATGATCCAGCAGGTTTTCCTCCTAGAACTGATATTCCAACAATGAATTTTTCCCAGTTGTTCGACCGCTGTGGGCCCGAAGACCAAATGGACGACTTGTGCGATTATCAAAACAAAACGTTCACAAATAATAAAGTTGATGACAATTACCATACTGGCGTTTTCGGATCTCGTGTACATGTAATTTTTCTCCTTTTTCTCGAGTTTCATGACGTAGTTTGGCTTTAGAGCGCATTTTGGCAGCTGATTTTGGCGCTCGTCTTCAAGTTCATCATGACGATTTTCACTTTTGGAATAAAGGTAAGACGGTTATTTTTATAGGGAATAATTCTTGTTGGTATTGCTGCTAAAAGGTTTCCTTTGATTCCGATAACTAATAAAAAAAAATTCTTTGCTGAATCATAGGACCCTACGTAAAATATGTCTGTTTTCAGGTTCCATGTGGCCTTTTCGTGCCGTCAATCGCGATGGGAGCCATCGCCGGCCGTCTGATGGGAATGACAATGGAAAGCCTTTTCCGAAACATCCAGGAGCAGGACGGCCATTCCTCCTACTTCACCTGCCAGATTGGAAAAGACTGCGTCATGCCGGGTCTTTACGCGATGGTCGGCGCGGCGGCGGTCCTCGGCGGCGTTACTAGGTGCGAAGAGAAAATAAATGATTCATTTTTTTTTCGACTCTGAAAATTAGCAAAAAATAACACAAAAATGATCGCTCTCGTAATGTTAACCACCTTTAAACATTTTTAGAACAACTTTCTGTAAGAAAAAAACTCCAAATTTCCTCGTTTTTATTTTCAAAGGACAAGTTCTGTAATAGTTTCAAGCTCTGAAAGGCTCAAAAGTGCTCTTTTTTCAATTTCAGCTTTACTCTGTTTTTTTTTTCCTGACAGCCTCAGATGATTGTTATTTCTCAGAATGACGGTATCACTGGTTGTGATTATGTTTGAGTTGACCGGAAGCTTGGAATTTATCGTGCCGACCATGGTCGCCACCATGTTCTCCAAATGGATAGGTGATGCGATTTGCAAATCGGTATCAATATCTTCCAACTTTGTTCTCTGAACTGTTCGTGTGTTCCAGGGCATTTACGAGGCCCACATTGAACTCAATGGCTATCCATTTTTGGACAACAAGGGCGAATATCCGTACTCGACGGTGGCTTCTCAGGTAAAATAAAGTTTGGAAAACTTGAGGCTCTGAGCTTTTTTTGAGGGATTTCAATTCGCAAAAAGTAGCCGCGTTAAAAAAAAAAGAACCCAAAATCGGTGGAATCAGCTCAGGTTCTTGCGGCTAATCTTTGGAAAATGCTTAGATCGGAGATTGAATAAACTCAATTTTTTCAAAAGTTTCTCCGCTTGGTGAATGGCTCGATGTGCAGCGGCTGCATAGCGGTCTCTCTGAAGGAGAAGCTGATTCACAGCTATTGGAAGGCTTTGAGTCGAGGCGAATCCTAGAGCAAAATTTCAACAATAGTCGCCCAAATTGCAACGCCTTGAGCCATTTTCCTTTGGTCCAAAAGATTTTATACTGTAGCAAATCATTTATAACTAGAAAAACTTCTTGGCGAATCACAGAATTTGCCGCGCTTTTCCAGGTGATGCGTCCCGGCTCCGCTAGAAGCGATGATTCATCGGTGAGCAATTCGAATGAGCTCTACGTCATCACCCAGGACGGCATGACACTGGGAGAGCTCGAGGTGTTGCTCAGGGAGACCGACTTCAACGGCTTCCCCGTCGTCGTCTCCAGAAACAGCATGTACCTCGTCGGATTCGCATCGAGGTTTTTCTCATTCACCTGAAGTTTCGTCGGAGAAATGGCCGTCAAACAATATGATTCCGTGCTATTCAAAATCTAGTGATCCTTTCGCTATCTGTTGTTTTGATTGAATTTCACATTTGAAAAAACAAAACACTTTGACTCTGTAAATTCATCCAGTGTCACAATTGCGGACACAGCTTCTGACATCTCGTACCGTATTCGGGTTTCGGTAGGGACCTTTTTAATTTACTCTCACTGTAGCTCGGTTACGGTCAGTAGTTAGGTACATGCGTATCTAAAAATCGAGGAGTTTTTTCTAGACATTTATTCACTAATCGATAGGTAAACATATTTTAGGAATTTTTTCCAGTACGTGCTATTTCGATTTATGTAGAAGCTTTTTGAGATGCGGTGTTTTTTGTGTTGGCAAAGTGATGGTATGAAAAAAAAGCCAGCGAAATTTCAAAAGGCGGCTTTTCCGATTTTTTCGTATCGCTAGGGAACTTTCCGCCGAATCCCTTTCCGACTTTTTTTCCCTTATATTTCTCGGTTTATAAAACATCTGTTAACATTTTTTTTCTATTTCGTTGTGTTTTAATCATAAATAACTTGCCTACTGTATATGGGAAGATTAAAAACAAAGAGTTTATCGAGAAAAAAAAGCGGGAAAAAAATCGGCGGAAAGGTGGACGTCGGAAAGTTCTCTAGCGGTGTGAAAAAATCGGAAGAGTCGCCGTTTGAATTTTCGCTGGTCTTTTTTCACATCACCGGCAAAGCTGGTTTTTTTCTATCAGATTAGCTACAAATGCTTTGCTAATCCTCAAGCTTATAGAATGTAGTTGAAGCAAATCTTTTTCGCATTCAGAATGACAGCTCTCGATTTTAGGAGAGATGTTCAAATGGCCCTGCACACGGCGCGCAAGACGCAGCCCTACGTTGTCACGGATTCGATGGCGTATTTTTCGAGCAACGTTCCCGATCAAGTCGCCGGAGGGCCGGCGCCGCTCCGCTTGAGGAAGATTATCGATTTGGTTGGTTTTTTGCTTAAATTTGACCTTTTTTTTGAAAATCGAACAACAGCTTTACAATTAATGAGATGAGGGACCTCTTGAAGATTTTTTAAATTTATCTCAAGCTTCTAACGGGCATTGAAAAGCGAAGGGGGAAATTGTCAAAAAGGCAGTTTTTCTAAATTTTGCGACCACTTGTTCAAAACCCACTTTCTACATACAACTCTCGGGTTGCCCGTGGGACGATTGCTTCAGAGCGCGGGTCGATCCAAAGCTGCAGCTCTATTTTTGAGGAGAAAAATACTTGAACTCGAAAATAACTTTGGAAGCAGCTCTTCGTTCCGAGAAACTTAAATATATAATATTTATTTCATTCACATGAAAAAAATAGTCATTGAAAAAAATCGAAGAATAAGAGATTGCATTCGAATAAAAATCAATAAATTAAAACCCGACTTTTTTTTTTAGCACCCCAACGCGTGTAGATACCGGGACCAAAAAAAACACGTACATTTCCGTGATTGAGAAAAGCATTTTACAGAGTTGTAAAAGCTTTTAGAAGTTTTTTTTGTGAAATGTAGAAATCGGTTCTCAGGCGCCGATGACAATCACGGACCAAATGCCGATGGAAACCGTCATCGACATGTTCCGGAAGTTAGGTCTTCGACAGGTTTTTTTTCTTCAAAAAATACGTTTCAATTCATAATCCCATATTTAAGGTGCTCGTAACTCGAAGCGGCAAAGTTTTGGGGATCATCACGAAGAAGGACATTTTGCAGTTTATGCGCAACAACGAACGCGGCATCGTTAATCCAAACTTCAAAACTTGATTTATTGATTCATTCGTCCTTCTGGGAAAATTCTTAGCGGCCTATTTAGGGTTTTTACGTTTTAAGGGCTACTATAGTAGTCGAGTTAGTGGCTACTTGTACAAAATTTAGTTTTTAAGAGTCTCAGTTGTACTAATAAACCACTAAAAACTATTGTAGCACAAATAGGGAATTCTAAGGAAGTGGCTTCAATTACCACTTTAGTGTCCTATCTAAGTAGTCCTTGAGAAAATTCTCAAGGGGCCCCTAGAGTTTTTCCCAGTTTTTCAACCTACTTGCGTACACGAAATTCCAGCCGATCTTCTATTTATTTATTTATCAATAACTTATTGCAATATAGACAAAAACAAATCGTTGAGCTGAAAAAAGCGTCTAGTCTTCACATTTCAGCTTTTATTCACCTTTTCTTTCATTCATGTGCTTGTTTTGAGTGCCATTTCCATCACAATCAATAGGAAGTACTTGATTCTTGATATTGCCAAAAAATTTTCCTACTCATCGGAAAAAAAAATCTGTTCACGGTGCTTTACTGATCCTTCCCTGTAGATTTCGCATGACTCCCATACGTGTCGGTTCTCTTTCCCCGCAATTAGTAGAAACTATCAGTTGCCATTCGATTTTAGTCTAACCATACATATACTTCTTGCGCTTTTACGGTGTTCATTCCTTTTTTTTTAGTCATTTTTATGTTTTATCAGTGATAAATCTTTCAATTTTTTGAGGTTATTCAATGAAGTATGGAGTTTTCTTCACCTTATGTAATTCTTGGATTGAATGAAATCGAAGTAAAAAGGAGATGAACTTTTTTGATAACGTATTTAAAGATAGATTTTGAGATGCATATTATGTTGGAGCGTACTTTCATAGTTGCTTCGAATTCATCAAAAAATTGCAATAACTGCGAAAGGCCAGACAAACATGGCTTCTCTGCTTTTCTGGTCTCCCTTAAGGCCGCAGCTGTTCTCTTGCTTTTTCTGCTTGTGTTCACTGATTCTGGAAGAAATTCAGCGGAACTAGTGATCAACGGCGGATTGAATAGGCGCTAGGGAAATCAGAAAAATCATGTTGCCTATCGTCTCTTCAGGTCATTAGACATCTCGTTCCCGAATTTTGAGGTTAACTAAAAAGGGAGTATATTTTTGTAACACATTTCAAACAAAAGAAAGAAACTTTTACTGAATCATTCAAAGATTTTCACGGAAGGCGGAAGAAAAATGACGGCGGCGCAGCAGACCAACATCAGGACGGAAAAGAGCAGCAGGCAGAAGCGGTCGAGGGCCATCGCCGCGAATTTCCATTCCTCCTAGGTTAGTTTTATGAAATTTTCAATGATTTATCACGTCTCGAAACATTTTAATGGTGTTCGAAATGACTCAACGCGTGGCGGTTGAACTCAGAGTTACTCCGAAATAGCAGACTAGGCGAAATTCTATGATGAACACTTTTTTGCGTTTTGAAACGTGTTCCTTCCCTCTAATGAACACGAAAGTAGCTACAGTTACGTCAGAAAAGATGGTGGTATGAAAATAAGACCAGCGAAAATTCAAACGGCGACATTTCTGATTTTTTCATATCGCTAGGGAAGTTTCCGACGCCCACCTTTCCGACGAAACTTTTTCCGACTTTTTTTCTCGATAAACTCTTCTTTTTGAATTTTCTTATATGAAGTAGATAATTGGTTCATGATTAAAACACAAAGAAATAGGAAAAAAAAAATGTTAATAGATGTCTTATAAACCTGAAAATATAAGGGAAAAAAGTCAGAAAGGGATTCGGCGGAAAGGTGGCCGTCGGAAAGTTTCCTAGCGATATGAAAAAATCGGACAAGTCGCCGTTCGAACTATCGCTGTTCTTATTTTCATACCACCGAAAAGATACAAAAAAAAAGCTTTTGCTCACAACTTCCCTGTATGAAGATTCGTCTTTCTGGAATGTTCTGAAGTTGCTTTTTCTTTTCTATGAGCTCAAGACTCATCAAATTGTTATAGCCGATTCCTGGTTAGCCTAGGACACTGAGGGGGCGTAGCCAGCCAAATTTTTTTATTATCTTCCCAGGACTCTTTTTTTTTCGATCGCCTAAGCCTGCCGTGAATCAGCTATGAAAATATATGTACTCACCAAAACACCAGAATTTTTCATACAAGAAAGTTTGGATCAAAAAAGTGTTTTCGTATTTTTTTTCCTGACGAAGCTGTACCTCAACATCCTTGCGTTCCCTTTTGATCGCGATTCTTCGTCGGATCCTCGCCACTTGGTCCACTATCACTTCGTACAGTTTGATTGTCGATAGCAGCGTTTGGGCCAACTCCGGGTCTGAGATGGAAACAATCTTTGAGAAACAGAAACTCGATTTTTTCAAAAATAAAAGACTTACTTTCCTCGTGGATCGCCCTTTCGCAGGCCTTCATTCCTCTCTCAAACTTTTCAGTTCGCGATTTTTCGTGCGCATTGCAACGCCGGTGGACGAATAGCCCCTGAAAATGATATTCAGTAAGAAAAAAAAAGTTTACATATAGATCTCACATTATTCCTACAGATGTTTTTCTCTAGCTGTCTTTTTGAGAAGCTAAAAAGTTCTTATTAATTTTCATTTCCTCAGAAATTGGATAATTTATCAAAAACCACAACTCTTCAATTCCTCACCTACAGTTCCACAGAAGGTCGTGTTCTCAAATTTTTCTTTCAGACCTGAAGTTTCAAAAAATTTCAAATTTTTTTAAGCTACACTAGTTCTGTAAATACAGGCGCAAGTCAATACGTTTGCAATTTCCGTTCTAGTAATTATATGAACTAGATTTTCTTTGAACCCTCTTCGAATCGTGTAAATGAAATTATATCTCGAGGAGCTCAAAGTTTCTGATTCAATTCCTGGTTTTTTTTTTGTGAAAACTCACGTCGCCGACTTTTCTGCCGATCGAAAGTTTTTCAGTTGGAAAAGGGCAGAGGTTGGCGATGGCGTCGTCCTCACCGTCGCTGCGACGGACTTCGCTGAACTCTCGCCTCTCCGAACACTGTGGAACACAAAATGAGAGGTCTGATAAGGGCCTTCAAAGCTCACCTGGACGCATTCGTCTTGTTCTGCGATTTTGGAAACCCCGGCTTTGTGGAAATGATGTTCTGGCCGTCGCATCATCATTAGCCACGGCAGAAACTCGAGGAACATTGTACGGAACTAAAGTTTTCAGGCTTCTTTTCCCTTATTGACATTCCAAAGAGAGAATTTTAGTGTTGTTTCTAAATATTTTACGTTTGAGCTCCAGTAAATAGATTCTGAATGATTACTAGATTACTATAAGAAGAAGTTTCTTAGGCTGATTCTGACTGTGAACTGAGAAATCAAAGACGCAGTTGAAAATTTTCACTCCTCAAAAAAAAAACGCACAACAGGAGCCATCGCATGATTGCCGAATTGCCGATATCGGATATTCAGGACGAGAATGGTGAACGTGGTGGATATAGAGACGATGAAGGTGACGACAGAGAAGAAGACGCCGAGAAGCGGCACGGCTTCTGACGTCGTCGGCGTCATCTCCGACAGGATCGTCAGGAAGAAACAAACCGACAGGAGGATCGTAGTCTCTGAACAGGTTTTTTTTTTCTGAAAGTCCATTATTTCATGTTTTTCGGTCGTGTTGGCTTATATTTTGTTAAGAGTTTAAAGTTATCAAAGGAGTTCCTTTGATCATAAAAAAAGCGTATTTTTTTCGAACTGTTTACTAAAAAAATTATTTTTTTATTTTATTTTTTTATGGTACTTTTTAAGCGAAACGAATTAGCAACATAAAATTAAATTTCTTTCCACTAGAAGTACCTGCTATGGAAGTTTTCAAATCCAACTCTCATTGATTTCCGGCCACCCTAGTAACTTACGTAGTCCGATTTTCTCGCTCATATCGGTGGCGGGAAGGCAAAACGCCAAAAGGGACATGAATGAGACGAGAAGTGAGGGGAGAAGCACGTTGAACAGGTAGAAGATGGTCCGACGACGCATGTGAAGGAAAAATCTGAGATTTTTCTTTTATAGCTTTTTTGTAGCCTGTTTTTCATTAAGTTTGGAACTTCTGAAGTTGCAAATTTATAATCACGTTAATCCATTTCAGTGAGAAGTTTGGAAATGTTCAAGTTGTTTTCATGTTTGACGTCTAAACTTTAATCAGAGCGATTAGTTGTTCATATTCTGACTGTCGAACCGTTCTATGGCTTCAGTTTTTCGTTACAGTTTTAGAATTTTGAAATTTTTGAAGAAGGCGATGCCTTACCTAACAGTGGGGTAGGGCTCTCGGCAGCATTTGTAGAACTTTTCCTCTCGAACGGCCGGCGCTTGAACCAAGTGCCACTCGCCATTTGATATAAACGTGGAAAGATCGGCAGAAGGCTCTGCAACCACGTTTAACTAATTTTGTGTGCTGTAAACTCTTTTCCCACCGTCGTTATCTACAGAATCAATGCGTAGGTCTAGAGCAAAGCCGTGGTAGGTCCAAGATCCGAATTTCATAAAGCAAATCTAGAAAACATTGATTTACAAATAGCCCTTATGATTACCTGTTCATCAAAAGGGAACAAAGTGATGTCCATTTTGCAGCTGAGCTAAAAAAAAAAGCTCATTCCGCTTTTAGTTGAAAATTAACGAACTTTAAAGATCCCCGGCGGAATCCAATTGACAAGGCCATCGCTGTAGACGACTATGTTGGCCTTGTAGGTCGAGTCGAAGCTCTCCTGCTCACTGAAATGTTTTTCTTAAGTTTAATATTAATTCGCCTACTTGTCGATATATCTGTTGTAGAGGAGAATGTCTGGCTGCCAAATTTGCTCCTCTCCGCCGAGAAATCGAATCGTGCTGATGTTGTCGTAGTCGACAGGTCTCCAACGGAGCCGATAGTCCGTCCAGACCTGCGGAATCACCAAGTTCAGCGAGAACTTTGAACCTTTTCACTCGAAAAAATTCAAAGTTCGCTTTTCAACCTATTATGTCTTTTTCAATTCCGCGAGATCATCAAAATAACTGACGTATTTGAGCCAAGCGTTGACCTCCACCATTTGATGTTTTGCGTCGACGTTGAGAATTTGCTGAATTTTCTGTTCAATTATCCTTGCTGAGTTTTTTAAAATATTTAAAAAGCTATCAAAGCTTGTAACCGTTCCCAGTACTATTTTGAGACATGCAAGATCTGCATCTTTCAATAACTCCAGAAAAGCGATATAAGCTCTGTTACCTGAAGATAAACTCGCATCGAGACCATCAAAGCCTTTTTAGGATTTCTGACCGGTCGAACCCAGGCGCTGTAGTTGGAAAGAAGGTCCCTTCAAAGAATGCTTTGAGGCGAATATAAAGAGAGAAAACGCACCTGTAAAGCTTCGCTTCGATCTTACTTCCAACGACTTCATCTGAACACAGTTCTAGCAACAGAACAACGTGAACAACGCGCAAAACTTGAGATAAACGCATTTTAGGGTGCTTGGAACGTTTTCCGACCAGAAAATCGGCCAATGAGCTGTCAAGTGGCGACTTCTTGTTCAAACATGCTCGTTTCCACTCAAATGTTACCGAAGATTGCTTCAAATTTATCGCATGGATATTTGGTCCTTATGGTTTTTATTAAGTTTATTTGTTACTTTTACGGAGAGAACTTGAGGTTGCGCGAGTTTGGTTGAAAAACCAAGTCAAGGTTATAAAAAAAAAATTGAAGAACATGCTTCGATCATTTTCTCTCTTCTTTTTTTTTAAGATCTGAACATGAGCAACTCTTTATTCAAATTATGAAGTTTTCAAAGTATCGCCTGTAATATTTTTTCGCCTTTTCATTTGGCTCAACCGAACCTGGCTTGAAAATTTCTCGATCTTATTATATTCTACATTCCAATTCGAGCTACATGTTTTTTTTCTGATGCGATTCTACTGCACAAAAACCTCAATTACTTCTGCGGAATCTACGTTCCACTGGGTTTTGCGAACACCGCATGGTTTTTTTGCAACTCGTACTTGACTTTTTTTTTCAGTTTTCCATTTTTTTTTATTTAATTTCCAATTTTTCTTGTTTGGTGCTATAATTCTTGGTTTTAAATTGTGTTTTTAAACTTTTTTTTTAGTAAGAAACCATTTCGACGCCCTCCTGAAACCTTTATCTCCTATCATCTTTTTTTCGAAAATTTTGAATAGGTTACTCCATATGGAATAACCTATTAAAAATTAAAGATGGCCATCATTCTATTTAATTTCGAAGCTACATATTGATAGGTTTTCTACAGCACAAAAAAAATTCATCACCGATAAATTCAATCGTTTTTTCGAATTAAGATAGAAAATGAAACGCTTTTATTCTCTGTTTTTAATTTTAGAGAGCTTTTGCAATGATATGACGTTTTTGATGTTTCCCAAAAACAGTTTTATATAAACAAATGATCAAATGCGCCAAAAATTAAAACATTTTAGCCTTTATTTTTTCAATTTTTGCGAATTTAAATGGCTTCGAAGCTTTTTGAGGTGTAACACGTGTTCGCAAACTTTTTTTCCGTTTTTTTTTTTCATTTGTTCTTTTATTTTAATACAATTATTTTAGGAATGAGTCTCACTGTTCCTGTTCATAGTGGAGCCAGACAAGATTTAGAGATGCTTCTTATAAAGTTCCGGGACAAACAGTCGTTAAGGTGTTTCTCCTTTCCTTAATTATTTTTTTCATTTAACTTTTCTTCAGGTTTACTGATTTTGCAATGGTTTTTCGCGAAATGAATTTTGTTGATATATTCAACGGAAGGTATAATGTCGCTGAAATGTACGAGGTTAGTGGATAGAAATTTTTAGATCATGCGTGCAATTTTTTTTTCAGTTCGCTGAGAACTTACTTCAATTAGCTGCTATGTATTTCAGCAGTGTTGGTGATAACGATATTCCGCGTAGTTTAGAGGTCAGTTTTTATAAAAAATGTTGTCAAATGAGGCTCGGAATTAAGGAACGAACTTTCGGTATCTACGCGACTTACGCATTGTATTATACGCAATTTGTGGACTGTATCAGTCATGTTTGTTAGAAAAATGATCGCCAAAATTATTTAGAAGTGTTCAGATCAAAGTAACCCCTCCACAAATCACCGATTTGGTCTCGTTTTTGGAAGAACTGACGAAAGGAAGGCACCTCGATGCTGTCGCCTGCGTTCACAAGCTTTTCGCGTCTTCCGCCTTCAAAATTGTCGCTTTTACTAAAGATGTTCGTTTTTGATATTTATGCAAGTTTAATGACAAGAAAAGGTATTTTGAAACTTGAATTTAGGTTCTTTTTATTCAATTGTTTTTTTTTGATGTGAAACTTATTGAGAAGCTCGAAAGCAGGAAAATCAGAACGGTTTTCATCTCCCAATGAAAATATTTGTTTGATTTAATTACTATTGTCAAGATTTTGAGACTTCCGTTTGCAGTTTGGTAAGCAATTTTCAAAACTTGAAGTCATAGAAACAGGAAAAAGTCCAAAGGGTCTCAAAAAAGTCTTTGAAAAGAGTCAGAAGCTCTTTTTTGGATACCTCAAAAGGTGTCAAAAGTCCCTCGAATTCACCTTTTTTCGCCTCTATTTTTTCTCCTTAAAGGTCTTTTTCAGAATAAGGTCAAGAAAAAATAGTACGTTTGAGGCCTTTAAAAGACCTTTTCGACTTTGCCTGTGAATAATTTTTCATCCACGTTTTGTATTTATAGCTACTCTTTTCTCGTATTTCGCGCAATATTAGTTTTGAAGTACGATCCATCGACACGCACGCGTACAATGGCCTTCCCAGAACTAGAATCGGATTTCGTTTCGAAACCCGAACCGCCTTTTCAACATCTTAAAGCGGCCCTCAACGACCTGACTGTTCGGGAGATGAATTACCTTCATCAACCTTATATTGATGTTTGAAATCCATTAATTGAATGAAAAAGAAACACGAAAAGATTTTTTCAGGGTTTGCGGCGTGTTGGTTTAAAATCCGTCTACCAGGGTAAAAATCCACTGGAAGATTTGCAAAAGTTTGTTATCGACTTTTATTGTTACATGGACCATTTTTCAGAATTTTGACCGATCACGAGAAGAGATTGGCGGATTTCCAGAAACTACGCGCCGGGATTCCGATGAATGAAGAGGTAGTGCGTCTTGATCATGACAGTATATTTTTTTAAGATCTATTACAATCTTAAAAGTTGTTTTTTGATTTTTCGCAATACTTCAAATCGACTTTGAGCTCATTTTTTCCCCTATTTTGCCTAATAACTAACGAAACATTGCAGCATGGAAAAACAGGCTTAATAATTTTTTAAATCACTTTCAGATCGATATCGACCTTGAGGCGGACATGCCGTCAACTTCAGCCGGCAAAAGTCGTTCTGGAATCCGCGAAAAGGCTTATTCAACAAAAACAAAGACTAATCGGAATCGGCGCTATGCGGATCCTAATATGGAAGGTGAAACATGAAAGTTTTTTTTTTTCAAAAATTAAGACCTTTTGGTGGGGGAGGCTATATCTTATTCTAGAATCCCCCCACAGTGCTAAATGAGGGACTATTCTAGAAAGTGATTTTCAAGAATTGCCCCATTTTCAACTCCGAGTTTATCCTATGCTTCTCCAGAAAATTTCGCCGACCTGAACTTTGACCCGGCGCAGTTGGCTATTCAAATATTACAAGAAGAACCGATACGTGGACGGAAACTCAAAAATCCTATCAACACGGCGCAAACCGCAGGGTTTACCTTGAGCAAGTTGAAAAACAATAAAGTGATCAATTTTTCCAGAACATGGGTACCAGGCGACCCGTTCATGGGCATGGAGACGAGACAGCCGCGGAAGAAGGCATACGTCAGTTTGAATTCAAGAAAATCGTCTGACTAATCTTTTGGTTCAGCCGAGGAAAAAGAAAGGGCCTCCGAAACAAGTTCCACTGAATCAAGAATACGATGAGGGCGAAAGCGAGGCCTATCAGTTGCTCGTCGAAGAAGATGCGAGGATTCTGACGAGTGGAACGGTCAAGAGAGAAGTTGAAGAAGGTTTGAAAAAGAATAAATTTGGTTTTTTTAAAGAGTTGGCGACTTTTTTCAAAGCTCCTTTTTTGCTGCCTTTTTGCGCTATTACATAGGCTTTTTCGCATCATTTTTTGCTGCCTCTCTCTTTTTCCACCATTTCTTGAACCTCCAAAGTTCTAGAAAAAAATGGAAGGCTCCAAAAAAGGGACTCTTTTTGCTGCTTTTCTCTGGTATTTTTTGAGCCTCTCCTTTTAAGCTAAATCCACCATGACCGAGCAATATTTTGAAAATTGAGCTCAGAAAACCGTTCAGAATTTCAAGCCAAAAAATATAAGTTCAAGAACAGCCAAAATCGCGAAATAAAATCTCCTAATTTTTTACTTTGGATTTTTGTTCTTTTCAAGAGGGCCTTCAAAGTCCCGCAAAAATAATTTAAAAATTCATTCCCTCTCTTTCCACGGAACGCATCTTCCCGAAAATTCGAAGTTTTTGAGTCAATTTTCTGGGAGTAATTCAGAAACTGAGTTTTCATGGACGCCTTCTGCGCAATTATTTCATCATCAGAGGTTTGCATCTTCAGATGCGCCGATCGGAGGAAAGAAAGAGAAAAGTTCGACAGGAGCCCGTGTCACGGCGCCAAAACGTAAAATCGGGGCAAAAATTGTTCATGTCAGCCCGAAAAAACAGCCGATGATGGAGCAGACTGTAAGGTACGTATCGTTATAAATTTTTTGAAATGTACACTTTTTCGATTTTTGAAAAAAAAAACGTTTACGAGATTGTGCAGATTTTTCAGAATAACTTTTAAACTGACAATATCTTCATGCTGACTTTTAATTTTGTAAGATTTGTAAATAAAAGATTTTACCGTGCATAGTCTTCAGCAAATTCCATAGCTACTTTAAATTTGATTGATAAACGGCTAGTTCAAAATTTCAGTATTTTTATTCGGAAGTTTCAGTGTCGACTTGCTGGGCGACAACTCTGGAGAAGTGCAAGAAGTCGAGGCGAAGTCAAAAAAAAAGAATCGTAGGAAGAATGAAGTCGCTGTGGCACCCACCTTGAGCACTGTGTTGAATTCACAGTTCATGGGTTCGATTTTTCTTTCTGCCAGTGGATTTTGGAAAGGATGTTTCACAGAAAAAAAGTGAAGCTTCCGCTTTTTCTTAGGAACTCCAAAGTGTTTTATCTAGGGGCAACCTTAGGGGCCCTCTTCCCTATAGGAAAAAGGTGGTCCTTATAGGGCTTTTAATTAGTGGCCACTATGGAGGCCGGACTAATCTATTACCTTTATGAAAATACGCTTTTCTACGCGTAAACACCCCTCTAGGGGCCAAATTAAAATTTTATCCTTGAAGGAGCCATTTTTTTTCTCTCTTGTAGGCAACTAGCCCCTCACAGTGAGTATGTAGTGTGATTTTTATAAAAAAAAATTTTCGAGTATTGCAAAAAAAATATCAAATTAGTGATCGATTTCAGAAGAATGGGACGTGAAGCTGAAAAAGACGTCGAAGGAACGGGAAGCCGACAAACTTTTGGAACTTCTGCAGGCCAACGAAACGCGAGCCGCCAAAAGAACCTTCGAAGACTAAAACTTCTACTCTTTTTAGTTTGTATCATTTACTGTATAGTTGAAATGGTGGCTGGTCCCGTTTTCCATTTGTTTTTAAATTTCGTTTTCACTTTTTCATGCACCTCAACAATCTCTGCGCGTCCCTTCTCCCAGAAATATTTATTCTTGGCCCTTAGGAATTTCCAATTTCAATGAATTTATACACATCGCGTCATTCTGAAGTATTTTTTCTAGTTTATTCCATCGGAACTGGTTCATTTTTTTATCATTCAATTTTCATGATGCATTCAGCCTATTCAGTTTTATAGTTTTATTATTCAATTATTAATTTATATATATATATCTATTTCTTTTTGTGATATTTTTATTCAACTTCTTCATGATAAGTTTATTTTATTTTTTTTCTCACACTTTTTTTCAAAAAAATTTGATCCCAGTTTTTTTACTTGTTACATGCTCTTGCAATCCTTATTCACTGATCTTTGCGTTATTAAAAAAAGTCAATAAATTTTTTTTTTGATTTATAATTCTCCACGCTTTGATGGAAATTCGGTCGCTTCAGCCGGCTCTTGCAGCAAAATTATCGTTTTCTTTTTTTTTCATTTGTTTAGACAGCTTTTGTCTGAAAAGCTTGGAATCTAAATAGTTTTTTTTCTTGGAAATAGATCCGACTCAAACTATTTCTGCTCCTATTCTGGATTGAAAGAACCTCTTTTTTTAAGCTGGAAAAAAATGGCAAATTTTAAAAAAAGTGTTAGAAAAATGAAACCTTTTTCTCTTAATGTTTTGAAAGTTTCACGAAACCATAGTATCGTAATTCGCTTATTCGAATAAAACTCAAAAAAATCGTTTAACATCTCAGCCGCTTTTTCTTCGAATTCTAATCTTAATTTTTTTATTAGAAATTATTTCAAAGAGTGGCTGTCGCAAAAAGCTTTTTCAAACGTTTTTTCGCGAAAACCCGACCTCGGCCAATAGTAAAGGTCAAAAAATCGAGTTGAAAAGTGGCAGAGAGATAGTGATAAAATGTGGGCGGAGCTTCGGAGAGGAACCGATAAAAAGGTGACGGGAATCGGGGGTCTTCGGGCGCCGATCGCCCTCTAGTCTCCGTCCAGTTGAGGCTTCTTTGATTGCGAAAAACGCGTGTTGGCAGAACATCTATCCAATTATTTTAGTCTTCTAAGAAAACAAAAAACAGACTAGCTTATTATTTTTTCGAATTTACCAATTTCTATGAGGTCACAAGAACGATCTGCTTCAAATAAGACACATCCTAATAATAACTAAATGATAGAAAACCAGAATATTCCTACTTTTCCCTCGAAAAAAACGATAATGATTAGTGAAAGGATGAATCTAGACTTGTTGCCGCTCTTAGAGATTCTGAGAGTAAGTGCGAAAAGTTAAACTATTTTGGTGAGAGGAGGCGATCACATAATTAGAAAATTTTGAGTTTCTAAAAACCTATCAGCTTGTAATGTAACCTATTGAATTAAAAAAAAAGAGATGGGCGAACTTTATTACGATTGAAGTTCACTCAGGAATGTTTTCCCTGTAAGAAATTAACGTAGATCCGTGTAGTTTTGAATAAAAAAATGTTCCTTCCTGTGTAATTACTCCTACCAGTAGAAAAAAAAACATATAGATATATAATTTGATGGGTAATATAATATTACCTATGCACAGAGTTTGAAAAATGGGGAGATTTAGTGTCGCAAAAAGCTCTTTTAAAAAAACAATTGCGGGGAAAACAATTTTTTGTGTTCATCATGTTTTCTCCTACAAGTTATCAACAAATCAAAAAAAAAATGTTTGAACCCACTTTTTCCGATTCATTTGGACTTCAATTTCGTACCTTGAAGTATGGAGAATCGGGTGATTGAGAGATAAGGTCAATTAACAAGTGATAAGAATCGCCACACGCCAGAACAATCATAGTAACTTCATCCTTTGATGGAGAATTTAAGATTTGAAAAAGTGGAAAAACGAAATATTTTATTTTATTATTGTAACATTTGAAAAAAGAAGCTTTTAAAGAAAAGAAGAAAAAAAAACTCTTTCTTCACTTTTAAAGCATTTTTGCACCTTTTCGGGACATTGAAGGATTTTCAAAGACCTTGAAAAAGAAAAATAAATAGTTCCGATAAATTTTTCCGAGAAAAGCTTTTTTTTTTTCATAAGCCTTCTTATGAAGTTTTTTTTCTCAAATTCTTGAGTCCCCATTAAAATGAATTTTTCAACAAATGAAAGGAAATGTGTAGAAAGGACTTCCAGGCTGAAAATATTTATATCGGACTTTAAAAAAAGGAGACTAAAATATTTTAAATTGCCAATGCCAATTTCCAAAACCAGTTTCCACCTCTTCACTTTTCGCGTTTTGCAAACCTCTGGCTTTTGATGTTTAGAATGAAATATGGCATATTCTTATCACGTGAACCGCCGAAGGGAACGCCGGAAAAAGATCAAAGTTCAGTGATTTGGACCGTTTGAACAGTTGCATCGGTCCTTTTTGCCCATAACCGTTTCATATATGAGCTGGAAAGATTCAGCAGCTTCCTATTTTTTGGAAAATCTATGAAAGTCAATCATCTTGAATTTCGTGTCACTTTGTACTGGTCAGACAGTCTGCCACTCTTTTTTGCGTGTTTGATAAGGCAACACTGATAATTTCCAGTTCTTCTTTTATCAATTGTTCAGACTTAAGTAGCCTTGCAAAAATATTTATTCGGCTGCAAAACAAACGTATGCTTGATATGACAGTGTTTTTATTTTTTTGCAGTTTGCATTTTGGACCGTGCGTAAAATTTGAAAGGCCCTTCTCTCACTTTTTTTTTCTCAAAAGTAATCTTTTCGATATATAAAAATATATGAATTAAAAATTTAAAGGTTCATCGTAGTTTTGAAAGAATTTAGCTTTTTCGAAACGACTAGGTTCATTTTTGACAGATTTTTCTCACAACGACTTTCTAAGGACCAATAGGTGAATTTATGGGATTTCTTTCGGGCAGATTATAACTTTTGGGAGAACTCTTATTGAAAAAAAAATCTTGTGTGGTCACTTTCAAAAGATGTTTCTTCTAACAACATTGCGTCATTTTCGACGATTCTGATCCTCTTGTTTTCTCGTGGTTGTTTTTTTTTTCTTTTTAAATTCCAGTTTTTGTTTTGCCGAACGTTGGTTTCCGTTAACTTTCTACTGTTTCGAGGTTTTATTCGATTGTTTCTGCAGGTTTAAAAGCTCAGATCCAACTCTGGTGAGGACATTAAAGAGATGACCAACTTGCACAAGCCGGACACCAACGGCTCTCTTCATCTGAAGAAAATCGATTCGCTTTCAACTTTCCCTTATTGGTTCGTTTTTAATTTTTTTTTTTTAATTGAGAATCAGTAAAGTCAGAACTTCATCTCGAGCTCTGGGTACCGTGTAGGAGAGAAAAAATATTTGAAAATGAGTTCTCTGTGTTTTTTTATGGCCGGATGTCAATTATGAAGATTTCGAAGTCCTGGAGCAACTACTTAAATTCTCACTGTAACTACAGAACCTTTCCGTTTCACACATTTACTGGGAAAATTTTAAGTGACCACTCTAGTGTTTGAAGATTTAGCGGCCACTATAGCAGTCGGTTAACGGCTACAATTGGTTAAAAATTAAGGCTTTTTAGAAGTCTAGTTGGTACTACTAGATTACCAAAACTATTATAGTGGCTTCTTTAGAGGTGGCTTCAGTTTCTTCTCCAATTAGTCCTTGAGAAACCTTCTAAGTGGCCTCCAGAGTTTTTGCAATATTGCCGATTTTTCAATTATATTTCCATGTGCGAGCTTAAGAAAAAAATTTTTGAAACGGAATTTTGCACCCTTAGCGAAAGTTTGGAATATTTTTACCTCGAATTTTAAGACTCGATTCGATATCGACGGATTAAACAGAGTTAAATAAACGATATATTATTTTTTTTTTCATGTTTTTAAGTTAACAGAAAGATTAACGTAAATCAAAGATTTTTTCGTTGCACGCGAATTTAAAAATCGATCTCGCGTCAGAAACGTTTTTTAAACTATCTTTTTTTGTTCCGCATCGTCAAAAAACTTATTTGAACTATTTTAGGGAATTTGAGTGAAAATTTCATATCATTTATCTTTGGTTTGAGTATATTTGAATGGAGGAACTAGCGATATCGCGAATAGTGTGCGTGAAGAAACGATTTATTGACACTTTTAAGGATTTGGTGCCTCAAACTTGCTTTATTCCTTACTCGAACTTTCTTCATTCTTACGTTATCGTAGATATTGAAGCGTTTTTGCCTGTCCTAACACAAAAATCGGGTTTTTCCTATCATTTTTCCATTGTCCCATTGTCCTCCTTCATATCCCACTTTCTCGGTCTTTCGATTCATTCGTGTGACTTCTTATTTTGAGAAATAACTTTGAAAATGGTCGCTTTCACGCAAACGTGAGTTCATTTCAAAGTCTTATTTTCTAACCTAGAAAAATATTATGAGAACTTTTTAAGAGCACCTCCTTGACAGTAGAAATTAATATTGTCTACGAAAAGCTTTGATTTTTGTTTGAATTCGTCGATATTTTCAGCGGTGGGATTAATGGAGATGGCCGAACGGCGAGCACCGACAGTGACAGCGAAGTTCCGTATCAAATCTCGCAAGCTGCGCTGAGGTCTTTATGATTATTGTGCATTTTTTCACATGTTATTTCGTCTCACCAGCTATTAGGTCCATTAAACAATCAATTTGCGATGAAATGGACGTCTTATTAATTTAAAAAAAAGGGTCCTAAATGACCATTTAGCGGGTCATTTAGTATACCTCCGTAAGTGCCTTTTTTGAGAACCCCCTCTAGCCTTTCCCAGAAAATCTTTTTCTCCCAGAAATACTTACGTCGCTCTTCACGAGAAAGTCAACCGGAGGATCAAAGACGGGACGCCATTTTTCTCGTTGGAGTTCTTCCCGCCGAAAACCGCCAATGGAGTCGCGAATTTTTTCACCAGGCACGCTTTTCCCCCCAAACATCTTTATATTAAAAGCTCTTATTTAAAATTATTGTCCTATGATATTGGATTGGCATTCAGACTTGACCGGTTCAATGAGGGAGGACCAGTTTTTGTCGATATCACGTGGCACCTTGGCAGTGATCCAGGTATAGTTTTGAAATTTCATTGACAAGGTCATGAGAAAGGAAAGATGGAGAATGACCGCTTCTAACTGAACAAATCGAGTTTCTACAAGAAAAATAGAAAAACTGCAGCCAACATGTCGAAGGAGACGTCGTCGTCGTCAATCGCCGCCGGCTGCATGAACTTTTGCCGAGTGGACACGATGCTGCACATGACCTGCGTACAGTACACCAAAGAGCAGACGATCAAGCACCTCGAGCAGGCGAAAGCCGTCGGAATGAGGAGCATCCTCGCCCTCCGGGGCGACCTTCCGCCCGTGGTTCGTGTCCTGTCTTGTAGTGTAGCCCATTCAATCAATCAATATCCATTTTGTTGGTTTAATCACAGATAAAATCGACAAGACGGTGGGAAAGAACTTTCGGGTTTTAAACGAACAACCGCCTTTGGCGAGCTAGGAGTCCAAAAGTGCATTTGATCAAATTGAAAGCGTAGTCTTACGGTCCTTCGCCTCGTCCTTCTAGGCGTAGTCCATCCAGTTGCGTCTTGACGAACTCAGAATACAGCGGTGTTGTTCTGGAGCCTAGAGAGCCAGAAGCCTTGAAATACCACCTCGAGTGAAGACGTTAGGAACGCCAGCTTGTCCCCATTTTTTTTCTGCAAATAATACCGTATACTGAACTCGAGCACTTCTCTTCGAAACCTTTTTTACAGAATTTTAGTTCAGGATGATGAGAGCAAGCGGCCAGTGTATCAATATCGCGCCTTGGACATGATCAGATGGATCCGCGAAGAGTTTGGCGATTATTTCACCATCGCTTGTTCAGGTATACTGTAAAGTTTGTTGTGAAGTATTTATAAAAATAACCGTTTTTTTTTCCTATAGAGAAGATTAGCACACCAAAGTTGGAAGGGAAGCCTTACTAGTTAGTTTTTAGCTTTATCAAAAAACAATTTTTCAAAACTCCCTCATTAATAGTTTCTGTGAAAAATTCTAGATACCACTTGAGAGGTTCTTCAAGGACTACTTGGACTCTAAACTGGCCAGGGAGCCATTATTTTGCACCTTAGTGACCGCTTTAGCAGTTTAGTGGTCTAGTAGCCCCGCTTCTTTCTAAAAAAGACCCTTAATTCTAGCCACTTAGGTTTAAACCAAATCGACTACTATAGTGGCCACTAAAACGTCAAAGCTCTAGAGTTGCCACTGAAAACTTTTCCGGTTTTCTCAAGAAGCTTGCAGGAATAAAAATAGTGTATATCAGCGCGCATTTCAGGTTATCCATTGGGTCATCCTGAAGCTGCCTCGTACAAGGCCGACCTACAGTACTTGAAAGCCAAGCAGGATGCTGGAGCGCAGTTGATCGTCACCCAACTTTTCTTCGAAGCTGAGGTTCTTAATAAGATATTTACGCTGAAAGGAAATCTAGAAATAATCAGAAAGAAGATCATATTTTGAGCCAAATCTGTCGGTTTTCAGACTTTCGAAAGGTTTGTCAATGACTGCCGCGAAATCGGCATCACTATCCCAATCATACCTGGAATCATGCCAATCATGGTGAGCTAACTGACGAGACGAAAATTCAATTATTCTTTCTCAGGGCTATGAATCTATCCGACGAATCGCTTCGCTCTCGCAATTGACGATCCCGGAAGGTATTCTGAAAGATTTGGAGCCGATCAAACACGACGACGACGCCGTCAGGAACTACGGAAAATTCAGGGTGAATTCTGTCTGAAAAAAGGAGATCTGTGACACGAGTTTATCTCGTATATAAATGGGCAAGTTCAGTACTCATTCGGCCCGGGAGGAGGAGTTGATTTCCAAAAATTGTGAAAAATTGAAAATAAAATCAAGTTCCAACCTCGGGGAGATATTTTTGGCCGCGGTAATACAAGTTTTGACTTCAGGGACGTAGTCTCAACTTTGATTTAGGATAACCTGGGAGGAGAGGTTGGTGGCCTTTAAAAGTGGTCTGCCCATGAACGATCTTGAATAAATATGTATATAGAAATTGAGGAAACTGAAAACGCGTAGCGAATTTTGAAATTTTGAATTCCTCAGCAGTTTTTTTAAAACAAAATTTCTTCATTTTGCCTGTTTTCCAGTGCGTGGAAATGTGCCGAAGACTATTGGCGAATGGAACCGCGCCCTCGTTGCATTTGTATACGATGAATCGAGAAGGAACCTGTCGGTAAGTCATAAATAAATGGGCAAGTGAGAACTCAATGAGTGCGGGAGTAAGGGTTGACTTACGAAAAACTTTTAAAATAAGATAAGATTTCATGACAGGGAGGCAATATTGACAGAAATAAAAGTGATTTTAAACATCAGGAGGGAAGAGTGACAATTCATGAGAACTTGGGAATAGAGACCTTAGAAGTGGGTCTTCCCATGTAGGCGGTGAGTTGATATTGGCTGTCGAAAGTTCAAAAACTTTTATAGAAGAGAAAAAATATTCTACAGTTTTGACTCGTGCTATCTTTTTTTCCTGCTATTTTCATGAGGCTTCTTTCTTCTTTGGCGGATCCATAGGAGAAGCTGAAAATTTTTCAAAACGCAAAAGATTATTCATCGGCACCCCAAATTAGCTCCGTTTCGTATCAGAAAATTTTCGATTAAAAATCTTTTGCTAGATAGTTTAAAGGAGCATGAGGAGGTTTCGAAGCGATGCACGAGTTCTGCGTATTTAATTATCCCAGAAACATTTATTTCAAAAGATTGCTCAAAAAAAAAAAACTAACCAACTACACCCTTATTTACTGATAGCTTTAGCGATAGGTCGCTACAGGCTCTCGAAAAATTCCTACAAGACTAAAAAGGTCACTAAGTGACTTCTTCTTCAAAAAAAAAATGTAGTCTGATGTGGTCACTTAGGAGATGTTTTTTCTTCTAACAGCATTGCATCATTTTCGACGATTCTGATTCCCTTGTTTTCCTCGTTGCTTTTTTGACCCCGAAACTTATTCCTTGCTGTCTCCGCCAGTTTGAACGTCCTTTTCTTCCTTTACCTTTTTCGGTTTTTTTTTATTTGACTTTGTTGTAGGTTTCAAAAATCAGTGAAGTTTCTGCAAAACGGCCGAAAAGATTTAGCCTTAAATCAATGACGCGTTTACCTTGAAGAAATCTCTTTGCTTTCTGATTTTTTTTTCAAAGTCTGTCCAGCGTTTCACAATGCTCTGATACAACCAATCAATTCTTTGTGAAATTCATGACGCAATCAGAGCAAAAAAAAAGTTGAGTTTCATTCGTTGCGAGTTTGAATTTTTTTTTCTCTAGAGATATATAGCTTTTCAAACGTTTACTGAAAGGTCAATAACCGATTAAATTCAACAAAAAAAAGCAGATAGAACGTAAGCGATACTCGAGGCGACCAGGTCAAAAATTCCTTTGCAAACTCATTTGGAACAAAATCCCTCAAACGATCATTTTTCCGTTCTCTTTTGATTAAAAGTTTAGTGTTTTTTTTTGCCACAAAAGAAATCTGAGAAATTGATAGCCGATTCAGCTTGACTCAAGGAGACGTGGTCTGTCTGCGCTCTCTACTAACTAGGCACTGTTTCTTTTCTTATCGTGTCAGGACCCTTTTTTTTATGGTTCAAGTCAGCCGTGAAAATTGGAGAAAACGAGTTATTACTTTGAAAAAAAAACGTTTTGCTTTTGTCAATCATTACGAGCTGTTTTCAGTGAGATCCTCCAAGAGCTTGGCCTCTGGCAACGAAGACCAATGCGAGCCCTGCCTTGGGAACCTCACGGAGCCAATCATCCGCTGCGATGCAAAGAAGACGTTCGGCCGATATTCTGGAGCGCTCGTCCCAAAAGTTACATCTACAGAACTAGGGTGAACTCCTCCTTCTAACAAAAAAAAAATTTTTTTACTAGAAAAATTCGTTGACTTTCAAAATCTTAATCTGTTAAGTTTTCAGAAGTTTCCTTACCGCACAGTATCTTTTCTGTTAGGGACGAACATTATTAGAGAAACAATTAAATAACTCGATCATATTAAGGATTGGGATGATTTTCCGAACGGTCGCTGGGGCAACAGTTCCTCACCGGCGTATGGAGACCTCGCCGATTACTACCTCTTCCACTTGAAGGTCTTGCCAGCCGTTTTTCGTCCAACCGCACCTTTTTTCAGCCGAATACCAACAAAGAAGAGCAGCTGATGATGTATGGAAAGGAACTTCGGAACGTGGCCGACGTCCAGAAAGTCTTCGCGAATTATATTTCTCAGAAACCCAACGAGAACGGCGTCAAGGTACTGGGGCGTCTGGAATATGACTGTTTGATCAAAATTCATTTTCACTCCTAGAAGAGGTCCAGCGAGTTTCTAGTTTTCTGCATATCCTAGTTTTTTTTTCTGGATTGTATAGTTTTCTTTTGTTTCTTCGGAAACTAAAAATCGTTTACTGTAGATACTGTGGCCACTTATGGGGTTCCTCAAGGACTACTTGGAGAGGACACCAAGGTGGTCACTAAAACCGCCTCTTTAAAGGCCGATCTATTTGACCTGTTAGTGGCCATTATAGTAGCTCTGTTTTAGCGGCTACTCATCCGTTTACTAAACTTCAAGCCCCTAAGATGGTCAATAAAATTTATTCCCAAGAAACTCATTTTTTTTTCTCTTCTGAAAGAGTTTTTGACAAGTAGTACTTGTAGGTAACTGCCTTGCCATGGAACGAGCTCGAAAGCGGCGTTCAACCCGAAACCACACTCATCAACGAGCAACTGCTGTGGTGTAATGAAAATGTAAATTTGATTGAAACTCTTGGGGTAATCCCGCTTTGAAAGTTAAGTTGAGACAAGAAGTCACTTGAGATTACTCAGCAGCTTTATTATAGAAAAGGTATAATAGGCTCTTGGATCTTGGAAACTCTTAAGTGATCCCTAGAATCGCTCAGAAACGTCCGGAGCACGTTCTTTTTGCGTCAACAATGTCTAAAAGGTCATAGCAGGACTGAGAAGTTGTGCGATAAAGCGCATTAGCCAGAGTTAGGCGTAGATTTACGCAGATTCCGTAACCGAACAAGTAAATAAGGTAAAACATTTTTTGTCGTTGCAGGGCATATTGACGGTGAACAGCCAGCCGTCGGTGAACGGCGCTCCGTCGACAGATCCGCTCGTCGGCTGGGGCAAACCCGGCGGCTACTGCTACCAGAAGGCCTACCTCGAGTGCTTCATCAGCAAAAAGAACGTCGAGACCCTGGTCGGCTTCATCCATGAGTACGCGCCGCGCATCAACTATCACATCATCAATCATGATGTGAGTTGTGAGGGCTTTGTCTTTTGGAGGCATTCATCTTCATCCCTAGGGCCGAAATCACCTTTTTCATACAGTAGGATCGGATTCATGTTCGGCCGGTTTTAGCAAAACTGAACCTCGAATAGCCAAAAAAAAAAAAACACGGGCACCCCTGTTGAGACACCCGGCCAGCATGAGAATAGTTTGAGTTCTATCAAAAGGTCTTCAGGGGTCCTACGACAAGTCGAATGCGGAAGCGACGACGCCGATCGCGGTGACGTGGGGCGTGTTCCCGGGAGCCGAGGTCGCCCAGCCGACGGTCGTCGATCCGCTCTCGTTCCGCGTATGGAAGGACGAGGCCTACGACATGTGGATCAAGAACTGGGCCTGGCTCTACCCGAAAGACTCGCATTCGCGTGACGTCATCCAGCACATCCACGACGAGTTCATGATGGTCAACATCGTTGACAACGACTTCCAGAAGCCCTCCATCATTTTTGAGATCCTCGACCGCATGCTTCAGGCAACCAGCCAGTGATTTCCCTGTCTTTTTTTAAAATAGTGAAACAAATAAATTTCCTGCCGCACCTATACTTTGTTGTTTGATTTGGCGTGAAATAGAAGCCGTTTTGAGTCGCACGCGCTATTAAAAATGTACGTGGAAGCAAATTGAGTATACGCTGGCTTGTCTAATTTCAAAAAAAAAAAACGTTGAGTTCACTCGATAATTACGTTCAATTGCGTCTTTTTTTTCCTTTGTATGATAGGGATCTCTCTAGAGGCCGCTGAAAAGCATTCCCGTCTGGTTCATATAATCTGATTTTGTTGATTTTTTTTAGAACTTTCCCTTCATTACCACACTTTCTATCTAATAATATTCACTGTTTCTCGTGGCGTCCCTTCTTTATGTGATTAATTTTATTGCAAAAATAAAATTTTCTTCTCGATGAGTTGCGGAGAATGACCGCGAGAATAATCGCCATTTTGTCTTTTTTGTATTTGTACGTGAAATGTCCCATTTCATCAGCTTTTAACTTAAGGCTTTTTTTTCAAATTGTGGCGAAATTTTTATCTTCTCGCTTTAAGTTTCAAGAGAGCACTCTATGCGATGAAAACCCTACAAAAAAGATTTTTAATCTTTATCAAGCGAGTGTTGAAATCAGAACCGAAGCAATAAAGGGAAAGAAACAGAACTTGAACAAACGAAGTAAAAAGAAGATCAATTGGCGTCAACGGCTTCATCTTCTTCAGCGTCACTGAACTCGATGCGCTCGATTCCCGTCACGAGATTCTCATCACTGGCTGCGTTCTCCCTCTCCTTCTGGGTCTGAGGTGGGTGCCGCAGAAGGCTTTCCTGTAGAAAATGATATCAAAAAAAGCTAATGCCAAAAGTGGCTTTTTTTTTAAAGATTTTGAGCGGCCTGCATGTTTTTATTTCTCAAAGTCAAAGCGATTTCGAACTTTTTTAGTTGCATTTATTCATAAAATTCATATGAGTTAGTGAGCTATAAGAATGAGAGCTGCTAAACGAACATATGCCTCGAAATCCGACTGGTCCCATTCAGAAGTTCCGCTGCGAGCCGAGAACATTTCCTAGATAGAAATATACTAGATCTTATATTCAATTTTTCTTTTCTCCACTTCTTTTGAACCTCACGGCACTTCAGCAAAACCTTTCGAAGACAATAAACTTCTTGAAAAAAAATCAATTCTTTCGCAATTTTTCCGTTGTCTGATTTTTTTTTAAATACCTGTCGACACATCGAACCGTCAAGACGAGTGATTTGCGGTAGCAGACGCAAAACTTTGCCCCTTTAACGCATTTTTTTTATTCTCGGCTAAAATTTCAAAGAGAAAAACCGATAGTTGTCCGACTCAGCGATGGGATTAAAGTCGAGGTAGACAGTGTTGAGCTGGGCCAACTCCGAAAGCTCATCGAACAAGGTCCAATCTTTCAGCTGATATAAGGAAATAATCATTTGATTGATTGCAAATATGACGCCCACCTGATTATTCCGAGCCCAAAAGTCGGTGAGACGCGTCAAGTGCTTGAGGTTGTCGACTTTGACCAGCCGATTTTGGTTCAAGTCGAGAATCTCGAGAGCAAACGCGTCGCCGAGCCCGTTTATGTACTGGATTCCATTCTGCGTCAGGTAGAGCTCGCGCATCGACGTCAATCCCGAAAGATTCTGAATTTTTAGGATCTCTACTACTTTTTTCTTTATTTAGAAGAGAATAAATGGTTTAATAAGACATCAGATAGGCAAAAAAAAAATATTAAAATGAGAATTTTTCGACATTTTTCGAAGGAATAAAAAAAACGATGCCATATTATTAAAGCATAAATGACTTCATAATTTTCAGTTCTGAATATTCTCTTAATTCGAATTTTTTCGTTTTTGATGTCCTCTTTTCATGGACATGTAGAAATGAATTACCTGAAAGAAGTCGATTTAAGATTAAGGTTTAAGACAAGATTTTCTCTGGCGAATTAAGAATAAGCCGACATAAAAATTCCCCCAAACTTCAATAATTTGGATTCCATTTGCTGGTAGGCTCAAAACTTCCATCTTCTTCAAATGCCCCAAATTTTCGATACGAGTTATCTGGTTGGCGCCGAGAAAGAGCCTAAATTACATCATTTAATAGTGAAGCAGACTTCTCCAAAATGAAACCTGACGATTTTTGTGTTACACTCCAAATTTTCAATCTTCTTGATGCGATTATCGCCGAGTTCGAGGTATTCCAGCTCGGTTAACTGAAATATGAGTTTTTAGAGTGGTAAATTTTTTTGTTTGAAAAAAAGTCCCCAATTGTTCGTGAAAGTGGCCTAAATGGCGATTTTAAAAAAATGTTCTATCATTTTTCTAATTTTCCATTACCGCTTCCAGGTTTTCAATCTTCTCGAGACGATTGTGTACAAAGAAAAAGCGTCTTGAGCTTGGTGAGCTTCTCCAAATTTTTCTATCTTCGCGATTCGATTGAACGACAAGTCCAACGTTTCCAAATTCAACAGGGCGTCCAGATTCTCAATTTTTTTCGATCTGAAAACAGAAAAATTAAATAAAAAAATGATCCTGATATTTTTTTTAAGTATTTCGAGAGTAGAAGAACTTTGAGAATTTATCTTTTCGCCTCACCTGATTATCGTAGAGCTCCAAATAAGTCAATGTGGTCAATGGATCGAGGTTCTCGATTTTCTTGATCAGGTTCCATCGTAAGGAAAGGTGCTCTACCTGAATTGGACATTTTTCTTCTGAATAAGATTGGATTTAATGAAAATATTCAGTTGCCTGTGAATAAGAACTCATTTTCAAATCCCATTACAGTTTTTATTGTTTACCTGCTTTAGCCACGAATAATCCTCAATTTTTTTCAACCGATGACGAGTCAAATCAACATGCTTCGCTTGAGGGTCAATCTGAAATTGTTTAAAAACACATATCAAAAAAAACTTCAAGCAATAATAGCATCGGATTACTGTGATCGCGGCCAAAACGCTAAAGTTTATTTTTTCCATTCGGCGCCACACCAGTCCAGACCTACAGGGAACCGTCCGGTTTGAACTGCGCCGTCTCCGCTGGCCATAGAGACCTAGACCATTTTCGACCACATTTTCTACTTAATAAAATGATAACGGCTGTTTTCAACACTAATAGATCAGCAACTACAGAAAATACGACTTTAAACTTACTAAAGATGAAATTCTCAAATTAAGCTCTTTTTTTAGACTTGCTGGCGTTTGCAAAAACTTGATTGATTGTTAAAACTAAATTTGTATCATTGAAAGTTTTAATTGTGTTTTTCTTTTTTGACTCACTTGTGCCCTATTTCAAAAAAAAAGGTCTTTTCCTAGTTGCCATTGACATAGAAACCGTTGAAAAACGTTTGCCATGAATATTCAAAGTTTCATATATCGTCGCGATAACTTTTGAACCTCGATCATTGAAAAGCACGATAGCTCCGCAAGCCTTTTAATGGATAGAAACTCGAAGAAGCGATAATTTGGCTGGGTTCACTTTTTAGCTAGCTTTTTATTACCTCAACGTATTCAATGTCCGTGTCGATGTTGATTTGCTCAACGTTTCTCTCGCCGTCCGTGTCGTCGATCGACGTCACTTGAACCATACTGTCCGAGTTTTCCCTATAAGTATGAAATTATGAATAGTTTGAAAAAAAAACCTCACCGCTAAGCTACACGTTGCAAACCACGCTTTTGTTGGAATGGCGACTTATTTGACGGGTTGGTTGAGGTCACGTTTTCAAATTATTTTTTTTTCCATCTTTTTTCCGTTCTTTTTTTTTTGTTGCAGGGTTTTTAGACAGCCCATAAGTCTTGATAAATGTAGAGTAACACTCAAAATGGCGCTTCGATCAGATATTATTGGAGATTGAGTAATTCGCATTTCGATGGCAAGGAGGTTAGAACTGACTATGAGTGGCTGTGCGTCTTTTTCTCAATTTTTTTCTCAACAGTTTCAACCTTTTTGAAAGTTAGTAAATATTGATTTACGTCACGGAAAATGAATTTAAGGTCAAAAAGAAACCCTTGATGCTATTTTTTCAGCTAAAACGTTCTTTTAGAGACGTCAGCAGTCTATAAATGTACTCAAAGCTTCTGATTGTGGATTGAAATCTTTCATTGTTTCAGAATGTTAAAGAAAATTTTTTTATCTAGTGTCAAAAAATCACAGTTTTTGTGCAGCGAAGTACAAATAAAAACTCTAGAAAAACTTTATCGAACGCGAAAAAGTTATCCGCGGACGCGTTTGGTGGGTCCGCTACCGAAAAAGTTGTCCCAGCACCAGAAGCAACTGCGGTTCGGCGTTGCTTCGACGATGAAAACGACCATCGAGAGTAGTAGAATCGCGAGGAAACTGTTGATTTTGAACATATTTCCGTTTATGCGATTTTGTGAATGTCGCAAAGGTTTTTATACCGTGAGCGTGGGATATTTTATTGCTTGGACCGCTTTTTACTCGCTGAAAAATCGTTAAACTGGCTATATACACTGAGAATTTTTTCAAGACCCTCTAGAAATGCTTTAAAAAAAAAGATCTTTGAGAATTTTAAAAACATTATCAGGAATTATTGGAGGACCATATGTTTTTAAAGTTTCTAATTTAATTTTTCCCAAAAAAATATTTTTATTATTTTTGCACGCTGAAAGTTAGTTTTTCCTCAAACTTGGTATGTTTAAGGTCTCTCTTATTTTCTTTCTAAACCCAGCAAGCAACTTTAAACTAGTTTTTTTTTCTGATAGTGACAGATAGTGAGTAATCGTCCTGATAAGGGTTCTAACAATATGTACCGGATCGATAATTCAAACGATGTTGATACGAACCATGTGGAACTTCAAAACGTGATAACCGGTGCTACCACACTTCGGCTCCGATGTAAGCTGCTTCTTGATTTATTCGAAACGCTCAATTTCCCGAAAGTTCTTTTCATAAAAAATGGGTTCTATAAAACGCATAACACTTGTTGCTTGTTGGATTGTTTGACGGCGCAAGCATAAATTCAAACGGAAAAGGCTTCAAAAAGCTCAGCAAGTAGTTTTCAACAATCTAGAGATGGTCAAAAACTTTTTTTTTTTGAAAAGGTCTGGTTTTTCCGCAGATTATTTAGATCATTGAATTTATAATCTTTGGAAGGTTTTTCAACTTTATTTTGACTTTTCGGCTTTAAAGGACATTTTAAATCTTCCCTAGTGTAAAGGAATAGTTTGAGGTCGCAAGTCGAGAACTCAGCAAGCCGAAGCCCCTCAGATGTGCAAAGGAATGGCTCAGTGACGTTCTCACCCGGTCATCGGAGACAACGGGAGAACACACAGACGCGCGAAGTTCGGTTCCCTTCGTCTCAGCTGACGTCGGACTCGTTCGTCAGAATCGACTCCTGGCACCAGGATCGGGTGGCTCATCATAGCCGTTTCGGTTAGTTTAAAAATTTTTGTATTTAAAGGCACATTAACGTTGATTGGAACAAAACTTTATTTAGAACAAAACGCGATTATTTCCTCCCATTGCATAATTGTGAGTTCTTCTTTGAATCGGAGTACAGAAAACTGTTCACGGTCACGCAGTTTTATGACGTTTGGATTTGAAAAATAATTCAACGACCCTTTATAAGGATGCTCAGTCTTCTTTGGGTAGGATGAGACTTTTCCAATCTTCAGGTCGTACATTAATGAGTATTCCGGTCAAATTTTAGAAATTACCAATCCCAAAGTAAGCTGATCTTCCTTGTTAGAACTTTTGAACTATTAAAATACTTTTTGATGTACCAGATGAAAACTGGAAACAATTTTGAAACTCCTCAAGTTTTCCGCTAACAGTTCTCTTCAAATTTAAAGATATCAAAAAAGAGAAAGTTTCGGAACTGGAGCGATTCAGATTCTTCATCGTGAATATGATAGTATTTCGGCAAACTTTCTGAACTTAGAAAAATAAAAACGAAAATTTTTGTAGGGAAGTCCTTGGATGAAGGCTAACATTTCTGAGCTGAGTATTCATTCACCCGAAAAAAAAGTACAATTTCTTTTCTTTTTGTGAATACCCATTTCGGTTTCCAGAAGCACTATGTTGCGGCTGGAGGACCTGGTCGAGACGTCGACAGTTGATCCTCGCCTCGGTGGTCGTGCTACTGCTCATCTTGATAGCCTCCGCGATGGTCGTTCTCATCCTCCTCCTCGTGCGGAACAACGGCGGCGGTAATAACTATCACAACAACGTCCTGAGCACGTCAACCCCAAGCCCGCGATCTCCAACCAGCGCCCCACCGTCGCCCTTCCTTCAGTGCTTCGTCACACAGACTCGGTCGTCCTTCCACAACTTGAGCATGAACCTCACCTCTCTCAACCCCGAAGTCCGAGACTACGAGTTCGAAGGCACTTTGATCGGTTTCAGTATGGAAAACAAGACCGTAGCCATATACAGCAACAACACGTTTCAATTGGAGGAAAATCTCAAAGTCGACACAATGGGCTGTCAAGTTTGTCAGCTTCTGTCGACGACGATCAACTGCTGCAGCTCATGTCCCAATTTGGAGAACACCACCACGCTTTGCTCAATCAACGGAACCTTCTTCCAGACGTCGAACCAGGTTGTCGAGCTGGAAGTCACCGAGAATGGTCGGTCGCTGTTCCTGACGACGTTCAGCGGTAGAGAGCCATGCACCCTGCAGTCCTACCTCGTCAACAGCACGACAAGCCTCGTCATGGCGGGTCCGACGAGAATCTGTCCGAACGTCACTGATATCAGGCTCATAACAGCGACGACCCTCTACATCGAAGGGAACGTCGAAGGTCTCGACCAGCGGATGGTGATCCTAGACGGTCAAGGTCAGCAGCACATCTATGACAATCAGCTCAACGAAACCCTCGTACACTACAACCTTCTCAATCAGACGGCGTTGACGATGAGGTCGACTTTGCTCGGCGAGCACCTTTTGGTCGCCATCATAACCAACTCTTCTTTTTACGTCACCCGTCAGAACATATACTCCGGATGCGTGACGACGCTGGCCGGCCAACAACAAAAGTTCAGCTACGACGGCGATCTGCGCGGCGGCGACTGGATCCAAGATCAGCTTTACCTTTGGCTCGTTGAACGTAACGGCGTCAACCTCGTAATTTACGACTTCGAATGGCCTCAGGACAAGATTTGCCAAAAACAACAGGATTTTTCAAATTTAGCAGAGTAATCGATGCTCAATCAAGTCTTTAACGGGTTTTCACACATTCGCATAATATTAATGAAGTAATTTTTATAGCTATTTCCAAAAGTAACAAGCAAAATAAGAACAAACAAAAAGAAAATCAACAAAAATGGAAGGATAAACCTAAAAATGCACAAGGAAATAGAGTAACCCTATTTCTTTTTGAATAATTTGGCGTATTTTTCTCGGAGAACTTTGATCTGTTCGGCGTCTTCGGGTGTGGGGAGACCGGATCTGAAGGTACTGGTTAGCCCTTTTTCAATCGGCAGTTCACAATATAAACTAATTGGGTGCGATATTAGAGCAATAAATCAATGAAACCATCAAAAATAAATTCTCGCGAGGTTTTTTTTTGCTAGTGGGTAGGGTTTAAAAAAGATTGACAGAGGTGGTAGACATGCACTCAAGTTTGAAGCTCTCAAAAAATTTTGTTGTCTTCCATTTGGATTCGAAAACGTAAAAAAAAACCATCCGTTACATCTTCCAGTTGAAAAAAATTTGTTTAACCAGATTACATTAAAGAATATCTCAGCAAACTTTTCAGAAAATCCTAAGGTACGCTTGAGGATACGCTTGATGTGGAAAAAATGAAAGCGCGATTTGAGTGTAATCAAGCGTAATCATAAAAAAAACCATGAAAATTTTGTCTGAAACAGGTGAAAATGGTGCCCATGAAAATAAATGAATAGTATTGTTTCTCATTCAAAAAATATATCAACGAACCTTTTATCAATGTATTCGCTTTTAGGAAGAGCGTAAAGTTCCTCGAGAGACATCATCCGCGACCAATGCGGATAGAGCTTTCGCCCCGTCGGCGCCAAATCATCCTGCCATTCTTTTTTTGCCCTAAAAATTGAGATCATTTTTTCAATCCAAAGTTCGGGGCCGTTACTTAGAAATCGTTTCTTCGACGTATTTTTCGGGACTGAAAACTTCCAACTCGTTCAACAAAGACTTCATCCGCTTTTGAAATTCGCGTTCCGCCTAGAATTAGAGAAAATGTCGTTGACGCCAAACAAAAACTTTCCAGGCAAAAAAAGTTCCGATAATTTTTTCGAGATTATGGAATCAAAAAAACGTCAACTTTAAAATCCCAGCTTGAATTTTAAAAGTTGTAAAAAAATGTTTAGATGAGAAGTTTCGCAAAACAAAAATCCAACGATTGACAATATATAACGAATTTGATACTAAGGATTTGGAAATTTAGAGAAAAGAATAGGAAGTAACCTACCCGGAGTTTTTTCTCTCGATGATACTTTTGATATTTGAAATAATCTCGATCGAAGCGCTTTCGCCGCTTATGTTTCTTCATTTTCTTCCGTCGAATCGTCAGAAGCCGTGGTGATAAATGCATAGGTACTTGTTCCTTATAACTTGGTTCTTCAATACTACCCTGGATTAAAACATTTTCCAGCGTGATTTTCATTTTTAAAAAAAACCTTGATAGCACTTGGAGCTAATTTGTCTAAAATTTCCGTCAAAGGGGGAGGTGGCGCTTGAAACGGCGTTCGGTTCAGCGTGGGGAAAGTGTAAACCTGAAAATTATTTTTAAATCCGTACTGTACATCGTTAACAACCTGTTGCGGGTTTTCTAGTGACGGCAGGTCCACGGGAACCGACGACTGCGGAAAATGAACTGATTCATTTTGCCTTGAAGAACCTTAATATTAAAACATATTTCGGATAGACTCTTTAAAAACCTCTATCTATTCTTGAAGTAATCGGCAAAGGAAACGAAGGAACATTTGCAGAAGTTGGAGTTGAGTAGAAGTCTGAAAAAAATTGTATTTGTTTTAATAAAAAAATATTTCTATCCGCTTACAGTGGTTGTGACAACGCTGAGAGAAGGTCAAGCGACTGCAAGCTTCAACCAGGCGCGTAATCGCTCGATTCATCAATCAATTTTTTTTTTGCTGAAATGTTAACTTATAAAACTACGCGTGAATTCTAAAATGAGCGCGTAAAACGCTTCATAATAAAAAAGCTGTACCATTCTTAAGAGAATCCCAATTATTTGATGAAAATTTTCGATTTTGAAACACTACCGGTTAAAAAGATTTCAAAATTGATTTAAGACGCGCGATCCCTTTTCTAGGACTTTTAGGGTGTTCCAATAACGTTAAGTGGCTTTTTTTCACTATTAGGTTTAGGGACTTAAGAAGAAGAAATAAATAAAAAAACACGGCATTCCTAATGGGATGAGGGAAAGTGAGCGAGTTTTGAAAAAGTTTTTCAATGAAAACCAAAAATGATTTTCATAATTTGCGCGGACCACAGTGTCTTGTCTGCAAACTCCTAAACGAAAATAACCATTCTCTCGTCCCCGCGAAATTTTAAAATTGTTGTCGCTTGGTCGCGTTTTTTTGTATTTCGCGCTTTCCCAATGTTTCTTACTTCGTTTATATAAACAATATTGCTTTCAGAAAATGTCTTATTCTGGAGCCACGATTGTAGCGGCTCCAAACGAGTTCAAGGTCCCTTATACTACTCACGTGCCAATCAGCAAAGTTCAGGTGAAACTTTAAAAAACCTTCAAGATCTTTGATAATTTACGTTTTAGTTTTCTAAAGAGTGCAATCAGAGATTGTTGGCGGTTTCCGGATGGGACGGAACCGTCCATATTTACGCTGTAGGTCCTGTTGGCCAAATCGAGGAGAAGCGCTTCTATTTCCACGGAAAATCCGTTTTGGCCTGCACTTTCGCCGTTAGTTTTTAATAAATTCTCAGTGCAGTACTTATACAATCACAGGGGTACAATAAAGTTGCGAGTGGAGGCTTGGATCAGATCGTAAGGTTGGTGGACATCGATTCTGGCAGAGGTTGGTTTCAAAGCTGAAATTATTTTTTCATGTCTTTATTTTATTCAGAAACTAATCTTGGAACACACGCTATGCCTGTGCGATGTATGGAATACAGCTCTCAGAGTGGGCTGATCGTGTCTGGCGGTTGGGATTCACAAATAAAGGCTCGTATCCAACAAAATAAATTGTCATTTCAAGTGAATATTCAGCTATGGGACGCGAGAAGCTACGCGGCAGCGCAAGTGGCTTCCGCGAGCGGACGAGTATATGCACTGGATGTAAATAAGGACATGGTTTTAGTTGGAACTAAAGAGAGGTAAGAAGCTGCTTTGAGCAATACAAAAACATTGTTTCTTTTTTCAGGAAGATTCACATTTTCGATATCAGAAGAATGGATACGCCCATTCAGACGAGGGAAAGCCCTCTTAAGGTAGGAAAAAGAATGAAATATAGGATAGTCATTGAATGGATTTCAGTACCAAACAAGGGCGGTAGCGTTTTTCCCGAAAGCTGACGCTTTCGTAGTTTCTTCGATCGAAGGCCGAGTGGCTGTGGAATACGTCGATCAGGCGCCAGAAGAGCAGAAGAAAAAATATGCTTTCAAATGTCATAGGTTCGTAAATGTCTTTTTAAATTCCAAAAGCAGGCGAAACCCATGAGTTTTTCAGTTTATTCAATATCACAGTTCTGAAAATCGTATTGAAGAATTGATTGCAGAGGCAAGGACACCGATGGAACGGAACTTATCTACCCAGTAAATGCGCTCGCGTTCCACCCAAAACACGGCACGTTTGCCACTGGAGGCTCAGATTCTATGGTCAACATTTGGGATCCGTTCAATCGCAAGCGCATCATTCAGCTTCATAAGTAAGGAAACTTTTTTTTTCCGAAGTTCTTTTTTCGGCTCACTTATTTTTCGGAAAACGAATATGGGTACTCATTTTTATTTATCGATTTTCTTTTTATTTATCGTTATTCTTTTGATGTATTTGTGGTCGAAACATGACATCCTCACTATAAAACAACAAATATATTAAAAGATCTTGAACAATCAAAAAATGAATGATTATCTTTAATATTCGTTTTCCTAGATTGGAGCCTCCAAGATTTTTGCATACACGATCACGAATATTCGGGGACGCTCCTACCATATTTTAGAAATTGACTTGCTTGAAAAGGGTGCCACGAAATAAAAACCGGTGAAATTTCGGAGGGCGACCGATTTTTTCATTTCGCTAGGTAACTTTCCGCATGCGAAGTTTCCGACCTTTCTCGATAAGGTCTTCGTTTTGAATCTTTTTTAAATATGAAATAGGAATTTGATAAAACACAAAGAAAAACGAAAAAAATGTTAATAGATCTTTTATAAAGCGAAAAACAGGGGGAAAAAGTCCGAAACGTCGCAGTCGGAGAGTTCCAGCTTTGGGTACCAAGTCACTCTCTGGAGCCTGTTCATCCGCTCGTTGACATTGAGGGTTCGAACTAGTCTAATTCGATGGTGCTGGAACCGAATTCAATTAATTAGGAAAAACAGATCTAATACTTCGTTGCATAGCCTTGGCTTTGATAACAGCCTTGCATCTTCGGGACATTGACTCGATAAGTTCGTCCATACGCTGATTGGGATCTTCTTCCAAGTTTTTTGTTTTTCGATTTGTTTTTTGTAACTGCAGGTCCAAGAAATCGTTTTTTACAAAAACTTTTTCAAAGTTCATCCCAAAACAATGGTTTTTAACACATTTATGAACGAAAAACAAAAAAAAAACTCATCCATGCTCACTAGAGTATATTGAAACGCAGGTTCGAAACGACGATCGCGTCGCTGTCTTTCAACGAGGACGGCACTCAACTGGCCATCGCCTCTTCCTACTGTTACGAGAGCGAAGTTGACCCAGTCCCACTACCTCCCAACACAATCACCATTCGAGCAATTACCGAGACGGAGAGCCGTCCCAAATAGACGCCTTTCCAATTAGAATTATCCATGTCCGCAAACGTGTTTTCTTCTGTTAATATTCCTCTCTACTCCTGAATATATGGTCTCATTCTTTTTGTTAAAGAATAAATATTTATCATTTATTTTTTGCGTACTTTGTGTCCTTCTTCAGTTCTGAAAGCTTTGAAATATATAATATTCATTTCATTATATTACATCTGAAATTTCGTGTTTTTTTCGACGAGCGTTTTTGTCCAGGGGAGAGTTCCTAAGTTTTTCACGGAAAATATTTCAAAATTTAAGAAGAGTCCGTCTGGATTCTTACTAATTTATCGCAAAATTTCGAATTGTATCGAAAAGACAAGAATCTCTTTCTGATATTTTATAGATTACGTTTTGGAATAATATTTATTTTACACTAAATTAACTCTTCGCTCGATGAAAGAACCAAGAAAGGCGCAAATTTTTACGACGAGACTCCCAAAAAGGTATTTGCTCGGAGCAAAATCCTTTTGTGTGTTTGAAATTGTGTGTTGTTTGAAAACTTCCAACTGGAATCTTATATTCAAAGGAGTTAAAGATGCCGGCCCGCGACTACCCATCGATAGGCGAATATGCAGAAGCTCAGCGAGAATTGGGCAGCTGCCTGCCAGAATTCCGCGCCACGATGATCAAGTCGTTGAGAATCGGCGCGACGGCCGGCGTTCCCTTCGGAATATACGTCGCTTGGAGGTTAGGAAAAATATCAGTGATAAGAAAAATATATTATGGGTAAATGAAAAGAGACACAAAAATTCTCACTAAAGATCTCTCGAACGAGTAATTATTTCGCTCCGTCTTTTCTTGTGTTTTTTTTAGCCTACAATAGCTTTTTCTTTAATGAGCGTGGCTTGTGACGCGAAATATACGGTAGCCACGGAGGCGGGGGACGCCCTCAATTTTGCCTAAATTTTAGGCGTTTTATTGAAAGACTCCCGAAAGATGTTTGCTCGGAGCAAAATCCTTTCAGAATATGCTGTTTGAACACTTCCAACTGGAATCTTATATTCAAGGGAGTTGAAGATATTAAAAAAGCTCAGCGAGAATCGGGCAGCTGCCTGCCAGAATTCCGCACAGGGAAGGCATCCAAGAAAAGTGTACTCGAAGAAAAAACATCGTTAAAACCTGCCGCGGAATGGACTATAGTCCGTTCATATTAAACTTCCAACAGCTAACTCCGTCTCTGTGGCTACAGTTCTTTCGCGTCGATGTTTTACCGCGCGTGAAGATGAGCTTATAAGAGCGTGAAATTTTCCGATTTTTTTGAGCTTTTTCATTAAAGTTATCGAAGGATCATCTTCCCGCGCAATGACTACTCGAAATTACCGCTCAAGATTTGAAAAAAAAATGAAAAGACTATATAATTTTGCTTGAAGGCAACATGGCCGGCAGCTGAAGCCGTTCGTCGGGAAATCTGTCGCCACGTGGGTGACGACGACGTTGACTTTTGCCTGTTTGGGCCTGATGGGCGGAACCTACAACTGTCTTCGCATCAAGTTTGATTGATTTATGAGGCTTTCTCTATAAGTTTTGCTTTTATAAATCTCACCTAATCTTTAGGAAAGTTTAGGTTTTTTTTGCATATTTATTTTTTAAAGATGCGTGAATCTAATTTATTTTTTGCCTACTCATACACTGGCTCCTAACGGTTCTCTATCTATAGCGAAGCATTGAAGAAGAGACGCTAAATTGACTTGAATGATCACTTATTGGCCTAAAATATTTTCAAAAAAAATGAAGGTCGCCTGGCGCTCAATGCTTGAGTTAATTTCACGACTTCAAAGAAAGACCAAAATTTTAACGGTCCACTCAGTACTGAAAAAGAACATTTCGATGTTTCTGTGTTTATTTTCACATGCTTTTCTGGTCATCTGCTTCATTTTACTGGTTTCTTGTTGATTTTTTTTTCCAAGGTCTGTTAATTTATCATGTTCAAAATCTGTTTCATTTCCCAAGTGATAATTTTTACGTTGTTCCTGTTTTCATATTTCGTTTTTTTGGTTATAAAGAAGTTTTTATTTTTATTATTTTTAAGTAAGTGTTTTTTTGCGATCCGCGTTCCTCAGCAAGGCTGATCTACTGTTATAATGAATTTTTGAAAAAAATAACTTGATCAGTTAAGACCATTTGCAGACAGGTATGCTTGGGAATAGAACCTACACGGAAGTTGTTGGATTCTACGAGATCATCAGTAGTTTTGTACAGGTACGGATTTTTTTGAAATGCGAATAGTTCTCCGATGAAAAATTTTTGCCGCATGCTATTTTTTTACTCTCTGACTGCTAGAAAACGACTAAACAGTATGCGGCAGAGAAAAATTCGGGCGCGCCTTCAGACGCTCTAGAAGTCTCAAAGTTTTAACTCTGCGACGTCTTTGAGGTCTCACAGTTTTTGAAAGACAGAAGGCGCAGTCTTCTCAACTAATTTGAAATCGAACACTTTATGCTCTTCCATTTTCACAGAAATAAGGTCTATTTTGATCAAGGCGCTCTCAAATATCTCATAAAACTGTTGTGAACGAATAAATCAATGTACTTTGATCCGTTGGCATTGTAAAGAAGAAGAAGAAGAAGACAAATGAGGGGCGATTAGATTGAGAGTTGGCATGGTGCCCAGGCGGTCGTTGGCCTTTCCGCCCTGGTCACCTCTCGGCTCGCCGTTCGACCACTCACCGTTCTCCTCTATTTTCCACCTGGACATCTTCCTCTTTTGTGTCATCGTTTCTTCTGCAACTCTTTACAGTCGAGAATTTTTAAAGTTTGTCACCAAACCTTGCTGGAGGAGTTTGAAAGTTATCAATTTGTGCTGAAAAGTAGTTGGCGTATAATATATAATCTCAAATAGAAATGCTGAAGTTTTTTTACCCTCATTCCAAAAAAATGTTTTTAAGTTCTACGTGATTACAAAAAAACTAATTTTAACCATTTTTTTATTGAATTTTATTCATTTTTACATTTCTATGTTATACTCGGCGGCCAAAAATTTTCTTATACTATACTTCTTAAACTAAGTGTAAAACGGGTGTTAGATGAAGGATAAAACGCTTACTTGGGAGTCCAGAGTTTCTATACATAATTTTGCAACAAAAAAATAATTTAGCCTTGATTTCGAGGAAAAATTTGAAGATCAAGCGGAAAAACTCTGTTTTCATCTGTTTTGGCTTGAATTCCGCGAGGAAACCTTGCCGAATTTCAAAAGAAGGTCTTTAAAAGTTCTTTCACGTCTTTATTTATTTTTTTTTCGAAAAAAGATAAGATAGAATCTGTCTCCGCCGATAATTTCTCACATCTAAGGAGCGTGACCACCTAGATTCTTTCCTGTTTTTTTTTCTTTCGGTCGGCTGTTATCATAAGGCGTGTCGAAAGTTGAATCAATCCGATTGCCTTGGATTTTCTCAGTTCTTTTTCTGTGTTTCATTCGCGTTTTTTTGAAAAATTGTTTTCAATGTGACATTTTTATTTGTTCGGACTTTCGCGGCAAATAATATATAATTTTTTTTAACTTCTATATAAAACTCCCTCTAAAAAAATACGCTTCCTTATAACTTCCAGGTTCTTTTCTTTGAACTATTATTTTTTTCATAGCCAATACTTCCTGACTTGAAAGGCAGAGGAGGCGGAGAAGTGGATGTGACGCGTAGCGTTCGCGCGCGGTTCTTGGCACGAGTTCAATTCAAGCGCCACCGACTATTTAAAAAACTCGTTCACCGCTTTTTTTGTATCTCTTTTACCATTTTTTTGATCAAAAATGAAAATAATCAATTAATAATTTTTGAAAAAAATGAATTAACCGATGAAGGAGCTCTTCAAATAGTCGCTGACGGTTAAATTGAACTCGTGCCAAGAACCGCAAACGCACACGCTACGCGTCCCGCCTCCTTCTTTGCCTCCCTTGCCCTTTAAATAGGGAAAAATTGACTATACGCTGGTCATCTTCAGAAGCAGTTGTGAAAATCAATCAATGAGCAAACAATGACCGTTATCATCAAAACAGAGCGTATTTTTTTAAGCGAATTTTTTTTACAAGGTTGAGAATCGAAAGTAAACGTACTTTTTGATAGCTTTTTTTTCTTTTTTTTTTCTCAATCTCGAAAATAAGTCAGTTTTCCTTAGCTATGCCATTTTTAACGCGAAAACGCACCCTTTCAGACGCTGTAAACGGCTGCAATCTTTGTGCTACTATTGCAAAGATGCTGATAAAGACCCTTACTTGGTTATAAAAACAATTCTGATTATGCCCTTTTATTATTTTTCTTCCTGACCTTTCTCTTTCCCTCACTTACTTTTCTTCTGAAAGTTAATCGTCGATTTTTCATGTAATATCAAAAGTACTCTGACTTGTAATGAAATGAAGAGAATACGATGAAATAGTGGACTTTGGACTTTTCCAACCTGTTTTCGAATTTTTTTTTTTGATAAGGTTCAGGCAGTAGGGTTTTGCAGTCATTCAATGAACGAGAATAGACAACTTTTTCTTTTGAATCTCTATAAGAGTTAGTTTCTTATGTAAAATTTGTGTTTTTCTTTGCTGAAGGAACATATTCTTCAAATTTTATAATCTAATTCATTCCACAGACTTTTTTGCTGAACTCAGCTTTTTCTTGAAAATATTTTGCCGACGTTGAACAAATTTCAATCTATTCCCTTTTGGGGTTCGTTTTTGCTTACATGAAATTTTTTTTTTGAAGAAGAGATCCTTAAATTTCATTAAAAAAGATGTTTTTGTTTTAAGATCTTGTGAAAGACATCAAGTTTTCGTTTAATTTTCCCAGAAAAGGGACAGTCACCTTCTTAACACACCTCTTCCAGGAAGTGGCTTCGGCTTTTGGCCACCTTTCTCTGCCCTACTATTCAACAAACGTTTACCTTGTTAAAGAGGGTCATACCAGTCAGGAATTTTAGAAAGGTTTTTTTTCTCAGAAATTACTCATAAATTATGTGGGAACTCAGCTATTGAAGAGTAAACTTTTCAAAAAGTCAAAGCTTAAATAAAAATCCGGAAAATTGGATTGCTCGTTTTTTTTTTTCGCTCTCACCTAGTGAGTGATGGAACTGCACAGCCTTTCGCGGACTGTGAAGCAATAATTGAGAAATCTCTTATCGCCGATGTTCCCCTCTAAACATCGATGTACGATCTTCCATAAAACACGCTGTTTTTTGACCTTTTCGCCGACTGCCGACGGTTTTCGCCATGATACATTCGATAGAGGCTGTTTGTGCGAAGCTCCTCCGTCGCTAATTGATAAAATCTACTTCCAGCAGCTTCTTTTCGATGTTTTCATACTCGTCAACAGTTTTTTTTCGAATCTGAAACATTGAAGATCCCTTTGAAACTACGTCCACTTTGAACAGAAAGATAAAGTTCTGAAATTTTTTTTTCTGGAAAATCGGTTCCTTTGTTGCTTTTTTCTTCTTTTTTTTCTTTCTGCACCTACTATTACAATGTTCCACGTTCTCTGTGCAACTCAAAAACTTTGTTTGATTGTTGGGCGTTTTTGAAAGCAGATGTTTCCATCTTATTCTTTAATTTATTGAACGTTTGAACGTTGAAAAACTGAAAATTTTGTTTCATTTGCAAAAGTATTCTTATTATGTTCTATTCCCCTGCGGTGATGGTCATCAATTCGTTTTGATCTTGGACACTTGATGTCATTTTCTTGAATAAAATCTCAGCATAGTGTAGTCAATTTTTTCGACTTGAAAAGTAATACGGACATATTGAGCAGTGAGACTTGTGGCTTAAATGCGAGCCGCCTTTTTATGAATTTTTTTTTTGATTTTCTTTTGATTGTACATAAGCCGCGTCGCGTACGCCACAATTCACCCTTGCCAATCTATTCATCTCGCCTTTCAATGATTAATTAAATGAAATATACAGTGAAAAATTTTATAGATGACCTACGACCTGTCGCGGTTGTCGCAAGACTTGCCGACCTCGGAGCGGAGCGTCGAACTCAACGGCAAGTTCGAAGCGTCAGCGCGCATCCAATCCAACAGTTCTCAACGTCGTCTGACCCTCAGCCGTTCCTCCAGCATTGACTCCGTCGCCACTGTAGGGGTTTCTTCTTTTAGCATGTTCAAAAGTTGCATGTAAACTGTTTATGGCAGTTCTTCAGTCCATCCCGCGCGGCTTGCCTCTCTGTTTCTACAAAAAAAAGACTTTGTACTCAATTTGACTAAACTTAACATCGAGATATTCGATAATTGCAGTCGTTTGTAGACTTTTTTGCAGTTCAGTAAATTAAAAGTTGGCAAGAGAAGAAAGTTTTCTCCAGTGACCACTTAAAAGCTTGATTATTTTCAAAGAAAAAAATATGCTTTACTGAAATATTCTCTATGAAGTAGATTTCCTGAGTAGAATGTAGTGTACTCCCCGCAAAAAGCTATCGTAAACTCAGACTCTTTTTTTGCAATTTTATCTTGAGACTGCGAAATACTGCAAAAACCCAGATTTACAGGAAAATTTTAATGGATTGTATTTAGTACAAAAAAATTTAAAGAAATAGCTTGAAGATTTATATAATAAATAGTCTCTCCAAAGTCATCGAGAGGTCTGTGAAAAATTACGGGCGTCCAAATTCGGAGATTTCATAGTCTCTGACCTAAGATCATTAGAAGGGTTTTACTCTATTTTTCAAATCCTCAATCTAGCGACCGCAAAGCCCCGCCCCTTTTCACGATGGAAAAAAGGCCATTTTTTTGGTATTCCGTCTTTGACTGTTTCGTACAGCCGATAGAAACAATGAAAAATGATAAAAATTTCAGTATACAGTTAGCAAAGGTTCCTCTTTCCGTTGAAAATATTTTTAGGTGCTTTCCATGTGTTTCAACAGAGTTTCGTACGGAATAGTGATGCGAGTTCGAAAAATATACTTAGTTTTGCATTCATGTAGGTCGCGGACAAAGTTGATTTTTTGAAAACTACTTATAAACAGTAAATGAAATTTTTTAAGCCAAAAAAATTAAAATTCTATGATCGCCGAAAAAATTGAGAGGCGCGCAAAGTCAAAAATTGTTTTCTCAATTGCAATGCAGTATTAGAAGGTTTTTATGATTTTTTCATATTGAGAAAAACATTGCTCAAATAATACTTATTGACAACTACAAGCAAATGCACTGTTTTCAGTGGTAAAAAAGCTGGAGAATTTTTTGCGAGTTGTATTGAATCATTTCCCGGTCGAAGACACGGGTTTTTTCTTACTCATTTATAGGAGCTTTTAATTTTTAAACAAATAAAGAAATAAAATCGAAAATTCTAGTTCGCCGAAAAATTTCTTTCAACAAAAAGGTGAATGAAAGTGGGCGAAATTACATTTTCATGAGACTCAAAGAGCACTGTAAGCTGTCTTTGTGCAGTCACTGAGACGAAAGTGATGGCAAAGTGGAATTACAGCTCGTAAAACCTTCTCTTTTGGCTCCTGAAACCGTGCCACCCTTGCAAATAAGAGTGCGCGCAGATTGCATGAGAATTCGCAAAACCAAATTTTCAGTGCAAAATTTTGCTTTCCGATTACTTTTAAATATTGTTTTCTCCTCTTATTGTTAATATTTTTCGTTTTTCTTTTCTGTTTTCGCATACTACATGTTAAAATCATTTTTTTTATAACAAAAACGAGAAGCTAGCTTGAGTTCGAAAAATAGGTCTGTGGTCCCTACCTCAATCTTCAAGGACCCTTTCTAAACTTGTTTTCCATTTCTTTGCGCCTCGCCAGTACGTTCGACCTGCAACAGAGAGAAGTAAGAAGATCAATAAATGAAAGGAAAACCTCCGCTGAACGCTGTTTACCACCATCAATGCTTGTTGATCATCTCGAGGGCCGTCGTTTTTCGATCTTTTGCCCCATGATGCAAAATGAATACGTTTTAACGACTTTTCACTGTTTTGAGAGAGCTAGTCTGTGAGAATCTGTCCGGAAAGATGAGGTCATGACGTGTTGCAATCATGAATTTGATGAAAAGAATATTCGAAATTGATTTTAACGGAATTTTCAATCAAGGCCAGCAAACCTTGAATTCGAAAAAGTTCTTATTTTGCTTTCAACATAATTTTATTTCTTAAAAAAAACTTATTTTACCCAAAAACCTAGAATCACCATTTGAACTTATATAATTTATAGCCCATTCTACGCCAGCTTCCCCTATTTTTTTTTTTTATCAAAAAGGAACAAATTTGACTGAGTTTGACCGAACTTTGCCTCCAGACTTTCGTTTTTTTCAGTCTTTTTGAAATTTTTCTGCAATTCTGTAGAGCAGAAGTACAAAAATTTATATTCACGGTAGTTTTTTTTTCTGCTGCGCCTTACAAAATTAACCGTCTCGCGCGGAACACACTATAGCCTGGTTACGGCCTTTTCAATTTTTTTTTTTTCCAATCAGCAATGTATCACAGTTCATTTCTCACTCGTATTAATGATTGATCGTCGAGAGTTTTCAACAAGAATGTCTTCTTTTTTTTTTTTGAAAAATGACGTTTTGCCGTTGTCTACAAAGCATATTTCCGCCCCACGTGTGTATGTATGTACAAACAGCCCAAAATCACCTGAGTTTCCACGCTTTTCGTTGTGAAACGTCATTCTTTGTGATATTTCTGTCAAGTTTTTGGTTTTTTTCATATAGTGTTTCTTACCAATTTTCGAGGGCTAAAAGTCGCCGAAACTTTCCTCAAGTTTTCCTGTACGTCTTCAAGACGAGCTATTTTAGTTTAACGGGCGAGGGATAGTTTCATTATTTCAAAATTATAAAAAATGAGAAGAAACTTTGTGAAATCGAGATTTTTCGTAGACGTTTCGTTTTCAACTCTCACCATTTCTTTAAGGATGTACACCTCCCCGACTGCTTCTCGTCGGACGAGCTTGACAAGCTCAGTAGCTGCCTCAGTGAGGTTAGTCCCCCTTTCCTTTCAAAAAGAAGAACCTAATTTTTATAAACCAGAGGCGGAGGATTGGGAAGGCAGCCCTTGGCTTGGCGGCCAAGCCAAGCCATTCAGCCAAAAGATAGAAATGAGCCATTAATTCACGTGGTCTTTTGCAACTAGGTCAAGTACGTGGCGATAACGCCCTGAATTAATCATTATCAATTTTGTAAATTTTGAATCGTTTTTTTTTTCGCAACTCCGTTTCAACGTTTTTAACCTACTGTAACAGAATTTCAGCAGGAATTTTCACTGAAACTGGTCAGTAGGCTGTATTTTCAATCTTACTAGAGAACTACTCGGACCAAAAAATTTTGAGATGTCATGAAATTGATGCAAAAAGTATTTCTTTTGATATATTTGGTTTCCAAAAAAGTCACATGACAGAAAAATCCTACTACACCAGGCCACCTCGTTAAAAGGGGAAGGCGTACAGGTCTATTCCTGGATTTTGCGGTGGTATGAAAAAAAGCCAGCATATTTTCGAACGGCGACTTTTCCGATTATTATTTCAAATCGCTAACAAGGGAAGTGTTTTTGGTGGTCGGTTGAACTTTTGTTGAAACTTTGCTGGAAGGTACTATAAGACCTTCTCTTTCCAGAACACAAATAAAATTTCTCGCAATAGATCTCGTTTTCGAGTTATGAAGCTTCAAAGTTTGCACGCTGAATGAGTGCTGCAAGGCAAGAGGGAATGTGGCTCGCGTACGATCCCTCCACTCCAGTTGGCAGCGTGGTGTAGTGGCTAGCGTCCTTGCACTGCGGTGTCTATGACCTAGGTTCGAAACTTTTTGAAGAATTTCGTTTTTGCCAAAACTTTCCTAGGAGGAATTTATCGACATTGGGGAAATGGACCAAAACTTTTTGTCCAAAATAACATAGCTTCTCATTTCACTCGATTTACCAAGAATTTTGACAAACATTTTCCTTCGGCGGCTCATAGGCATGATCAATGGATCGCTTTCTGTTTTTCAAGAATCTGGAGGAGACTTACTCATCTTTCTGTGGCGTAAGTTTTTATTTGATTCCTTTCAAATTATCAACTGGACTGAAACGCTGATTAAAAGGCACGTAGAACTTTTTCCCCCAAAAAAAGGACTATTAATAATTTTTATAAGCGGAAAAAATATTTTAATCGGTATACCGAATCAAAATGAGAAACTATATTATTTTGGAAAGAAATGTTTGGTCCATTTCCCAAATGTCGATAAATTCCTCCTAGGAAAGTTTTGGCAAAAACGAAATTCTTCAAAAAGTTTCGAACCTAGGTCATAGACACCGCAGTGCAAGGACGCTAGCCACTACACCACGCTGCCAACTGGAGTGGAGGGATCGTACGCGAGGCACATTCCCTCTTGCCTTGCAGCACTCATTCAGCGTGCAAACTTTGAAGCTTCATTTCGGTTTATAAAACATCTATTAACTTTTTTTTTTTTGTGTTTTAATCATGAATAAACTACCTACTTTATATAAGTAGATTCAAAACAAAGAGTTTATCTAGAAAAAGAAGTCGCAAAAAGATTAGTCGGAAACTTCTCTGCCGGAAACTTCCCAAAAAATAAAAAAAACGTTATGTTCGAATTTTTTTAACAATTAAAAAATCTGAATCCTTTGTGTACACAGGTTTCATACATCGCTCAAAACAAGCGCTTCTAGATGCTAGGGCGATTTAGCCTTACAAATGACCGTCGCGCCACGCTGACTTTTGAAAAAGTCATTTCTGCCTTTTGGGCGTTTATGGCTTGGCAGGCAGGGCGGCCAGTGGGCAGCCATCCTCCACCTCTGTTATAAACCAAGGCTTTTTAAGCTATAAAATCGCATTCCGATTGTAAAATTTCGATTTTAGCGATGCGGCCAAATCATGTGTTTTTCCATCTCTTTTTCTGTTTTTTTTTTCGAAATCTTTATGACTTTCAAATAATTACTTGAAGTCATTCAACTACGCTAGACATAAATTCAAAACGCGAACCGCTAGTCTATAATCACAAAGTTCTTTCGTTCAACAGCTATTTCAATATTTATTTGACTGCCAAAAAATCTTTTTCGATATTCAATAATGGAAAAATAAAAAACAAGTAGACCCTAGATCGTTTTATCAGTAAGGCATGCAGGCAACGTGAAAAATCGCCACGTTTCACGTGAAATTGCCGGCTACACCCTGTGGCGGTCAAAGTACAGCGTCTCTTCTTCCTCTACGTGCGATTTTGCGGCTTTCTCTTTTGTTTGCCTGAAAAGCTGCTTCGAATTGTGCTTTTTGTCTGTTCTTTGTGCTATTTTTCATGTGAATCTGTAGTTTTCTTCAAAAAAGAACTTCAGCCGTTGAATGATTTCGAAAGAAAATTGTGTAAAAACCTTTTATTTGTCTAGCTAATCGATAGTATTTTCGGTTTGGGCTGAAGTTTCACGAAAATTGCCACGTTTGCTCAATATTTTCGAAAATTGATGAGTGTCAGCAAATGATAAGACAAGTTTTGGATTTTGCTCCAAATGACCAATTTCATGATAACAACGGCTCTTTTGAATTTTATCATACAGTCTCTCACGCGTGGACGTTTTAAACTTTCTGTATATAGGTCATATTTCATTAAAAAAAAATGCTGTGTCAACCGTTTGAACACGTTTGTCTATATTTCTTCACACCAAACGCCCGATATTTAAGGCGAACTGTAATGAATTCCAACATGGACCTTCCCGGCCTTATGTATGGCATCGCTCAATTTTGGCTCGGATTTTTACTGGTGAATTTTTCCTCTCAACAAAATGCGATTTGATAGCTTTAAAAGCTGGAAATTTAAAGAAAAAATGAATAAATTGAGACGTTATCAAGTTTAGAACACCCAAATGACTCCGTCGTGCACGCATTTACATTTTTTAACAATGGAACTCTATGGAAACTGTAATAGGCTAAAAATAGATAAAGGTTGATATAAGCATGATGTTCTAACAGAAACCGAGACGTTATCAAAGTTCAAGCTGCGGGGAAAAAAAATTGCGAAAAGCACCGTCATGAGTCGTTTGGGGCTTCTAATTCTTATAACATCTAAAAAGGTGGCTTGACGACGAGACGTTGATGTGGACGAGTTCCAGAGATGGAGGAATATTTGATGAGGAAGCAGAGCTGAAATGGGAGGCGCGCGACGACGGCGACGATGCTGAAGACGTTGACGACGTCGCCAGCTTCCGGAAGGCTTCGCTGGCCTACTCGATCGCGTCGTCGTCGTCGTCGTCGTCTAGCTTTTGGCGCAACCACCGCCGCCTCAGCGTCTCGTCGTCTTCGTCGTTTATCGACGGCGGCCAACTTGTCGAAGACGTGGACCCTGCTGACGTGGAGCTCGTTCAGGTGTCGTCGGAAGGTGGCGCCGAGAAGTCGACCTCCGTCCTCTACGACATCGTCCAGGCTCAACTAGCTCTCTGGACGTGCGCTTTCTCACTTCTGTACTCGTACGCCTGGATGCAGCATCGCAAGAAGTTTCTTCTTAGCATCGTGAGTTTTTTTTTTCTTCAACAGGTTCCATTCAAGACATAAAAATTTGACCTTTCTGAAATTTATCAATCAGTTTTTCTTAGAACTGTACGTTTACAGGCTGCACTGCTTGTGGCAGAAATCAAAGTTATATTTCTCATTTACTTTTTTAAATTTTTGAATAGTATCTCATTCTTTTTTTAGGTTTTTCATGAACAGTGGGTTTACAGAGGGATTTTAAGATCCAGTAGAAGTTTTTGCGCCTTACTTGAAATTAGAATTTATTTAGTTCATCGTGGTCCCGACGACGTTTTTCCTGACTTGCGCGATGTCCTCGCTTCTGACAACGATCGTCGTCATCGGCCGACTCTTCTCGGCGCCCGTCAACTACGAGCAGTACCTGAGGCCGCGCCTTGGCAACGCCGGCAGCATCGATTACGATGGTATCTTTTTTCGAATTTAAAAGCTTACTTTGAGTGATGTGTCAATATTTTTTCCAAACAATTTTATTGCTTAGTCCTTTTCGAACGTGCTGAGATATCACGTAAAGGTTTATCAAACCTTGAATTATGCATGCGATCCACATATCATCTCGAATGGAAAATATATAGATTTCTTCAAGGGCCTCAAAATTTTTCTCAACGCTACTTTATAAATGGACTAGTTCCTGACCGTGGTCCTGAAGAAACTTTCTTTCGTCATTTTCATTTGAGTCGCATCGATTAAGCATTGATGGGCTCTAATTTAGTAAGAGATGCAGATAAGTGGGAGATAGTAACGAATAAAAGAGAGAGAGACTTGATCACGTATGCTGGTGGTCAATCAGTTTCCTATTTGGAAGGCTGCATTTAGAGATAATTTTGGGCAAAAAAAATTGCCTCATACTTTTTACCGCTATAGTTTGGCCATTGTCGAAAAATCTATAGGAAAACAAAGATCTAGAGAAAGCTGCCGACGAGAAAACCCGACCGCGAAGTTGAAATGAGTGAAAGTGGAGAAAATGATTGAAGCAATCAAAAATTTAGAAAAAGTAGCTCTTTTGACTCGTTTGGCGTGGCTTGAAAGTCATAAGCCAGAAGCCCTACCAGCTCTGCTCATAAGGGTTCAATATGCGCTGAGACTGGGTGTTAGCACGGCTGGTTCAACCTCATCAGCAAGGGAGTTCATCAGAAGTTTCAGACCGCGACTACGGTGGCGGAATCCGACAACGAAGCTACTCTGGCGCCTCGTCGGTATCGTGTGACGACGGCCTTCCGAAGCCTCTGTGCCGTCGTCACAGCGGTTCGCACACATCCCTTTGCAGCCGACCGCCGTCGGTGAACCGCAAACTTTCTTACGCTTACTCTCACTATAACGCCAACAGTGGAGACATTAGTGACTGACCTCGTCCTTTTCTCGAGTGTTTAGCCTTCAAAAGGCGGGTTTCCTAAGGATAAGACTGCGAAAAGCCAGGTTGAAAGTATTCACGTAGATGCTGTGAAAGCTGTTGATTTGAATTCTATCCACCAGAAACTTTTCCCTTGGATGGAACTGACTGTTTTCTAAGCTTGGCTTCTCGTTGTTTTTCATTCACCCTACTCCTGAGCTACTGGGCTACAATGACAAGAGCCTCACGTTTTCTTTTTTGATCCTTTTTTTCAGTTCAGAAGCCTGGAGATTTTCAGTATACCATGGATTAGTAGAGGGTGGTCACGTTCACAATGTCCCTTCTCTTATATTATATTTCCCCCATTCAATTGATAGAGTAAACCGCGTATCTGTACAGAAAGTTCAATGAACCGAAATTTGCCTGAGTTTGCCCTTATCACTTATTGCCAAACCTTCACTCAACCAATCGGCCGGTAGCTTTCCTCTTTTTTTTTTCATCCTTTTCTATTTGATCGCCATTCTTGACGTTTATATTTTTTATTTAATTGGACGGGTAAACAATGTAGTTTCGAGAACCAAAGTTGAAGAAGATTTCTCGTGAATAACAGATGAGAAATACTGTTTCTGGATATAAAATAGTCATTTTCTTCTGAGGTTCGGCTAACAAAGAAAAAGATAAAACGAATCGGCACAATGAACACGTTTTACACAAAAATATGGGAAATTTTTAATGGAAGAAATCGAAACTCGACAACGGAGCAATCTGGCGGCCTACTACCTTAAAAAAACTTGAATACAAGATATAAAAAAACTGTAGTTCTTCTCCAAATAGGCATTTTTTTCCTAAAAAAACGGGCCTCTCAGACTTTTCAACGACATTCCTATGCATGTTGGTTCTTCGTTTTTTTGTATAGGATTTTGCGAACGGCTCATTAGGAGAAATTCACTGGATTCTGTTCTTTCGAATGATATATTTTTCCTATAGAATCTGAAGAATGAATTATGAAGGTTTCGTGATAGTAATCCTAGTTAATAAATGAAGGTTTCGTGATAGTAATCCTAGTTCTTCTTCTTCTTCCTACGCCTTTGTACCGCTTGAGCGGCGTCGGCGCCCCAAGTCGATGAGCCGAGGTCCTATCCTGATATCAGTGGACTGGCTCCAGGGACATATCCGCCCTTGTGTCTGACGGCTGGGGATTTTGAAGTCGTGGTTTCCCACTACCAACATTTCTTAAACCCCTTGGTTGGGTCGGGCCGGGGATCGAACTTGTGATCCTGTGGACCGTAGACAGGCACACAACCTGTTGCGCTACGGCGCGCCTTGATAGTAATCCTAGTTGATAAATGAATTTGGAACATTTCTCAAGTTACATAAACACTTCCCAATCGACGAATTTCAATGAGAACGTTTTTTTTTTTTGCAAAACGTATAACAAGTTTTCACGAATAAAAGATCTGACGAGCTTAAGTTTTATTTTTCTCTATCCCATATCAATCAACATTTCTATCCTTATCATTTCATCGTTTTCTGTGCGTTCGAAACTTACTTTTTAAAATTTCTAGCATCTCATAAGTTTCATTTTTACAGTCAAAAAAACCCGAAGGTTTTTTTTGAGCTTCTCATGGAAGCCGATTCGAACGAAACCTATGTCAATCGATAGAAAATAGAACGCGATAGAACAATAAAATAAAACGATAGAACACCTGAGACCACGTTTGACCTCCGTAGGTCAACTAGAAACTAAATTTTGGGCGATCAAACTTAAAGATCGAAAAATGGAAAGTAGGTCGAAACAGGTATCAATCGATAGAGGAGATCACGAGGATCAAGAAAAACTAGGTCTCCAAGTTCCTAACCTTCTAGGAATCGAGTTATGATTTTTCAAAAACTTTAAAAAATCATAACTTTGTTTCTAGGCGTCTAAGAACATTTTGACCTGAACTTCCGCATTTCTGACGTCATTTCCCATCGTTTGATGTAAAAATCTCGAAAACTTTGGTTTTCGGGAAAATCGAAAAAGTACAGTCTAAGAACATTTTGACCTGAACTACGTTTTTTTCGAGCTTCTGAGGTCATGGAAGCCGATCCGGACGAGACCTATATCAATCGATAGATCTCGACGAAATAATAACCTGAGGCCGGGTTTGACCTCCGTAGGTCAACTAGGAACTAAGTTATGGGCGATCAAACTTCGAGATCAAGAAATGGAAAGTAGGTCAAAACTGGTATCAATCCATAGAGGAGATCACGAGGATCAAGAAAAACTAGGTCTCCAAGTTCCTAACCTTCTAGGAATCGAGTTATGATTTTTCAAAAACTCTAAAAAATCATATCTTTTTTTCTAGGCGCCTAAGAACATTTTGACCTGGATTTCCGGGCTTCTGACGTCATTTCCTATCGATTGATGTAAAAATCTCGAAAACTTTGGATTTCGAGAAAATCGAAAAAAGTACAGTCTAACCCCTTCAGTTTTTTTCGAGCTTCAGAAGTCATGGAAGCCGATCCGGACGAGACCTATATCAATCTATAGATCTCGACAAAAAAATAACTTGAGGCCGGGTTTGACCTCCGTAGGTCAACTAGAAACTAAGTTATGGGCGATCAAACTTAAAGATCGAAAAATGGAAAGTAGGTCGAAACAGGTATCAATCGATAGAGGAGATCATGGAGGTCAGGAATAACTAGGCCTCTAAGTTTCTGGGTTCCTAGAAGTCGAGTTATGGATAATAATAATCTTCAAAAAATTATAACTCTCTTTCTAGGACCTAGAAACCTTCCGACTTCGATATATCCACTCCTCACGTCATTTCCCATCGTTTGATGTAAAAATCTCCAAAACTTTGGTTTTCGGGAAAATCGAAAAAGTACAGTCTAACCCCTTACGTTTTTTTCGAGCTTCTGAGGTCATGAAAGCCGATCCGGACGAGACCTATATCAATCGATAGATCTCGACGAAAAAATAACCTGAGGCCAGGTTTGACCTCCGTAGATCAACTAGGAACTAAGTTAGAGGCGATCAAACTTAGGGATCAAAAATATCAAATTCCGTTAAGATTGATATCAATCGATAGAGGAGATCACAAGGATCAAGAAAAACGAGGTCTCTAAGTTCCTGACCTCCTAAAAATCGAGTTGTGATTTTTTGAAAACTTTGAAAAATCATAACTCCATTACTAAACGTCTAAGAACCCTCTGACCTGGAATTCCGAGCTTCTGACGTCATTTCCTATCGATTGATGTGAAAATCTCGGAAACTTTGGATTTTGGGAAAATCGAAAAAAGTACAGTCTAACCCCTTCAGTTTTTTTCGAGCTTCTGAAGTCATGGAAGCCGATCCGGACGAAACCTATATCAATCGATAGATCTCGACGAAAAAATAACCTGAGGCCAGGTTTGACCTCCGTAGGTCAATTAGGAACATAGTTAAAGGCGATCAAACTTAGAGATCGAAAAATGGAAAGTAGGTCAAAATTAATATCAATCGATAGAAGAGATCACAAGGATCAGAAAAAAACTAGATCTCTAAGTTCCTAACCTTCTAGGAATCGAGTTATGATTTTTCAAAAACTTCAAAAAATCATAACTTTATTTCTAGGCCCCTAAGGACATTTTGATCTAGATTTCCGGGCTTCAGTCGTCATTTCCTATCGATTGATGTAAAAATCTCGAAAAGTTTGGATTTCAGGAAAATCGAAAAAAGTACAGTCTAACCCCTTCAGTTTTTTTCGAGCTTCTGAGGTCATGGAAGCCGATCCGGACGAAACCTATATCAATCGATAGATCTCGACGAAAAAATAACCTGAGGCCAGGTTTGACCTCTGTAGGTCAACTAGGAACATAGTTAAAGGCGATCAAACTTAGGGATCCAAGATCTCAAATTCCGTTAAAATTGATATCAATCGATAGAGGGAAGAAATTTTCACGGACACATATTTTTCGGATCAATCTTCCTATCATCATTTTAATATTCTTTTAGTTTCTATTTAATTCATGAATGTCTGTAAAACCTCGCGTTCTTCTTATGTGAAGTTCAAATTTTAAGATAGATTTTTTTAAATGAAAACTTCCATTTGTTCACTCGGACCTTCGTAACGCGAACGGGACGCAAATCGGACGTGTCGGGGCATTTAAAGTGACCACTTTAGTAGCCTCAGCACTCTTAAGGGATCCCTAGAATCGCCCAGAAACGTCCGGAGCACGTCCGTTTCACGTTACCAATGTCCGAGCAGCGTAAACTTTAACAGTGAAAATAAAATAAAATATGCATCGTCATGCTCTTTTTTCGTTCTTCAAAAAAACAAATAATTCAATCGAATTGAAATATTGAGAAATATGCTCCATAATCCACCTAGTGGTCTTTTTCCCTCCCTGCAACATCACCATATCATCCCGATGTTGCGAAAAATAAACAATTTGAATGAAGCCTACATATGCCGCGAGTTGAAAAAGGAGTATTTTACTTTATTGTATCTGTCTTCTTGACACATTTATTTAATTGAATAGGGGAACAGTGTAGCTTCGCGTTCACGGGCAATAGCTTCAGAAAAAAACTTAGTTTTTCATAAACAACAGGGAATGAGATTATTTTCGGGTATAAAGGATAGGCTTAGTTTCAATCCCGTAAAATGAAAAATGAAACAGGCAAAGATATGATTACGCAGAGGTTAGAGATCAAAGGCAACAGGGCAAAAAAATTCCTTTCATTGTGAAAATAAATAACAAGTTTTTTGTTTTTTTCTTGGTGCGAATCGAAGTCTGCCTTTCAGTTATCTCGATGATGTTCATGACACCTTTTGAGTGTCCTCTTGGATCAGTCAGTGGCCGGCTTCAAAAATGTGGTGAGCGGGTTGCTCTCCGTTCCCTCGTTCAGCATTTCGTCAGCTTCATCGACGAGCTCTGCAGCTAGGTAATATATTACGAAATATATTGAAACGTACGCGACGCGCCGGCGTAGACTTTATGCGATGGGGCGTACATAGCGAGAAGTAGCAGAACGTAGATGTTCCACATGCCGAAAACGCCAGTGAAAAACCCCGACGTGCTGCTGACGAGCAAACTGTCCTGCGCTTCGTCTGAGTGGATTTGTGCTTCTCCGTACTGAAATTCCATATAATACCAAATGAAACCAAGGCAGAAAATACTCCTATCACTGTGAGAAGAGTTTAGAACGTTGAACTTCTTATTGAGAATTATTGGACAAGTGTGAAAACCAACTTGTTTCATAAAATATCCAACAATCGTCGCACCGGCACAAACCAACGTGAAACACATCAAAAATTTGAAGCGGTAAATTACAACTTCGACCTGAAACAATTAGAACATCACGAATGACGTTTCGCAACAGATCAACTCACCTTAAGGCGACGATTTTCACACGTTCTGTACAGTTGAGCGGCTCTCTTCTTCCGGATTGTCAGCCATACTTTGATGATTTTAGACATCAAAAAGGCGAAATAAAACGCAGTGCAAACGACGCCAACGAGAATCGCAGCGTACTGAAAAAAATGAAACTAACTAGGGCATGGCCTCCTCTCAACAAAGAGTTGAAAATCGAGCCTTTGTGAGTGGGTAGACCTAGGTAAGAGTACTCGGAATCAAAAATAAAATTCTGCTAAGCCCCACAGGCAAACGTGGAAAAGCTCGTCGAAAGCTTTTCAGCACGCATATGGCCGCGCTCGGAGCCTCTGGCTAGCAACTGGTGGCGTGGTGTAGTGGGCAGTGGTCTTGCGCACTGTCCATATTGTGACCATAGTTCAAATCCTTTTGGCGGCTAATACTTTTTATTATTTGCATATAGTTGTAGATTTTCTTTAGAAACCTCATTACGAGAAGAGAGCTTGGCATAAGGAAAGTAGTAGAAATAATAGTTTTCTGCAAGTTTTGATGTAGATTTAAAAAAAATTTTCACAAATATGTGAAAATGATAAACTTATGAGCCGGCAAAAATGATTTCCGCCGAGAGGATTAGAATCACTTTGACAGTGCAGAAAACCTTTACTCCCTCCACCACGCCACCAGTTGCTAGCCGAGGGCTCCCAGCGCGGCCATATGCACGCTGGAAAACTTCCGACAAGCTTTTCCTCGGTTGATTGTGTGGTTGAGCACAATTTCATTATTGGTTCCGAGTACTCTCACCTAGGCCTACCCACTTAAAAAGTCTCGATTCTCCACTCGTTGTCGAGCGGAGGCCATGCCATAGTAAGTTTATCTGCCATCTCATTGAAAAGCTGATTCTTTATTAGAATTTTTTCAGGTTCTACTTTTTCTAGCACCAGTGTTATGTTGGCCATGCCAAGTCATTATTAGCTAACAAAGGGCTATCTAAGTTTTTTGGAGAGAGCACTTTGTTGGCAGATTATGTGGTTGAGTCGATTCACTAGTGGAAAAAAATGCAGCTACCCGGTTCAGTCAATTTTTCCCGACTTGAAAGGCGAGAGAAGCTAAAAAGGAGACATTCCGTTCAAAGCGAGCGGCCTAATTATGTGCATGCGCCTTTTATATATTGAAGGCGCATGCACAGAAATAGGTCTGCGCTTCGAACGCAATCCAAAAAAACAAAAATCGGGACAAGCTTGCGCGGAAAGATCTATATCGATTCACCTTTACAAGTTTGGTGACCCACTTGAAAAAAAAACAGCCAGGTTCTTTTTTTTCCTTCAATAAGAACTGAAAATTCCTAATGAATATTTTTGAAAATGACCGACCGCTAGCCTAGCGCCACTGTCGCTGGCCCAGACACTGTAGAAAGGATTGTAGAGTTGGACGCCGCGCTCAACGACGTCGTAGATCATCAGAGCGGCAGAAGCGACGCCAATGAAGGAAAGGTTGAAGCGGTAAGACATCTGGAAAGACAAAGGATGAAACTCAAAACCTCTTCATAACCTTTTTTTCGGCCTAAATAATTTTTTCAATTCAATTTTTTTAAGCCTTTATTCAAGACAAAATCCGCTTCGAGTAAGGTCTCGATTATTCACGGTTGAGCGCATTCCGCACCGGCACGATTTTTGTTTCCCTCTGGGTTACAAAGCCCCTTCGATTCGCATGTGCCTTTAATTTAGCTCAGAACTTCCGTTGTATTGAAGGCGCACGCACAGAGACACACCGCACGCAGATATAGCTGATTCACAGCTAGCTTGGGACGCTAAGAAGCGTGGCCTGTTTGCGTTCTCCACGAGCTAGGCACTATATCGTGCATTATCGTGTCAGAACCCTTTTTTCGATGGCTCAAGTCAGCTGTGAATCGGAAATAAAGGAATTCTCCCGAAAGAATTCTGTAGCTCGGAGAATCGTGACAACCTGGCGCAGGATGGGCTAGAACGATTCCTCTTAGCAGAGTTGGAGAAATGGCGCCCCTAAGCGTTTTTAAACGTTTACATTTCAAAACCGACGTAGGCCGCCATGACCATTTCTTAATAAGTCGCTGCCCAGGGCGCCCGAGGCCAAAACCGCGATGGCAAAAAAACGCCATTGGAAGAAAAAGAACGCTAAAAAATTGGAATCTTCTAAAATCTTGTAAAATCGTTGTTTTTGAAGCTTTAGAACAAGGTTTTTTGAATTTTTAATTTGGTGGCAACGGAAATATATTCTCTCACTAGTCAGCGGGTTCGTAACCATACATCTGGGACATTTCGCCTAAAGAAAAAAAAAAATAAATATAACCGTACTTCACATAAAAAATTTCAACTGGACATCATATCCACTGAAAAATTAAAAAAACTATTGAAAAAATTGCGAAACCCACGATTTAATGAAAAATGAACAAAAATGACAGTTTTCGCCCTACTTTTGCAACGTGGTATTATACGCCATCGACACATAATGACGCGGCTCATTTCTTCTCAGAGGCCTGATGGCTAGGGCGGGCATTTTGCGCCCTAGAGGGCCCATCATTTCTTCCAACTCTGCCTCTTAGGAACAAACTCGTTTCGAAATATCCGTTCAGCCATCGCCCCAACGAATATACTACCTTTAAACAAGTTTCGCATATCTGTTTACTCAACTAATGTCAAATAGTAATATGTTTACTCAATACTGAAACGGCTTCAAAAGGCTTATGGTTCCGAAAAGGAGCAAAAATGTTTGATAGGTTGTTTAATTTTTCAAAATGATCAAAACGCCTTCTGTTTGAAATTTTTTTTTGTTCCCCAACTAACGATGTTATTGCGCGTGGTGTCGTCAATGAGATGTTCGCCTGCGAAGATGAGCCAAAATGCGAACAGAATCGTGTAGAAAAGGCCCTGGCGCAGGTCCGACGCCAGCAACAGCAGCGGCATGTGCAGGGACAACGAAGCCCATTCCAAAGGAACTGCGACAGACGTTTATTGGTGAGCATTTAGAAAAAAGGACTCACAATCCAAAACCGCGAGACTCACACCCAGCATCATAATCGCCTTCTCGAGAAGCAGCGGTTTCCGAGCCAGTTGTTCAATCTGTCAATATTTTTTTCTTCTTTGTATAAGGACGGCGAGAGGTTTTATAACTTTCATAGACAAAGTCGGAAAAAAATAGAAAAAGGCTCCATAGAAATGTTCCTTTTAGGGTGAAAAATACTCCTTCTTGCTGCCTTTTTGCGCAATTTTTGCTTTTTCTACCTTTTTCCATCATTTTTGAGCCTTTTTAAAGGTTTTAAAAATTTTTTAAATCTCAGAAAAAAAAATTGAAGGCTCGATATGGGACTCTTTTAGCTGGCTTTTTGAGCCTCACCCTTTTGACGGTCATTATTTGGTGCTACGACAAGAGCGAGTTTTCCATCTTCGAGGAGTACTGTATGCGGCAAAGCGCATTGCGTGCATGCACTTTGCGTGTTTACACTTTTGTTGCGTGACGTCATCGCTTTATTTTATCGAGATTTGCATTCTTCTCGATGATATTTGCACGATAAAAAAAGTATCAAAAAATAATTCGAAAAAAAAAACGTCAAAAAAACCCGTAGATGTACCGCGCGATGACGTCACGCAAGAAAAGTGTAAACACGCAATGCGCATACCCGCATACAGTACTCCTCGAAAATGGAAAACTTGCTCTTTTCGTAGCACCCATTATCCATCATTCTGACTTTGTCCGAAAAAAATTGGTCTTCGTTCTTCCACAAGTAGATCCCTCAGTTTCGCGGGTACGGGCACGGCGGTGATGGTGGGGCTCGGGCACGGACGCCGTGTACACTCTAGGGTAGCCTCGGCCGATTGAGAGAGCTACCATTTCGAGTGAAGAAAATACACGGAATACGGGCACGGACGCCGTGTATTTTCTCTCAATCGGCAGAGACAGTTCTTCAATAGAGTTGAAAAAAAAATTTGGCGAAATTTTCGGACAAGAATTATTGGACAGCCTGGTATTTTGCTTTCTGGAAAATTTACGGAAAACAAACCCTTTTCCAGTACCACCAAAGGCTGGCTATAACGATCGGTGTCAAAGCCGTCTTCAGCCACAGCCAAATCAACGTGAATCCGCCGTTTTGATGTATTTCCTGGAGAATTTAATCATAATTTGAAAAAAAAAGAACTGACGATCAATCTCAAGCCAACGATCCGACCGATTTGGCAGTTAGGACTAGCGGGAGAGTACCTGGAAAAGCAAGTTTTTGAAGAAAAAAACTGTTCAGAAAATATTCATTTTTCAAAATTCGATCTGCAGCAGATCAACTAGAGAGCTTTTTCAGGTGTTAAATAAAACTTTTAAACCTGCACTCGGCCTGATTGATAGGTATCCGTATGTTGATCAAATAAAACGGATAACTATTCGAACCGAACTCGAAAAGATCCAAAACGTCGCAATCGTAGGCGCGGCCTTCTTTTTTCTTCAAATAATAAAATCAATACTCACAGGAGTTCACATTGATCAGTGATAAATGTACTGGATTACTCCTGTCTGATACCCTGCCGAATGAAAAAAAAAACTAGAATCTAGTATTGGGAGGAAAATCAGCGAAAATTGCAAAAATACGATTATAATGTGAACAACATGACAAAAAAATTCAAAAGTGAAAAATGAAGTAATTCAAACCGCCTCAATGAGCATAAGAATTTTTCCAACTTTTGGAATGATCTTTAAAATCTTCATAACTTTAAAGAAGAACATTTTTCTACTAAAATCTATTCGAAAACGCATACAACTCTCAAAAATGTGATGTTTTTTTAGCCGGCTTTATTAATCCGTTTCCCTTTTTTCACTTCCTTGAAGATCGTATACAATAATGTGAAAATATTTGAGTTATAAAGAGCCTCTCACATTGTTCTCTTCGATTCTGCACTCCAGGGTTCTGGTGACGTTGCTCCTAGCAAGCTCCGCCCACTCGTTTCTCCCCCATTTTTTGTCTCGATAGCCCATCCTCACTTCAAGGAGCAACGTGGCCGGTGCAACTTAAAAAAGAAAAGTGGCTGAAAATCACCAAATTGCTTTTTTTCCATCAGAAAAATCATTTCGTTCGTATTAAACATAATGAAACACACACCATACTTAAAGTGATCGCTGTATTCGACGTCGACGTGCAAAATTCCCAGAAGGAACTGGAACCAAGGCGAGTACTCCAACTCGACTCCTTCCCTTGGTAACAGTGGATAGTCGAAATCGATCAACAACTTGAAAACCTTGAATGCGGCATTTTGGCAACAAAAACAATTTCTCGTAGGTCGAAGGATGACGGAGTGAACTGAGACAAATCGTCGATAAGTTGGCAATTCTGAAAAGCAAACATTTTTAAACCTCTTTTGAGTACAAGTCTGCCTCAAATTTCGCCTCAAAACACATCTTTCGCTATATGCCAACAAAAGATCAAACAAAAGCTCCATTGGATTTCTTTTGGGCTAACCTCTCTTTGAAACCACTCGCCACTCTTGCCGCGCGTCGGATCATTGCATTTGATCATATCGAATTCCATGAATGTCGAGGGCGAAGGAGCTGAAATATCGTAGAACAGCTTCAATTTCTCGGACTGGAAAACTAACCATAATATGCGCCGACGACGAAAAATAAAGTTTGGACGAAGAACAGTGATATCAAGAGAACGAAGAGTTTCCGGTTGCTCAAATTCTCGATCACCGCCCCATTCATTGCCCTGTAAACCGTCAGCATGAAAAAGCGTCAAAAAAGTAGAAAAAAAGTTTGATTAGAATATAGCTGATTCACGGCCAGCTTGGGACGCTAAGGGGCGTGTCCTGCCTGCGCTCTCCACGAGCCAGGCGCTATCTCGTGCGTTATCGTGTCAGGACCCTTTTTTCGATGGCTCAAGTCAGCCGTGAATCAGCTATAGAAGAAAAAAGCTTTTCTTAAGATCATTGAACCCTGAGAAAGTGCGCACATCGATCTTTTATTTCGTTCAAAAAAGTATCAAAAAATGCGTTTTTATTTTTGACTCGAATGTTATCATCACGCTTTGAGCGTTAAAATAAAAAACAAACTCGGCAACGTAAAAAAAAGACGTAAATGGCAAAAGCGAACCGAAATTCCAGCCAATTTCGTAATGATACGGGGCAGAAATTTGAGAAAAAACACACGGAGCAAACAAAAACAAAGAACGCAGGAAGGCGAGAAGGTCAATGCGACAGCGGGGGTAGATCGGAAGTGGACGACGGCGGCAGCTGATCTCAATTACGCGCCTTTCTTTCCCTTCCAACATCCTCTTCACTTGAGCTTTTCGATAGTTTGATAAATTGATGCAGTAAGATATCAATTTTAAAGAAATATGTACTCCTCATATCAAAATCTACGCAGAAAAATCGATTCAAATTTTAATGCAGAAAAATTGCAGCTCATCACACAAAATTGCGGTTCTTTCTTCACTAAAATTTCCTTGCAAACCAATTTCGCGCAATAAATCTTGGCACTTTTCAACACCAATCTACTTCGTTTTTCGATTCTTCAATGAAAGTGAAACTCCCAAAATGTTTTTCTTCAAAAATGATAATAAAAAGTTAACGAAACATATTCTGATTTTGGTATAATTACAAAGAATTGAGAGCTCTTTGATAGTACCGTGAACAAAAGAAGGGTTTTCGGATTTGTATTGAACAAATTGAATAGAAAGATTGAGGCGAACCAACTGAGTTTGAAGAGGAGATTGGACGCCCCACTGAGCAGTGATTCATGTCGGTACGCCAAGCAAAAAAAAAAAAACCATAACAGCCAGTTTCCCGAGTTCAGTTAAGTAATTTGAAAACGAGGATTAGAATTTGGGAAAATGAGAAAAATCGAACCGGAGGAGCGAAGGAACAACAAAAGAGGAAAAAAAAACATCGAATGGTAAAAGGGCGGCGCGGAAAGGATGAGTTTTACGACAGCGACCCGTGCCATGTGTGTGATCGTTAGGCTCGGTAGACGAGAAAAACGACCACAGTCTCAGTCTCGTAGAGAAAACCTAGCAGAGGTCGGCGGGCGCAAACTAAAACTGTTTGAAGTTTGTTCAATTTCGTGAAAACAACCAAGCAATTTTTTGCAAGCTTGATATTGTTCTTTCTTCTCAGGTTTCTGAACGATAATACCCGGATTTTTTGACATGATTTGAGTCTGAGTCGTGCTGAAACAGCAATGTTGCGGGTGCACACTAGGGGCCTTTCAGAAGTCGGTTTAACTTTTGATGAAACTTTTCGGAAGTGTACTTTCGGAGTTTCTGATTCAAAAAAAAAAATGTCTCGCGTTGCAACTCGTTTTCGAGCGCTTTTTGTAATAATTTGCGTATTTTGCTAACTTTGAAGCATCATAAATCGAAAATAAGATCGAGATTGTTTTTTCTTAATCTGGAATCAAGAGGTCATTTAAGTACACTTCCGAGAAGTCTCATCAAAAGTTGAAACGGCGACTAAAAGACGTTCTGCAGTCATATATGCTTATTACAAAAAACCGAGTTCCAACTGACTGTGAGCTAAAAAGTGAGCTAAAACGGCACGTCATTTAAAGTTTCAAAAGAATGCCAGAACATTTCTACCAGATGTGCTTGAACAGGTGAAATTCCGTTTTATCACAACTCATTCAACTCCATCAGCTTTGAATATGTTTCTGTGACGTTCATTCGGTTCGATAAACTTAGGCACCACAAGCCATTTCTCGAAAAAAGTAATGCATAGTCGAATCCAACACCATCTGATAGAACATACTGTCCAAAAATGAAATCAGTTAAGCTTTTCAAAAAATTTTGATTTTGAGCCGAGTTATGAAGCTTTTAGTGACGCGCAAGAAAACCGAAAAATCTGGCGTTTTCCGAAATTTCGGATGCCGCCGCCGCACTGTTTTGGCTCGTTTTCCATTAATATGCAACCGTTTTTGAATCGGTTTTTTGCTGTAAACTGATGAGAATGCCTCTCTGATTGTTATTCACCAAGTTTAAGGTTTTTAAAAAAACGATTAGTTCGTAAAGTAAGAGAAAAGGATCCTCGGCACCAACGAAAAAACTATTGTATGATATTTTCTGTTCAAATCATCAAGAGAAGGCAGTCTAACAGTTACATAAACAAGAGAATGAAAAATAATATTAATTATCATAGAAAAATACAAAGTTCTGAATTTTTAATTTCGGATTTCCCATTTTTCGCCCGTAAAACACTTATTTTCCTTCAGAACGTCGCAATATCACACACAAGACACGCTTCGACGCGCAAAAAAATAAAATAAAAAAATTGACCGTTTTCGGTCATTCAAAAAGGCTCATTCTTTTTTTCGGCACCGCCAGATTTTTTTAAATCAAAAAAATGTAAAATTGTAAAGGCAAAAAAACATATCCAAAAAAAGAAAACGTGAAAAGATGGTACTCTTGTGAAACGCTCCAAAAAAACGTAAATAATTTTTTTGCGAACCTTTTTGTAAATGCAAATTTAAACTTGTTTTTGCTCGGTTTTTTTGATTTTGTTTTTTTGTTTTTCACGTTATTTAAACTTTTTTTCAATTTTTAAAACAAAGAAAAATCACTAGGTTGTCGCTGAAATTTTCTCGCATTTTTTTGCTTCAAACTTTTATGTTTTTTTGAGTGTAAATTTACACGCTTCGTTCTTTTTTTCGGCACCGCCAGAATTTTTTTCGTTTTTAATATTTTTTTTGAAGAATGTCATAATGAATAACATATACAAAATTCAGATGTGAAACGCATGTAGTTTTGTGAAACGAGTTTGTTTTGTGAACTGTATCGACTTTTTGTGGCAGTTTTCTTCTTTTTGGGTTACATTCCAAAAATTGCTGGATTTGAAAGCTATCTAGTTTTGTAGACCGATGCTGATTACATAGGAAAATAAGAAACATGAATTTTAAAATTAGCGCTTTGCTCACTAAAAGAGCTCCCAACCAGTTTTTCAACCGAAAAGTCGTCAATTTTGGTGCGATGAAGCGGCGAGGCTTTACGCTCCCTAGATAAACTTTATGAAATTCTCGCAAGCCCGTACTGACACTGAGAACGGAACGGCGGCTGAAACAAAGACCAATTGTTGTGGCCTTGCGCCGGGTTATTGCTCAAATTAATCCGCTAGGCCGACGCGACAAAGTTTGAGCCATCTCAGAGCAAGGATCTGTCCGGTAAGCCGTTAGGAAAACCATGGCCTTTCAATTTACCGTCAAAACTCGCCGGGAAATTAACAGTTTTCCAGAGGATAACACTCTTGTTGTTATCATAAATAACAACAAGTGTGTTATCCTTTGGAATCCCACATCCTTTCACATCATTATCAAACTATTTTTCTACAAATAAACTGTTTCCCAACATTTAGAAAAAGGTTTTGGAGAGTTATAAGAAGACGAAACATTCTTTTTTTTGGACTTTACATCAAAAAAACTGTGAAAAAAAGAATTAATATTTTTCTAAGATTCCTGTCAAACAATTTGATCAAAAAAATATCACGGTCAAGTGTTAAGAAAGGTTCCCATTTTTGCCTTCTTGTTAGTTAAAAATGCCGAAAAAAGTCTACTTTTGAATAAATAGGAAAATGAAGAACGCTTTCATTGATATCAACAACGTGATAAAAACATTTGCTTCGAAGAATCGATATATTGCAAAATTTATTTCCAAACAAATGCGTTTTTTGCGTCAAGAATAAAATATTGTTTTTTTCTGATGTTCAACAGAAAGACAATTTTTTTCATTTTTTTCACTGTTTTTTTGAACTTTCTTCGGGAAGAAAAAGTTCGAAAAACCGGACGCTCAGTTCTAAATCGCTCACTGATGTCCTGAAGATGGGCGCTTAGCTCTTTGTTGACAAAACTAAATCCTCACCAAAGATTCCCCTGAAAAAAAAAACTACATTTCATCCTACTTATCAGTAAGAGGAGGTGGATTTGATAGGCGGAACAGCACAAGATCCCGAAAAAAAAAATCTCAAAATATTTGCGAAAACACCAGAAAACTGAAAAATTATATGTTTTCTCTTCTCCACTAAATTTCGAACTTTTCTCATTTCTGCTGAGCAAATTTACACTTACATTGTTTTTGTAACGCTGCATTTCACTTAGAACATCAAACTTAATGACGATTCACAATATCTGAAAAGCCCCATCTTCTAGGTTACTACTTCTCTATGGATGTTTTCATTTCTTTTATGAATTTATTTTTGGGCTGATGGAAAATCATCCCGCTTTATCGGAATTCGCAGCTCTGTTCCCATCAAAAATGGAGATTCAAGACTTCGAGTATTATTTTGAAGTCAATCCACCAGAATTTTCGCTCCGCGTTCGACAATCAGAGTTCAAAATACGCCCCGAAGAGACCACACTTTCACAATTGCTCGAGGCTGAAAATCCTAGCTTGAATTTTTGAACTCATTTTTTCTGTGATTTAGATTTTTAAGATTGTTGGAAGAGCTGCATTTTGTCAATCTGAATTTAGAGGATTGAAAAAATTTCTTCAGCCCCGGTAAAATCGATATGCAATTTTCAGTTTTTCTTTTATTTTTTTTCAATCAACCTGTCCAGTTTTTCTCGCCGCGCGCAAACAAAGCAGCGCCGTGAACTCCGCGGACAGAAAAAAAAAGTTATTGATCGTTGGTTTCAGTGAGCGGTCTGAAAAAGTAATGGAATTTTTTCTTCATGTTCGGTTCCTCTTGCAATTTAATACTGTCTCCAAAGGACTCATTAATGTGATAAAAATTCTTCCTCAGATATTCGAGAGCTCATCATGGCAATTTTTGCAAATTTCTTGCTTTTCTGCTCGTCAAATACTTTCCCTATCACTCAGAGACGGCGGCGAACTGTTGATATACTAACCTCCTTTCAAAACTTTTAATATAAATTGAAGAAAACGGGATATTTTACAGATAGTTATGCTCAACTCGAAAACCTATGCATTGATGCTATTCTTTCTGGTTTTTGGACAAACAACAACTGTTGACCGGCCTGTCCAAGTTCCAGACAAAGACCAAACACTCAAGGTTTTCTGCAAGAATTTCTGAATTCGCATTTCCTCTCAATTTCCAATAGCAGAGAGGAGCTTTGAAACAGAAATTTCAATCATTAGAAGTTCATAGAACTAAAGTCCTCTTTTTGAAAAAACAAAATGGGAATCTCGATTCAGAAAAACAAACCTCCTAGCTTATAATATCAAGTTGAAACTTTATAGAAAATTGCAGAACCTTGTGTACCGCGCGGCTGTTCCTGAAGCCAATTCTCAGTTTGGCGACACTTATTATTGGGTTCCCGCCACTCAACAGTTTTCTGCGACAAGGATAACGGTATCCTTTATTTGTCTGAAACTTTCTGCGGTGTTCTCAGGGAAGAAGTTCATCCTAGACGTTCATTACTCGGAAAAATAAAAAGGAAATACCTACTAAAAGGCTTCCCAGGCGCCTTTATTTATCGGTAATTTTCTGAAAAGGATTTTGTTTTTTGGGAGAAAAAAGAAGGATCTAGACTCTACTTTTTGAAGCCTTTTTATGTCGTTTGGACTTTGCCCTGAAGTACCGAGGAAAATGCGGTTGAAATTTTGAGGTACAAAAAAAGTTAAATCCCAGGGATGTAGTTTTGACGAAAATCGAGATAACTTTCGGTCTCAAAGAGGTGGTCCGGCTATGTAAGAGGAACTTTAGCAAAAACTTTTTTCTCTAGAAATCTCTAAAGATCGGCTTTTCCTCGGTACCCAGTTAACAGTTTATTATTTTCGTTCTCGAGTCTTCTTTCCTAACCTACCCCAGAAGTTTGTGCCAGATCTGTGATTTTCACATCAGATACTTATCTGAATGCATAAACAGTGGTCGCTCAAAATGCACTGCGACGCATAATTATAGACCCACCCTAATTTCTCCGATTTTAAGAAAGATTGAAAAACTTTCAGCCACCAAACTTTTTTTGTGATAAACCTTGTTGATAAGGAACATAATCATATCATAACTATCAATCACCCAGTTGAAAAAGTTTTTTTCAAGATACGAGAAAAATCTGATTTTTTTGACCGACGCAGAATTATAGACCCACTATAAGTAATCAACAAAATTCATTTCACAAAATCAACGAAGTATAACAAAAAAATTAATTAATAATGTGTGATGCCTCCTTGTTTCTGAGCGACTTCGAAAATCCTGTTCGGCATGCTGCCAACGAGTGATTGCAGCAGTGACTTGTCCAAACCATCCCACTCGGCACGAATCGTTCTTTTCAGATCGTTGACCGTTGTATACTGCTTGGCATTCGCGTAGACCCTTCGTACAAGGACTGACCATAAATTCTCTACAGGGTTGAGGTCAGGACTGCACGCGGGCCAGTCCAGAAGAACCACGTTAATGGCCGCAAACCAAGCCAATGTGGAGTTGCTCGCGTGAACAGATGCATTGTCTTGTTGGTAAATCATATTAGCACGTCGTCGGCGACGGAAATAGGGCAGGAGATGCTGGGCAAGCAGTTACTGGTAGTCTTGCGAATTCGTTCTGGTTCCAATAAAAGAAAGAGCTACCGTGCCGTCGCCGCAGAAAGCCGCCCAGACCATGAGGCTGCCGCCGCCGAAGTTTCTCTTGAAGAAGTACATCGGATCTTTCCTCAAATCTCTCCAGTAGTGAGCGTACCCATCTGACTCATCAAGGTTGAATTTCTTCTCGTCGCTGAAGATGATCTGAACAGAAAAATTGGGAATCATAAGGTGATAGAAAAAGTTAATACCTTATTCCAATTCGTGGCCATGTTAGAGCGTGCAAACTGGAGCCGTTCATTCTTATGGCGTTGCTGTAGACGAGGTGCTGCCTTCATTGGAGTATTCACAAGTCGACCGGACCGATGAATTGTTCGTAAGATGGTGTCCTTCGAGACGTTTTCAGGAATTTCGGATCTGATTTTGTTGGCGGACTTCGTAGAGTTTGATGCTTTTCGACAGACGTCTCGTTCAGCTTGAACTGATAGCAGCCTGTGCCGTCCAAAATGTATTGCTGTGCCGTATTCTTGCGGATTCCTCGCATAACGGTCAATAGTTCGTCTTGAGCGACCCGTTTGACGAGCGATTTCCCGATGGGACAAGCCGTTGTTGAGTAGAGCATCGATTACCGCTTTTTCGGTATTATTAAGTTGAGTAGATTTAGGCATTATGGCTTATAGTGATACACGAGGACTTTTCCTCTTATATACCACTGAAAAAAAAAACAGGAAAAACGTGTTACCGCAAACGAAAACTCGGAAAACTCTGGGGTGGGTCTATAATTCTGCGTCGGTCAAAAATCAGATTTTCTCGTATCTTGAGAAACTTTTCAACTGGGTGATTGATAATTATGATATGGTTAGGTTCCTTATCGATAAGGTTTATCACAAAAAAATTTTGGTGGCTGAAAGTTTTTTAATCTTTCTCAAAACCGGAAAAATTGGGGTGGGTCTATAATTATGCGTCGCAGTGTATTAACTTTGAATGCTCAGGCCTCGGCACCAAAAACTGGACGTTTCTGAGCAATTCTAAGCAACCCTTAAAAGTTCTGATTCTCTCAAAGTGGCCCATATAAATGCCGCAACTCCGTTCGCGTCCGTTTTATATTACCAAAGTCAGAGTGATATTTAAAAAAAGGTGCAAGATATTTATTTTCCAGGTGATGAACCATGGCAAACCTTACTCGACTTGGACGTTCAGCATGGTTTTGCAGAGAAGTACTTGCAAAGTTCGGGTTAGTGACCGGTTTCGGTCTTGAAAGCTTCCTGTATCATTCAGTCGACATCCCTCAACGCGCTGCCTAACTGCAAAATCGATCCAACAAGTCCGAGTCGAGCGGTAAATTGTTTACTATATTAAATAGTCTATTCAAGAATCGTTGCTGAAGTTTTTGAAAGCTACATTGCCAAAAACGTCGAGGCCAAGAGCTTGTTTAAGTAATATTTCGGGTCATACAAGACTTCAAACGCTACAGCGGACATTTTCTTAATGAAAACGTAGTACACTCAAGGTTGCCAAATTAAAACTCAAAAAAAAAAAACACCGCCATTTTCGAACGAATTCTACTTGAGGAATATGAGTGAAGTGTGGAAAGACCCAAAATTCAATGAGTACAACTTATTGATCCGATTTTTTTCAACCGCTAAATTCGGAAAATAATTTTTTCAGTTCTGCAAAGCCGACCTGGCATGGACGGACAATGATTGGGAAACGGTAGAAATCGAGACTTACTGCCACGCAGCATGAGAGCTTCACACGAAAAAGAGAAGACATTTTCACATTCCTGTCCATAATTTGGTCTCTACTGTTCAAACCATTACAAGTCCTGTCCACAATGAGTATTTTCCTTCGAAACGAAAGGTTCAACACTAAACCTAATCAATAAAATTTATTGAAACTCGAGAATCAACGCAGTGAGAGCTGTTTGTAGGAAATCAAGAAAAGGTACTTCAAAGAAAGGCATCCGAAAATTCGTTGTTTTCTGCAAAAACACCATTACTCTTCTGTTGTAAAAATATTAATTTTTAACCCTTTTCCTTCACTTTTTCCAATGGGTGTACAGTACCGCTCAAAAGTCTATTAAGTTTTGGTTTTTTTGGAGATAAATTTTTTTGAAGTGCGATATCGATTCAAATTTTTTTCATAGTTTTCTGAGAGAGACATACGTGTTCTGGCAAAATTTCAAGTTGCTAGCTCAAAGAATAATAATTTTTTTCGAGAAAAAAACGAATTTTCGAAAAAAATCGAATTTTTTTGCTATTTTCAATTAAAAAAATCATAGCTCAACAAAAAAATTTTTTTATCAACACAAAAACATTGTTAAAACAATATTCGGGACCTAGTACTTGGTTGCAAAGCCCCTGGCGTCAATCACTGCCTGGCATCTTCTCTGCATAGAATTGAGCAAAGTGTCGATGGTAGACATGGGGATCTGATTCCATTCAGACAGCAGTTGAGCAAACTTCTCGTTGCAATTCTTGGCTCTTTTGTTGGCACAACGTCGCTCCAACTCTTCCCAGAGATGTTCGATCGGGTTCAGGTCCGGAGATCGACTTGGCCACCCCATGACATTGACCCGACGGCTCTTGAACCAGTCCTGAGTTTCAAAAACCATACGAATTACTTGTCAATTTTTCTCACCTTGACGAACAGTGAAGTGTGCTTGGGATCGTTATCCTGTTGATAAACACTCCCACGGCCCATGGCTCTCAAGTGCGGCAACATCTGGTTCTGGAGAATGTCTTTGTAGACGTGCTTGTCCATGATGCCGTTCACGCGATGAAGCGGTCCGATGCCACTTCCAGAGAAGGCGCCCCACACCATGCAAGAACCTCCACCATGTTTCACGGTGGGTAATTGGTATTTCGGATGATATCTGGACCCAATTGGTCTACGAACCCACTGAATTCCGTCACTCCCGAAGAGGAGGAACTTGCTTTCGTCGGACCACAGAATCTTGTTCCAGTCTTGACGGGTCCAGTTGAGATGCTCCTTCGCCCACTTCACCCTGGCGGCTCGATTCTTTTTCAGAAATCAGCGGTTTCTTCACTGGACGTCTTCCCATGATTCCAGCAGCATTCAGACGTCGTTTCACGGTCGAGACGGATGGCGGAGATGGCGAATTCAAGAAAACTTCCCGTCTGATCGCAGGGGCGGTGAGTCTTGGATTGGTTCTAGACGTCTTCAAAAATGTTCCTATCGTCATTACGATCAGTGACACGTGGTCTTCCAGTGCGTTGGCTGTTAGTAGAGCCATCTTGAGCTTTCTGACGCTTTAGGAACTGAGAAATGCCCGCCTCTGTCACGCCGAACATTCCTGCCAACGTCATCATGGTCAGTCCATTTTGACGACCCACAACGATGGCTCTTTTGTCGTTATCAGTCAAATTCTTATTTCCAAAGGTTCTTCCCATGTCTGAAAAACATGAAAAAAATCATATGGCAACATTATTAATTTTAAAAAAATTTAATAAAAAAATAAATAAAAAAATAAAAAGCATAAAAAAACAAAAAAATGGAATTCAATAAAAAAATGCCTAAAACGCGTCACAGTCATTGCGGACATGTCTTTGTATACCGTATATGTTTCAAAGTATATTTTACATTATCCCTGAAAGTTATATATAAATCGGATAAGTACTCGCTGAGATATCCCCAAAAAACCAAAACTTAATAGACTTTTGAGCGGTACTGTAGGTTATAAGTTTTAGAAAAATTTTTCAATTTCGTGCAAGGTCGGAATGGTGGATACGACCGCTAAAAGGGAGATGCTCAAAAAGGACGCAGAAAGGCACCAGAAAGAGTCCCTTCATCGAGCCCTCCATTTTTTCTGGTGGTGTAGTGTCTAGATTTCACCCCGTAAATCTACACCATTTCAAATTGCCGCGCATTATTAAGATGTGCAGGCTACCTTCACAGTTCCACTTCTGCGCAATCGCGTTACGCGATTGCGTCCTATTTTGTTTTGTCTTCGTTTTTTTTTACTTTCGTATTGAAGTAAACAGTTAGTAACTAACAGTTGTATATATTCGCACGATACAACAATTGGCGATCAGGTAGAACGTATTCCGCGTGTCTACAATAGTTTTTAACTGTACAGGGTGCGCAATAAGTATTGAAACGCGTTTGAAACGTTATAACCGTCTTGCTGGAAGGTCCATGGTCGGTTTCCGTAGTGAGAATTGGCTCAGGGCAACACCCCCAACTTTAAAATACACTCCCAGTAGTATACTTGGTTCACTTTGACTTCAGGATCCACAAAAATCAGCGGAGTTTTGCCGTCAGCGGTAATTCCGGCAAAACCATCACGGAAGCCGGATGCGAAGTTTTATTCAGAATTTTTCCTTTTTCACAGGCACTCTGATAGTCAGTAGCGATGATCCAATGATTTTGGCCTCCTTGTTCGCCTCCACAGTGAAGATTTTCTCGTCGGTAAATAGCGTCGTCAGATGCGAGCCATCTTTCGTGCCAGCGAGCAGCTTTCGAGCCTTTTTCATCCGGAATGTCTTGTTTTTTTGACTGAGGAAGGCTCCTTTCTGCATACGGTAGGGAATCATCTTCAGCTTGTCCTTGACAATAGTTCTCATCGATTCTCGACTCATTTTGTATTCTTTTGACATCTTTCTCATGCTTCTTTCCGGAGTGCGTCTGATTTTCTCTCGAACGGCTTTGACTGCTTCTGGAGTCGTGACGGCGACTGGACGTCCACTTCTTTGCATGTCATCTGAAGTACCGAGACGCCGATAGCGTTGTGCAGTTCGAAAAACGAGAACACGGGACACTTTCAGCTTTTTAACGATCTCTGAATTCGTCATTCCGTTTTTGACACAATCAATGATTGCGGTACGGTACGGAGATGGGGCCACCATTACCTGAAAACTGAAAAGTGTGAGCTGTAACTTCAAACCCATGATAAGTGAGCATGAATAAACGCAAAAAACAGAAAAGTTCAAAGGCCAGTCCATTGTGCAAAAAGCAGCGATCAAACAAAAAACGGTTTCAATATTTATTGCGCACCCTGTAGTTTAAAAACATTTTGGTCAAAAACATTAATATTGGGTTTTGTTAACAAAAATTATTCATTTTTGTTTTTACTTATAGGTTGTTTTCATTAGATAGGTTTGTACATAGAGTAGGTTGTGTGTTTATATCGGTGCATTCGGTAAGACCGAAGAGAGACCCGTCCCTCCACCCAATTCCCAGCCCAAAACAGCGTCCTCCCGCGCTGTAAGCACTCAAGTTCAGTGATTTTCATTGTCTTGAGCCACGAACACATCCCCAGTTGGCCTTCATTTCCCGACCTAAAGCTAATTCATTCACATCCCCGTTCCCTTCTCTCAATCAGTTGCGTAACTTTGTCGGATTGTTCGAACTGATTTGAAGATGACCAAGACCACCCCCGACGTGAATGAACTTGTCAGCTTGATAAAAAAGCAAGGACAAAATGAAGGCCCAGAACGACCTCATTTTCAGCCTTCTCCAGGCTACCCTGAAAACAACCACCCCCCCCCTGTTGCCAACGCCCCGACTGACCCATCTTGTGTCGTGGCAGCGTTATCGGCACGCATACCCATGTTCGAATACGATTTGGAAGCCGGGAAAACTTTTCCAAAATGGATTAACCGATATGGAGAAGTTATCACACGGTTGAAGGAAAGTCCCTCGACGAGACTACCGAAGTCAGGCTTCTACTCAACAAATTACCCGACGAAATCTATGAGCAATTTGCTGCAAAGATTTGTCCCAAGAACCCCTCCACGGAATCTTATGCGGACGTGGTCGCTACGCTGAGCGACTACTTCGATGTTAAAAGATCCCTGCTGTCCTGGAGGTTCGCATGCACGCAAATAAGTCGCCTGGATGAAAATCCAGCGGCTTACACGTCCCGTATCAATGAAACCTGCGAAAAGGCCATTTTGAAAGACTGGATTAAGGGCCTTGACGCAGCAGGAGACACTCAGATACGTGCCTATTTCATCAAGTTTATGGAACGACGAGTAGAAAGCAAACAACCCACCACCATCATGGACCTCTGCGAAGAATGGCTGAGGATTCAACGTCAGAAAACTGAAGTCCAAGAACTTGGACAGAAGTTTTTGAGTTGAAGACCAAAGCCTCCCACAAAACCCCGGTAGCTTCAGAAGGAAATCCTACAAACAGGATAACCTGTTGGAAATGCGGCAGAGACGGGCACTCCTCACCCGTTTGTCGCAATCCCAAATCCACCTGCGACAAGCGACAAGTGTCATCGAAAGGGACACTTGGCGAAATTCTGCAAGTCCACCCGCGTCACCAACCCCAGGAAATCGACTACGTCAAAGCCGAACACCTGGACCCGGTGCAAAGCTGTCACAGTTGCCAACGCAGAATCCCCCCAAGTGCAAGCCGTCCGACGCTTCATCGATGTCGAAGTCGATGGCGTCCAAATCCCATTCCAAATGGACACCGGCAGCGATTTGACTCTGGTCGGAACCCCCGAGTTGGAACGACTAGGCAAACCACCCTTGGAAAACGTCTCTTTCCGAGTGAAGAATGCCAGCGGAAGCGACATGGACATCAACGGCCGCTTCAAGTGCAATTTCCAGTTGAAGGACTCTCACGCCAGCGGCTATGCCTACGTGAGAAATTCCGGAAACTTACTCGGATTGGACTGGCTTGAAAAATCCACCCACATGAGCTACCACCTTGACCAAATGATCAATTCCATCGAGAACGGTAGACCGTTCGGCGGACAGCTGAAGGAAGAATTTCCGGAAGTGTTTGCTGAAGGTCTAGGAAAAGAAGTACTTCCAAATCGAAAAGGAAGCCTTGGCTCTCATTTTTGGAGTGAAGAAATTTCACAAATTCATCTATGGAAGAAGCTTCACTCTCCGCGCTGACCACAAGCCCCTTTTACCCATTTTTGGGAACAAGAACGGAATTCCTGTTCACTCACAAAACCGGCTCGTGCGATGGGCGATCATCCTGCTCGGATACAAATGATCCAACATCAGGAGGCCCTTCAACAAGACGACGTTGTCATCGCGAAAGTGGAAGTAGAAGTTCAAGAAGTGCTTCGATCCAGCATTCGAAGGCTTCCCCTGACCAACGCGGTCGTCCAAACCGCTACTCGTCAGGACAAAGACCTCCTACACCTCATGAAGTTCGTGAGATCCGGAAAATTCCCTACCAACATCCCTCCGACTTTGCGTTCATTTGCATCAAAACGAGATGATTTGAACGTAGTCGAAGGCTGTCTCATGATCGGCGAACGAATCGTCATTCCCAAGACCTTACAGCGAGAAGTTCTCCAAGAACTCCACGCTTCCCACGCCGGACTGGATCAAATGAAGCGATTGGCCCGATCCGTTGCTTTTTGGCCCGGAATCGATGCCGATTGCGAGAACTTCGTGAGAAACTGCAAAGCATGCAGTTTGCACAGCAAAACTCCCCGGAAAGTCCCTTTGTAACCTTGGCCTGCACCCGAACGTGTTTGGCAAAGAATTCACATCGACTTTGCCGGACCCGACCAAGGACAATGGTATTTGGTAGTGGTAGATGCCAAGAGCAAATACCCGGAGGTTAAAATTGTCCACTCCATCTCCGCCGCCAATACCGTGAAAGTCCTTAAGGAGATTTTTGCCAGAAATGGTTACCCCGAAACCATCGTCTCGGACAACGGAACCCAGTTCACCTCCCAACAATTCGCAGATATGTGCCAGAATGGCCATATCCAACACATCAGAACTGCTCCCTACTGTCCCCAGTCCAATGGTCAAGCCGAAAGGTTTGTCGATACCCTCAAGAGAGCCCTCAAAAAAAGCTTCAAAAAGGGGAGGAGAAGATATCCGAAGATACCTTGAACCAATT